CATCTCCAAAGACACTATCCGTATGGATCTGTTAAAAGTCGCAGTGGTCGCTGACTGGCCCGCACCAAAGAATAAAAGAGAACTCCAATCATTCTTAGGGTTCTCCAACTTCTATCGACGATTTGTCAAAGACTACAGACAAATTGCGAAACCACTCACTGTGCTCACCGGAAAAGTTGACTGGACCTGGAAAGACAAACAAGAGACATCCTTTGAAACGTTGAAGAAAACACTTACTACTGCTCCCACCCTCGCTATACCAAATAATGACGACCCGTTCAAACTAGAAACCGACGCCTCTGACTTCGCTGTAGGAGCTGTCCTATCCCAGAGACAAAATGATAAATTCAGACCCATAGCATTCCTCTCAAAAGCTCTTACCCCTGCAGAACGAAACTATGAAATTTACGATAAAGAGATGCTTGCAGTCATGATGGCGCTAGATGAATGGCAACATCACCTTGTAGGATCGAAACACCCCTTCACCATCTTCACAGATCACCAAAACCTCCTTTACTTCCGTTAACCTCAGAAATATAATCGACGCCAAGCTCGATAGTCATCCCAGCTTGCAGATTATAATTTCAAAATGGAACACGTCAAAGGAAATCAAAATACAAAGGCTGACCTGTTAAGCAGACGAATCAATTATCCTAAAGGCACAAACGATAACGAGAATCAGACACTTCTCCCGGACGTACATTTTGAAGTACTTGACCACCAACAAAGGGATACCTACCAGATATACGTCGAAGCTTCCAGAAACAGACGACATAGTAAAGAAGAACTTGAAAGAGAAGCCGGATACCTGGAAGATGAAGGATAGGATCGTCTGGATCAAGAGAGAATCCGCGACGAGTTTCTACCCGATCCCATTAGCTGACCGCGTATACGTTCCCCAAAACCACAAATTACGGGCACGAATATTGAAAGATCATCACGACGAAGTCCTGGCAGGACACCCAGGAGAAAGAACAATGTTTGAACGAGTAAACCAAGAGCTCTGGTGGCCGAGTCTTCGTACAGATATCAGACGATATGTACGAGGGTGCGAGAGTTGTCAGCGCACCAAAGCACATTGGACAAAGCCTAACGCCCCTCTACACCCAAACCTGATACCAGATTAGCCTTGGCAGATTATCACCACCGATCTCATAGGCGCATTACCGGAGTCCAAGGGCTACACCGCCGTTCAGGTCTTTGTTGACAGATTTAGCAAAATGGCCCATTTTGTCCCTACCTTTGTCACCCTCGACTCTGCTGGTTACGCACGTCAACTCCGAGACAATGTAATACGACTCCACGGAATCCCTGAAAAGATCATCTCGGATTGAGGTCCTCAATTCATGTCTTGATTTACGAAAGACTTTTATGATTTAATGGGGATAACACCAGGCCTCTCTACAGGCTACCACCCTCAAACAGACGGACAGTCCGAACGGATCAACCAGGATCTAGAGCACTACCTCCGCGTTTTTGTAAATCATCAACAAAATGATTGGGCAGGCTGGCTTTCCATTGCTGAATTTACATACAACAACCATCTCCACACCGCAACGAATCAAACGCCCTTCTTTTTGAACTATGGATTACACCCAAGAACAAATATCACCACCACACCGTCCCCTCAATCCGCTTCTGCAGCAGAATTTGGCGAACAAATGAAAAAACTCCACGACATCACAAAATCCTCCCTTCTTTTAGCAAACGAGAATCTGAGAAAGTATTACGACCGTAAGAAATCCCCCTCCCGGGAATATCAAACTGGCGATAAAGTCTGGTTAGAAGGACATAACATCACAACGGATAGACCAATGAAGAAATTAGACGATAAACGCTTCGGGCCTTTCAAAGTCACCCAAAAGGTCGGACCCTCTGCCTATCAACTCAATATCCCTAAGAGCTGGAAGTCCATTCATCCCATATTCAACGAAGCCATCCTCTCACCATACCACGCTCCCGAATTCCTCAATCAACCGACTTCCTCACGACCACCACCCGGAATCGTGGAAGGAGTAGACGAATACGAAGTAGAGAGTATAATCGCCTCCAGACCAACCAAACTGAAAGGTAGTGAACTCGACTACCTAATTCACTGGCATGGTTATCCAGTCTCCGAACGCACTTGGGAACCCCATACCAATCTTACACATGTCGCTAATTTACTCGCCGCTTTTCACAAAACGAATCCAGCCGTTCCTCGGATTATTACCGCTTCTCTTCACTTCCGTCCTTACGAAAACTACACCGCCACTTCTAAACCTCCGATGCTTTTTGACTGGATTACCAACAAGTTCCAGAGTGCCGCATCCGGACTCATGAGGACACGAGTCTTATAAAAGGGGAGCTAATGTGGAGAATCAATTTTTCTTATCGCATTCCCGTCATGTTGTGGTTAGCAGACTCGATCCCCGTCACTCCTCTTGCCCTTGGACTAGAGATTACAGCAGGTGTCTTATTACTTTTATCCTTTTTCTTCTTATTCTCTATTCACACTCACGTCCTATCGTACCTACAATGAGGTAGACTTGTTGTCAACCCTTGAGAAGATATCCAGATGACATAGCCACGATCCAGTGCTATGTCTGGGAATACTTCGGAGGAATATTGATAAAGCGAAGAAGGTTGTGAGTCAGCGCCTTCTCATGGGCTTACTGATACAGCCAATCGCACATCCCTTACCAATACGTTTTCTCATACGATTAGTAAATACGATAGATCGGACCACTTTCTCAGTTCTTCCCTTTCTCGGTCTGACCATCGCCGTTCACTATATAAAGAGGTACATACTCGATGTACTGTTCTCTAGTTCAATATTAGTTTGGATTTGCGCTCATACCGATACTCTTCATTCTCATACCCTGATTCACCGCCTTCCAGCAAGGACTTGACCAGGCATTGTGCTTTGTTATATAGCTTCGTATTTGTTGCCTGACAATCACTGGGTTTAATTTTGGTTACTAGCTGAAATTGTCTTCGAGCATACCCAGTGAACGGTGTCAAAGATGAGAATTGTTGTTAGAGAACCACACACAAAACGAACTAACATACAATCCTCCCAGATTCCACGGAACTTGTTTATGGGCTTTGCCTCCTAGAACAGTGGGTGCTCTGGTTGTTTGTGGGGTGGTACATATGACGATCCTTCAAAGTAAAACCCAGGGATGTATGGGTGTGGCTTTTGAGGAGGAGGGATAGTTGAATTATAGAAGATAGGGGCTTAGTGATGAGTATGGACAAGCACTACCTTGCTAATCATAGCACAAGGTAGGTTGGAGAACGACAAGATATTGAGGTGACGAGGTTCCCAGTGATAGCAGGCTCCTGATGCACAAACTGTAGTGCTCAAAAGGACTCTAATCAAAAGGGATGACAATGACTTTTCAAAGGGACAAGTGACGATGACAGCAGTTAACAGTGTTGGCAGTGGGAATTTTTGTGACCACACTGGATCACAAGTAGCAGAGTAGTGAACTTCAGATTAGAGAAGAAGTCTACATTGGAGTTCTTGTTTTTTTTACAAGGTAGAATACAGGGGGTTTATATAGTAAAAGAAAGGGAGGCTATACACAGTATAGCTGTGCAAAAAGAATGAGAAAAAACATGAAGGAAGGAATGTATGCTGACAAATCCTGCGTAGGTAGTACAGGATAAGATCGTCAAAATAAGGAAAAGAAAGGGATAGAACAATGAATGCTGTGTAAGTATTGTCACAGGTTTGTACAGCCATAAAGTAAAGTCCAATAGCAGAAAGAGAGCAAGAAAATCATGATGTCATGGGAAGATGCAGTAAAAAAAGGGCAAGGCAAAAAAATATCAGTATCAACACAGTTCCTTTATTGTCAGTCAGGCATTCTAAAAAAATATGGGTCCATAAAAATGATTCAAAAATCAAAAATAATCGCACTGTAAATGAATGTTCAGCTGAAAAAAAAAGAAACTGGAGCCACCAGTCCACCACCTAGTCCAAATCCGACAGTTCCATGGCTTTACCAATGGATTGGTTGTGTTGGACCACCTGGTCAAATGAGGGAGGGAGAGGAGTAGTCCCAATTTGGAACAAGTGAGTCCCAGGCAGCGTGTGGTAGCTGTAGCTGTAGCGAAGACAATGGACGAAAGATAAGTGTACCCAAGTGAATGGGACAGCAATGTACATGGGCGACGCAAGGGGATGAACCTTCTCCAGCTCAAAAACTACCCACCTACGCTCCAACCAGGTGAGACAAGCGACCAATGTTTTGATGGTATATGATGGAAGATCGACATCATAAAGATGGACCTTTTGCCCATTTTGGACCGGCTGCCAGGGCTTTGCTGATATCAGCAGCGGCACGTGGTGGTCAACGGATCAGCGATGGAAACGGATAGAAAGTGGGGACTTAATTGTAGGGACTCGAAAGCCATAAAAAAATTTTCCAAGTTACTATACAAAAAGGCAATTTTGTAACTCGTAGAACACATTGAATATAGGAAATTTTTGCGGCTTTTTTTGCAAGTGAACTTTGCCAGAAAATGATAGTGACAGTGACAACAACCTCACCTCAAAGTGTTCCAAAAAATATCTATTAACAAAAAGTGATCTACTGGTTACAAAAATGCTTTTTTGTATACTAAGTTTTTGACATTTTTTTCTGACTTCTGAGTCCCTATGACAAAGTCCCCACCTCATCTTTGGTGAGGAATTCATCCTCCTCACAAAATGGTGACGAGTGGTCCCAGCCTGCTCGCAAGCTTGCAAATTCATATTGGCAAATATGATAAGCGCGAGCTAGCCGAGCAGGTTGGGGACGAGCCTATCGATCATATTTTGTCTCTCAATCTATTCAATATTCAGTAAAAAATACTAATCTTTTCAATATTCAATAAATAATATCACTTGATTTATTATTTATTCCACTCCTCGGACAGTAAGCGTCTATACAAAGTGTTGTGCCCGATGTGGCGTCGGTGACCAGGGGGGTCGGCAACGCTGAAATGGTCCGGAGACTGACTGATTTAATTTGGCAGAGCTCATACCAGTGAATTAAATCGCATAATTAACCTGTAATCACTCTGTTAACGATGTGAATGAGCTATTAGGCCCAAGGAAGGTACATCAATGAACAAATGCAAAAAGAGCACAACACGAGTCGGATTTGGTTTTTTTTACAATTTTGAGAATACATTCTCCAAGAGGTCTTCGACCTTCCCCACCGGTGACAGAATGCTGAGTGTATCTAATGGCTGATTTGTATGAGTGTTACTATACGCATACTCGTCGTCTCGCAACGACAATAGCCCATCCGGCCCAGCATTCATCACATCCGCCCGAGGCCGCGTCATTGTATTACTATCGGCTTCAACCTGAGATAGATCTTGCAGCGATATCTCGCTCCATCCCCACTGCGGATGCATCGCCCCGTAGTGGTTGTTGTAATGATCCGATAACGGGTACATGTCATCGGATAATGCGGCTTGGTTATACACAACCGGCGGGTTTATGTCAGTGGAAGTGTCGATCGGGAAATAGGTCGTCCCGTTGACTTCGTACGCGCCATAAGGCAGGGCGGTGTTATGGCCGGAGCCCGGCACCGACGGTGGGAAACCGTATAAAGACGGTGCACATACCGGAAATACATGGCCGGGCGGGCGGGTCGGAATAGGATGTCTGAAAGGACAAGACACTCTCGTACAAGTCGGCCATTCTGGACAAGGGGTATAAGCCATATCTGAGGTGAACCGACTAGGCATCAGCACTCAGGACAAGGGGTAGATTGCGAGTTAGAACAATCGTGAAATGAACGTACATGGCTCGATATCTTCTGGGTGCAAATATGGGCAAGCCGTATGGCGGCAGTGGCCTTGGACGAAGGCCCAACAGTGCGTTGGCTGAGAACCTACACGAACGCCACCGCTGATGGTCCTTGCGTTCAACTTATTATCGTTCTCATGGGGCCTGGCTATTTCAGTTTCTTTATCAGCCAGAGAATGAGAATGAGCCTCTGATGATGAATGTACGAGCGCGAGATCGTGAATACTGGTAAAGAAGCATATTCATTACGCAATAATTCAATATAAGTATTGAAAATACTCACAAATTACAAAATTCACCCCGAGGACACCATCCTTTGTTTTTGATGTAGTACCTACATGGTTTCATTTTCCATGTCAAGGGGCGAAAGAGCGCAGAGTCAGATACTAGATCTAGCGGCGTTGTTGTAGGTGCCTTGTTGTTTGTCGGCCCTGAGGGCGCCGACACAGGTTGAGGCGGCGATGTACGACGCTGCGGGGTTTCGTTATTCTGTTCTTGAATCAGAAATGGGAACTGCTGTGCCATGGGCATGGTTGATGATGTAAATGGTAAGGGTAGTGGTATCGGCCATCTGAATACTGCGGGGGCACGATCAAATGGGCTGCTTGTGCTGTAAGATGGGAAGACAAGCGGGACGGCATGTATGTATCTACATTTTTCACCAAGGGCACACTGGTCCAGAATGAAGTTCTGACAGTACCCAGCTAGAAAAATGATTCAGCGGGCTGTTAGGATTTCTCTCTCTGAAGGAAAACTCACTGGCTCTGGAATATTTGCGTTTAACGAGCATCTTCAACGAGGATGTTGTAGACGGACGAATACTATGTTACTTTGGCCGCTATCTCTTCTTGCCAGTGAGCGGTAGGATTTCTTCGGGGAGGTTCTTCGGGGAGGTGCAAGACCACAAAGTGAAAGCAAGCTCTGAAATAGATGAGCAGAAGACGCTTTGGTTGTCTGACAGGGGCATTACACAAAGGTCTTTCAGGTTGCATGAAAGGACAAAGTGGGTGGTGCACGTGTGCTATCCGATGTGGAAAAATCCGTCCATTCTTCGAGTAGCTTGTCACTGAAACAAAGCATGCCGGCCACAGACAATAGGCAACGAGCAGAGAACAGTAAATTCGGCCCATAAAACACATCGACAAGAAAGACCAGAAGCACCAAACTGTCATCTTGTCAAAGCGGCATTGCTTGACTGTGGCATCATCAGTGACTCGCGGCTCATTAGAAATCGATAATTGATTTACTCTGCAATCAAGCTGAACCATATGCTCGATTTTCTCGACAACAAAGTCGAAAATACACTAACTGTGCGCAGAAACGATGGCACCAGATGGCACCAGTGGGTCCATGTGTTCCAAAAGATAGGCGAGAGTGCTGTTCATGTTCCTCGCGCAGGTGCGAACCTACCATCTTGTCACTGATCCACGCATCTGATTACATAAGGAGAAGGTTAAACAAAGCGTCCCAAGGCAGTGTAAGTAGACCGTGGTTGCTAAGACCATGACTGTAAGTCAAAACTCTCGCGACCACGCTCATGTCCCTTGAAACTCCGTGGACACGTATTATTAGGACAATGGGGATAAATTACATGCTGGTATGTCAAGTTTTTCCATCTGTTATCTGGCCCTGATCTATCCATCACAGACACTGATGCCAGTATTTTAGGAACGCGGGTCGCCAATGATTTAACATCATAAAATGTTCCAAAGAGGCACATCCAAGGCAGCGCACACACCGCTTTGTCTATTTCTAATATGCCAGTTCAACAGCCAATGTTGTGACAGCATAAAACATTATAGCGTACTTCGTCAAACCTACAAGTTCATTTCCGACGGGGTATCCAAAGCATGGCATCATATTGACCAAAACCAACGCCCCTGAAGCAGCCTGAGCGGAACCAGTCCGTGCGAAGCGCGATGTCACTTTAACTCGAAATCAACCCCATGATCATGCACTGGATTAGGTTTCGAAAAGATGTCTGATTCAGTTGACCTTCGATGTTAGATATCTGAAGTCTGTTGACGGCACTCATCCGACGAACAAACCCTCATCACGGTATGGCCTCCTTGTGCAACCAATCATGATTGATTCTTGCAAAATGTAGTCAGTGGTTCTTCAAATCTTTGTCATCCCTATGGAGCTTTATTGCATATCTTGTACGATAAAAGCGTGTCATAAAATACAATTGAGACACAATGCGAGTCAGGAGAATAATAATACTTGTCCAACACTACATCAGCACTGTCCGTGTCTACGATTATTACAAACGACAGTGTAAAAAGGACATAATGCTAATAAAAATAAGACCTTAAATGACTAACAATAGCCACATAGATAACACACTCTTTTACTTCGACCATCATGGAGGCAATGGCATAGGTTGAGACATAAGAGACCCGCTGTGACTTGATGGATCATATCTTTCTACCATGTGATGAGCACGTTTGCGTGGAGGTAGGTTAGCCATATCCTGCATGAACAGTAAGCTGGCTTGAAAGAACACCATATTGGGAGAATTTTGTAAAGAACGCACTCCGCAGTTTAGCTGCCCGTCTATCAAGTCTATCAAAATTAAGGATCTAGGAATACAATAAGGAAACTCACTGCGAGCATCAAGTTGACCAGCCTGGTCCCAAGTCCGCGAGTGCTTGCGCTCGGGCTTGAAGGGTTGATCGCTCGATGATCGCATCTATTCGGTAAGTCACATCAATCATACAAATCATTCTGAGTAAAACGACCTACATCGAACTGCGACATCGTCTCTGGCCCACCCGAGTACGAACCAGTCCCCTCCGGTTGCCGCCATTCCATAACTTTGGGGCTATTCGTTGCTGGCGTCACCATTCCTGTAGAATGTCTCCGCTCCGAGGATTCTTGCAATACATACTGATCTCGGAAGTGAGTAAGGTTATGCGAGGCGTGTATTACTTCCTTGCTTACTTCTGAATTTCTAACTTCGTCCTGAGATAAGGACGATTGTCTTGAGTATCCATCTGAGTATATTATAAAGACCGATACGACCAACGGAGAGCAGTGCACGTACCAATTGAAGATCGATTCCGTGCCAACAGGGCAAACACTGAAAAAGGCCCAATGATGAGCTTCTAGCACAAAAGATAAAACCAAAAAATGCCTACTTAGTTCATCGTGATGTTGCTCAGCTACATGGACTTCTCGCCTAGCACGAGTCTCCACCTCAAGACAGGCTGTGTACCTCTGAAACGCCTCCTGAGTCTGAGTTTGGGACCTGGACAAGTTCGCGCGCGCTTCCTGCAGTAATTGTCCTAGAAAGGATATATTAACAACGATAGTGCGATACCAATTTGTCAAGATGCCGCACTTGATGAATGAGCTTCCTGTACCAGCTTTTCATAGGTCACCGTAGATGGAACAGGCGAAGTCCGAACGATGTTTACGCGATTGGAAATACTGGGTGAATGGGCAAAGTTCGAGTTCGGTTTGCTTGAACTGCTTTCTAACACACAAGAGACTCAGCCAGTTCCCAGATGATCGGAAACATATAGTGTTTACCTCCTTGTATACGAATAGCCTGCTCACCCAGGTTGGAGGCAGAGTAGCCGGCGTCTGACAGCTCAGGTGTAGAGACCTCCATCTGGTCGTCGGTGACTTGGGGTTGAGAGTTAGGGCCCAGGTGCCGTAGGCGGGGATTATGAGGAATGCCAGCATTATGTCTTTCGATAAATTTCCTTAGAAATACCAGTTCGATATCGTCAGGCATGATGTATGGAGGGCCCTGTATATCGCCCTTCTGCATCAACACCTCTAGATGCGACATCGTCTTGTCTTTGAGCTGCTGCAACCATTCGTGCAACTCCATGTGATCCTGGTCAGCACGAGCATCTGTAAATCCGACAGCAAAAAAGGACATTGAGTCTTCCACTCAGTGGCAATCGAAAAGGTAGATCGAGTAGCTCACTATAGTCTTGCCGTCTGCGGGCTTTCCTCCAGTACGTCTTTGTCAACTTTAGGGCACGATTTACTTCATTGTCAAGGGTGCGATACCATTCACTGGACCGCCGGTTCAGCCGTACAGCCAGCACTCCAGGTTGGACCCGCAATTGTAATACGCAGCGACCTTCTTGGTCAGCTGGACCTAGTGCACCTTTTTGCCCTTGGTTGCCTCGCGTGGCGCCGCGCGAGACGTTGCCGAGCTCTGGCCATGGGAGGTCGTCAGTTAGCATGAAATGAAGAGTAATGAATAGGAATTATGCCAGAGGCAATCGAAGAGCGACGAAATTAGTAGGGGTCGAAAGGGTGGAGTTAAAACTCTTATAGATAATCTTCTGATGCTCTTATTATTGGCGTTGTAAGGAGCATTTGCGCTGTACGTTCCCTAGTGATGAGTTTCTGCAAGGGCACTGCCTCTCAGAATCCAATCACTCCTGTTGCCTGACATGTCAACATCCTCATGTCATGATGGCTGACGAGAAATTTCGAGGCTTTGTTGGGAACATGCAATCCCAAGGGCCGAGGTCAGATTGTTGGCATGAGATGGCGTTCCCACGTCTATATATCATGATGCACTGATGCGTACTGTATGTTCGAGTGGTGGCGGGTCAACGCCGTCGTTGGTCAGCTCACGGCAATTCTATCGTTATATTCTTGCAATCGTGCATATATAATGATTGTGTGTACATGGGTTGTTAGACTGATTAGTACAAATTTAGTGGATCTCGATGATGAGTTCACTAGCAAGCTATGCTGCAGTGGTGCCAACAATTGAGACACGGCAGTATACAAGATAACCGGCTGGATCAAGTTACGACTGATCATGTAGAGAAATTGACACCTTGAGCCAACGGTGCTGCATCGGAAAAGTTGATCGTGCAAGCGCTCCAGCGGACGTACTGTTTCCAAGCGTCACCCCCAGATTCACGGCCCCTGGTACAAAAGTCAGTAATGGAAAGTATCCTGTAAAATTGGTCACTGACCATCCAGTGCTCTGAGTTCAAAGTTATATCAGTTGATGAATAAACGTTGCTGGCATGGATTACCATACCTTGTTGCCTCCGAAAGCGGCCCCAATTTCAGCACCGCTCGTACCCACATTGACCTGTCAATACTCATAAATAGTCACCTGCAAAGTCAAGTAACAACTGTACACACATTTACGATACCAGTATCAGACCCAGCCGGACCTATCCATTTCCCGACATTTCGCAGGTCTCTAGTCCAAATGCTGCTAGACAAACCTTGCGGAACAGCGTTGTTGTATTCGATAGCCTGTTCCAAGGTATCAAATATGGCCGCATTTAGGATGGGAGCGAACGTCTCTGTGCTCCAAATGGGGTCTGTTGGATCATTAGTTTTGGGTATCGCAATTGTGGGCTGCACAAAGTTGCCATTCTTGAGGTGTTCTTCCTCGTATCTGTTGCCACCTGCGAGGATTTCGGCACCCGTATCTCGTAAATGTTGAACGGCGTTGCTGTAAATCCCCAATGCGGTGCTTGTATGGAGGGGGCCTAGGAGTGTGGAATCTACAAGAGGGTCGCCGGCCCGTACGGTACCATAGAGTCTCTGAAGTTCAGAAAGGAACTGCTGGGCAATAGCGCGGTGAAGATACAATCGTCTAGTTGAGGTGCATCGTTGACCCGCAGTCCCCACTGCACCGAAAAAGACAGCTGGAACAGCCAAAGATAAATCGGCATCCGGCATGATGATTGATGCTAATATAAAAGTGTTAAAAGCTGGAATCTCTAACCACTGTTGGAGATGGAGGGTCACCATTATTCCCGCCCAGTTCAAGGATGCTTTTGCCGAATCTAGACTGGACAGCCTTACCGACAACGCGGCCTACAGCCTCACTACCTGTAAAAGAAACTGTCGACAAGCTTGTGAGACCCAGGTACATCTTTTTGACAGATTTGGATTTACCTAAATTTACATCACGACTTTCTACGACAGCTTCTCCAACGTCCTTGCCACCCGTAACGAGACTAGACACGGCGCCCGGAATACCGTTCTTCTCTAAAACACTAGCGATGATTTTGGTCACAGCAATCGCACACAGCGGCGTGCTGGGAGAAGGCTTCCAAAGGTTAGCGTTACCTGCGGCAAACGACAAAGAGAAATTCCTGGAATTGATTATATAGATAAGGTTATAGCAGCATCTTGAGCACACATACCATCCATATACTGCTACAGGGAAGTTAAAAGCGGTTAATACGCCAACCACTCCCAGGGGATTCGGCACTGGGGGCCGGTCAGGAGAGAGGAACACAGGAGCAAAAGCTCAATTTACCTTCGAGGATAGAGTGCCCTGGCCTTTCGGAAGCGACTACTCTTCCATTCATCATTCTCGACAGACCTACAGCATAGTCGCACTGGAATTTTGTGAGGCTGTGACCCTGAAGACAGTGCCAAAAAGACATACAATGTCCACAAACTCCTGGACTTCACCGATTCCCTCGGTTTTGATTTTGCCCATTTCCAAAGACACAAGTGCGCCAAGGACATCTCGCTAGAGTTAACCGCTTTACATCGAGCACCTTTCGCGCCGGTGAGCGGTACATACCTTAGCAGCCAGAGCTTCCCTGATCTGTCTCAAAATTTCACCTCTACGAGGGGCAGGAATGGACCTCAAGACATGATGTGCTTCTTTGGTTCTCTCCAGCGTGCCATGTAGTTCCTGAGGAGTCGCCTGAAAAGAATAGACTCGTTACAGCGGATCATGCAAGGCCGGAGCTCAGGTTTGAACTTACAGATTGGACACGAGCTAGTACCTCACCAGTGGTAGGGCATACGCTCTCCATAACATCGCCTGTTCCCTTCCATTGGCCGTCAAAGACACCAGGTATTTCCGTGGATGTCGGGATCTCCAACGAGGACAAGATGGTGGATGCTCTGCTGGACAGGTGTCGCGTCAAACGTACACTGCGAAGTGATGTGACAGCTTTCTTGGACGACGACAGCATTATGATAATCTGAGATGTAGTAAGATGAAATAGACTATGGTAACATGCAAGTGCAAGTTCAAGACTGAGCCAGGTCAGTGACTGAGAATCCTTTGCTCATGATCCGGCGGTCGGTTCCTTGAAGTTGCCATCAGCATAGGCCGCCACGTGTTTAGGCGCTTCGTCGGTGCCGCTGACTCGCAAAGCTTACTGGATTGCACAAGTATATATTTACAAGAACTCGACATGTGTTCTGTATCGCCAGCTGCACTGTCGAGACATGTCAAGTCTTAATTAGCACATCGTTTCGTTGTCAGGATGCCCGCTAAATAGCTTAGTCGCAGACCCATTTGCAACACCCCGCAACGATGTTCACGGATCTTTGGTTAACATGCATATCCAATTTGATATCTTGATAAATCGGTATTCATAGTCAACATCCTATGTAATTCTCATCAATCCAGGAGGCCGTGTAACCTGAGCAGTCGGTCAAGATAGATTGACGTGGGTTCATCAAGAGGTAAATATCATCCTTCGGGGCCTAGACTTGGCGCGCGCCCATTAGTTTTGTAAAGTACTCGTTTACCGAGTCGCTGAATTCGAGTCACCCCTGGGAACAGTAAGGCGATTGAGCGGCAACGCCAGATACTATCGTCACTTGACAAAAGTCTATAACCCAGAAAAGAACGAAGGATCAGCGTCGATCTGGTTGCGACCTTTTTTCTTCTTCCCAGCTAGAGGATTCTTTTCGGGCTTCCGTTTCCTCTTTTTCTCTTTTGGGACATCAGAGTCCTCACCCTCACCCTCATCCCCAGAGCTATCCTTGTCGGACTTTTGTGCATCTTCCGGGACAGCATCGGACGAATGTATTGTTTCTACCTCACCTTCATCTTCATTCTCTGCGCCGCCACCGCCATCCTTGCCATCGTCCTCGTCTTGTGCTACGCTTTCGTTTTCATCATCTGTAGCCTTCTCTTCGTCCCCGTCTTCGTCCTCAAAAACGTCTTTTAGATCTGTCATCTTCAAGATATCTTCATGGCCGACGCTACCGACCCATCTACCTTCTCCACCTTGGTCAACCGCAATACGCTCGATAGGCCAGGCTCCGTGATCGGCGACTACACCAAGAAGCTTCGTAGGAAACAATTGTACAGCCCTTAGAAGCCCGTCGGAAGATCCCGTTAGAATGGTAGAATGAGATGAAGGGTATGATGATGGTAAGGAACATAGTGCGTCGATTGACTGCGGATGCCTTTACGTCCCTACTTCAGCAATTTAAAGTAAAAGGCCGTAAATCAACGACATACCCTGGTACCCTATCAACGCAGTCTGCCCAGCCGTGACTTCGGTTAAAGACGGAGAGGATACCCAATTGAGTACCAACCACAATTTTTGAACCGCTATCAAGCAGCATCAGTCAATCTAACGGTAATCTCGGGGGCGATGTTACTAACCCTTTGATAGCAACGATGGAGAGTAGTTCGTCTTCTTGATCCTCGGACTGAGCAAACGGTTCTATTTTCTTTCCACGGATATCGATCACGGAGAGTGTACCGTCTCCACTGGGAGATCAAATTATTTTGACACATGAGAATTTTAGTGTTGCTATGAGTGCTCACCTAGTGACGACGAGATGCTTCTTGTCTCCCAGCCATAGGAAATCAGAAATGAAGTCGAAATGGTGATTATAAGCCCGTAGTGCATCGGGTTTGCGGGGATCCCATAACTGGACAAACATAAGATAAGCCGACGGTATGGTTACTTTTGTGAATTGTTGACCTTGACTACTCCATCGTCGTCTCCGGATGCTAGCAAATGGGGCATTAAATGCTTCATTCGATTGATAGGCGCTCTTCTCGGTCACTATACCTATCAATAACATGAACAGGGCATACGCGTATGTGACTCACTCGTGAGCGTCTTTGCGCGTTTCAAGAAGGGTACCTGTTGATGTATCGATGGTACTGTGATGTTCAATATTGGAATTGAATGGAACGGTGTGAGTAAATGGGACGTACAACATAGCCTTTGTTTTTCCTGCAGCCCACAGGTGGGAGCCATCTTGATTGAGTGTCAGACCTCTTATAGACCGCTTTGAAGGTCTGACTGAGAAACTTAGATCATGTTGGCCCTGTTCGTCGTATCGAAATGCGCTGACTTGGCCGGTGAGAAGACCAGCGTAAACGGTGGAGTGGGATGGATGAAATGCAAGGTCGAATATCTGAGCACCCACAGGAATGTCCGGCATCAAGCTGCCTAAGTAATGAGGATTTGAGGTTCAGCAAGGAAAAGCCTGATGAGATCGAAGGGAGGCACGGCGACGAACCAGGAGCGGGCCGAGACTCGGCCGGGAACAGCCGAGCATCGCCGCAGCGAGGAGGTGCGCGCTTTACGGTCGAAAAGCATAGCTGCAGTATAGTAGAGCTTATGAATGGATGAATATCCATGGGGCCAATGTGGTTGCTGTCGACTTTCCTAGTCTTTTTGGCTGCCCTATGTCTTGCTGAAACCATCACCCTTAGAAGCCCAGCCGTGCGCGACAATGCCCTTTCCGCCCACATCGACGCCAGAGCCAAGGCTGGTCACCGCCTTTTCCGTACCCCAAAGAACCATGTTGCTGGAGAAGATAGCGATGTTGAAGACGTACAGCTCCTCGACATCGTTCTAGTCGCCTCTGTCGACGGGAAACTGCATGCGCTGAACCGATCTTCTGGCCAAACACTCTGGTCAATGTCGTCTTCCCCACTGGGCGCACCTTCCACTCTCGCACCCCTAGTTCGCACAACACATGCCACCGTCGACCCAGACCTCACAGACGATGATTTCGACCACCAAGAACTCTATGTCATCGAACCTCAGACTGGAGACATATATGTTATGGCAACCCCCACCAGCCCTCTTCAGCGTCTGTCCTTCTCCATGTCCCAGCTCGTTGACATGTCGCCGTTTAGCTTCGCAAGAGAAGAGGATAAACGCGTTTTTGTTGGAAAGAAAGAAACTTCTTTGCTCTCGGTAGAGTTGGAGACGGGTAGAGTGAGAGCTATCAGTTCAGAGTGTCCCTGGGACCCCTTCGAGGATCTTACTTCGCACGACGATTTGGAAGTAGATCTAGACGAACTGGAGGATGTCCTTCCTCCCAAACCAAAGTCAGGCTCAACCGAAGTGTTCATTGGACGCACCGGTGAGTGTTTTTTCACATTATATGGCTCAAGGTAAATAGACATTATATGCGCAAAGACTATCACATTTCCATATATACGCGCCCTTTAAACCCTTCAGGGCGCAGGGCTCCAGTCCAAAATCTCTCATTCTCAACGTACGGCCCCAACAACCAGGACAACGCACTACAATCGTTGTATCGTCGGACTGCCGACGATACATACATAGATTCACTTCCAAATGGACGAATATTCTCTTTCAAGGCTCGCAATTCGGACAACCCAGAATCATATATCAGACGAGACCCGCAAGCTCTCTGGGGGCTGTCTTTTGATAATCCTATGTAAGTCTCGGTTGTCTGAGCTGTTCCCCGTATATTCTTCTGTGTGCTTTTTTTATGTCCACTTTCCTCATTTACATGTTCTCCGGTGCTTTTCATTCCTCCTTGAACTCTCTTTCCCATGACTGTTCGCTGACGACGCATATAGTGTAGCCGTTTTCGACATTCTTACTAGCCCTCATCGACCCCAACCGTTTGTGCTGCTCCAACCTCGCCCTGCCATCGAAGATGTTTTACGTGGCGTTGATCCCGCTTCAGCTTTGACGCTTAATCAGATACTTGACCCCGATGCAGCTTATGTGGGCCTAGTGGAAGAGACTGGTTCATTATTTGTCATGAGCGCTGAGCGCTTTCCCCTAATCGCATTTAGTGACACACATTATAGTCCTGGCCTCAAACTCATCGATCCACCATCAGACTCCGATACAATCAGGGATTTACCAGATAAAATCGACGCTATTACGCAGTCGAGGAAACATCGTGAGCTATGTGCGAGCGATCCTTATAATCGGAAATGCTTGACTGGCAAGCGTCCTCTCGATTCATCCGGTCACAGTAGCCGACAACTCCCAGGTGTTCCTTCCGTTCTTCTTCCACCAGGGCAAGGCACAGATAGTGATAATAGTGTCGACACCGACGGGACACTGCCTCGTTTGGTCGATAGTAGGGACAACAGTTCAATCGTTACACCATGGCCTTGGCGTTCCGCTTTAAACTCAACAACAGGAGTTAGTAACTCACTCGGGCTGAACAGCATTTGGCAGTTGTCTGCTGCGGTATCCTTCTTGCTTGCTTTAGTCGTAGGCACGGTTTGGGTGATCAAGACCAAAGCTATCCGCATATACGTTGCTTTGGAGCCCAAAGAACAAATCAAGCACCCTCAGACACCTGTCGGAACACGCCCTGCTATCTCTCCTCCCCAAGCGTCTATCATTGAGGCCAGTTCAGCTCCTTCTGATATACCAAAGGAACCCCTTAATACCCAGGATGTGCGCGAAGATGGATCGCATGAGAACAAAACACCCCAACAAGTTATAGCTGTCATTGATACGGAGCCACCATCAATCGCAGCAGACTCCCTCAAACCTGCCGTGAAGTTTGCCGAGACTTCGGAAGTACCTCAACTGATCGATGGCGTTGCAGAATCCCAAAAAGAGAATGGAGATGCAGAAGAGAGCGAACGGGAAGGAGATGGGGAAGTGGATGCTACTCCCAAGAAGCGGAAGCCTCCCAGGAGAAAGAGGGGAAAGAAAGGCAAAGGCACCTCTGCAGCAAACGGAGGGAACATTGATGAAACGGAAAAGGATGAGATACCAGAAGAAGGACGTGGAAAGGAGGACGGGATAATGTTGGAACAGAGGGATGCCGGGGGATTGCCGCCTGCGACGTTGGTGATAACGCAATCCCCGGACGTTCCTTCCACCGTGCCTTCATTAGTCGTATCAGACACAATTCTTGGTGGGCCGATTTTTCATTATTTAAAATGTAACTAATCGTTCTTTCCCAGGTTTTGGATCTCATGGTACCGTGGTTTTCAAAGGATCACTTCAAGGTCGTTCAGTAGCTGTGAAGCGACTACTCCGAGATTTTGTCACGCTTGCATCACGAGAAGTCAGCATTCTCCAGGAATCAGACGATCATGCAAACGTCATTCGATATTATTACCAAGAAACTCATGCCAACTTTCTCTATATCGCACTTGAGCTGTGTCCAGCTTCTCTGGCGGACATCATTGAAAGCCCAGACCAGTTCCGCGACATCGCCATCGCTTTCGACCCAAAGCGTGCACTTCGACAAATTGCGTCTGGATTGCGCCACCTTCATTCTTTGAAAATCGTCCATCGCGACATCAAGCCACAAAACATCTTGGTATCCGGCCCTAAAAAAGGTGCAGGCAAGGATGGTGGACACCGCATGCTTATTTCGGACTTTGGGCTGTGTAAAAAACTGGATGTAGACCAGACGAGTTTCTTGCCAACGGCTCATGGCGCGATGGCGGCCGGTACAGTCGGGTGGCGGGCCCCTGAAATTTTACGTGGCGAGGTGAAACTGGATGATACTATGGGTGACGATCATTCGCAGTCGTCTCGCGGTAGCGTTGGGACGTCATCCAATGGTACTGCTACCGGAAAACCGACACGATTGACAAAGTCTGTGGACATCTTTGCGCTGGGATGCCTGTTCTTTTATACACTCACTAACGGTGGACATCCCTTTGGCGATCGCTTCGAGCGAGAAAGCAATATCTTTAAAAATTCAAAATGTCTTGACGGACTGGAACGTTTTGGGGAGGAAGGGTCAGAAGCTGTAGATCTGATTTCGTCTATGCTAGACCCTGAAGCCTACAAAAGGTACTTGCTTTACTTCACCAGTCATCAGATCAGAGAGCTGAACAATTTTTTTTGTAGGCCAGACACGACGACATGTCTCCTCCATCCGTTCTTCTGGGATCCTGCACGACGTTTGACTTTCTTGCAGGATGCTTCTGACCGGTTTGAGATCATGTGTCGTGATCCACGAGATCAAAATCTTATCATTCTCGAAACCGGCGCGTTCGACGTCGTTGGCAACGACTGGCACTCGCGCCTCGATAAAGGGTTTATCGAGAACCTTGGAAAATTTAGAAAGTACGATGGCAAATCAGTACAAGATCTATTACGGGCTCTACGAAATAAGGTTGGCATATACTTGCTTCCATCTTCTTTTCAGCCGTTGACAGTTATGGTCTGTTAACAGAAACATCACTATCAGGATTTGCCAGATAATGTCAAGCGGAGTCTGGGCCCTATGCCAGAGGGATTCCTATCGTACTTTACTCGTCGTTTTCCTCGCCTCTTCCTACACGTTCACAGCGTCATCTCTGAGACGTCACTGCATCACGAATCGATGTTTAGATCATATTTCGAGTTGGCTGACTGATCTGCTTTGCATGTTTATAGGTCTTGTAGGACTTGATTGCGGTGGTAGGACTCACTAGTATTTATTGTACTCTCTAACTAAACACTTGTTGTATCTGTATGTTGCTGCTCTGCATTTTGCTATACTATATGCGACGAATATCATTATAAAAACAATACAATAGAAGTTCTCCAAACCATGGCCCGGAAAAACTAAGAAAATCAATCATGCGTAATCGTCATGAATGAAAAACGAAAAAAGTAATGTACACGATCCCGATTGTCCTGCTGGTTCATTTGTTTACAGATAATCCAAGTCCAGTGTCATAGCTGCCCATCACAATTAATTGTGTCCAACAGCAGCTAAAGCGATAACAAACACCACAGCGATCACGACACCACCTGCCACAGCTGCCACCCTACAACGTCTAACCCATGGGTCCAGAGGCTTGTGCACGTTCGGCCTCAAGATAGTTGGAGTGGATGAGAGCCCAGCGGTACTGTTTAATGGGGGCGCGAGGCTTGCAACGGAGGGAGCAACGAATGGGTAGCCGTTGTGAATAAGACCGCTATAAGAATTCAATGTGACGGTACTTTTTCCCTGGGTCCATAATGGCAACAAGTGCTTGCTTCTCGATGCACCCCACGGAACCGTAGCCGGCTTTCTTGGTCTGTCCGACTGCATGGCGCCAAGAAGCCATCCACCAATGAGCCAACACCAAGGTGCCACAAAGCCAAGCCAGAACATGATACATGTCATACTAGGTCTTCCGCTTTCTCGATGTTTGCGCACAAGGGGAAACAAGGCACCGCTTGCATTGTTGGATGCAAAGCGACGGTCGATGAAGGAGGAAGAAGCTGAGGGTGGACGGACGGGAAGGCTTGTAGTTGACGTTGAACGCAAGCTGGCGGCTGGAGCTGAAGCAAGTGACTTGTTTGGCTGGAAGTCATGCGTGCTTCCGAATGGGTGAGAGTAAGATGGTGGGTAGGAGCTCGTGTGTGAGGGCGAACGGAAACGTGGAGGTAAGTTAATGTGTGCAGCCTCAGGTGGAAGCGGAAAGTAGAAAAAGTCGTCATTGAGAAGGGGTTGTATCGATTGTGGATAGTCGCGTTCAAAGTCGAGTTCCAGAGGTTTCGCGCTGTCAGGTAGTACCGAGACTCTGTTGTTGGTCTTCCCATCACCATTGATCTGAATAGAAGGAGCAGTGACGAAACTGTCGGCACGGAAAGAGGACCCATCGTCATCACCACCGTTGTTCATAGCTGACGATGGCGATAGCAGGTCTTTTGATGGTTGTGCTGGTTCCCTGTGCAATGGAGTCGATGGTTCCTTACATGCTGGCGACATAGGATCTTTAGACGACGAGCCCAAGGATGATCCACGTGTTGGGGTCCTCAGAGGTATAGGTCCGGGGAATGAAGGACGGAGATCAAGTGGCGGAATGACAGGGGGTGATATGGACGTAGGTGTGCGACCAGAAGTAGAAGTCTGTGTTCGAGTCGAGGATAAACTATGTGAACGATTGAGAGGGCGCGACAGGAATGAAGAAAAGACAGGAGATGGCCCTTGAAGAAATACATCAAGATGCAAAACGATAAAATAAAAATATGGTGAGACGCACGAGGTGAGTCTTCGTCCCGCAATCCACGCATACTCAGTGGGCTCGGGAGTGCACTTCTTCGGTTTGGGCTCACTGGTGTGAGCATCGGTGTAGAAGCAGATGCCGTAGCCGGGGACAACACCAAGATGGGGCTGATGGGCGTCATCATCATCTGGCTCACCGGAGTGACCATGGTAGGCGTTGATGGTGAATTCGAGCTACCTTCGGTTGAAGTTGGCAGAGACACAGGACGCTTCTCAGGGGATAAATAATCTTGCTCGACGATCGGGGAAAGCGGAGCGTGGGTTGGGAAGACATCCTCCTGGCCAGGGAGACGAAGGGAATAAGAGCTCTTGGAGCCAGACGCATATGTGTATCCTGATACACCAGGGGCATGTGCATAGAGCTTTGCACGTCCGGAACTAATGGAAGGTGTGGTCAAAGGGCTCGAAGCAGGCGGGACGGGTAGTGATACAGGGGGAGCCGTAGTAGAGGGCGACGATGGGGGTGGGGGAGGAAAATATGATGCTTTGAGTGTCGGCGCTGAAATAGGCGGAGGAGCCGTAGGGGGTGAGGAAGCAGGCGACGATAAGGATCTCCCCATAGACGGTGCTCTGATGTGTGTATTACTATTCGTCTGCCTTGATACTTGTGAATTTGAACCTCCAGCAAGACTACTACTACTGCCATTGCTAAGCCATGCGATATTTGACGGAGTTGTGGGCGAGTCCAAGCTACTCTGTGAAGAAGCAGATGAAGAGGCATGGTGGTGATACCAGTATGGATAAGTGGGTGGCACACGCAGACTTGCAGGCTGGGCATGCGGAAGAGTGGAAGAGCGTTGTGGGGTGTACGGGTGTGTATGCGTTTGAATTGGTGGGGGAGGTTGGAGATGGGGCTGGGATTTAGAATATTCTTGTTGCGGGAGCTGTGTTTGAAGTTGAGGAGGGGAATCGGAGAAGAAGCCTGGTAGACTATGCGCTGATAATTGCGGGTAGGTGTAAAGCTCGGGCTCCAGTTCCTTGCCCTTCTCCTCCGCTCCTACGGTTCCCTCTGTGCTTCCTCCCGTAACATCTTTCTGCGAGCCAAGAAAACTGAACATATGTGTTAATATTTCGTTTTTCCTGCTTCAAGATAGATGTGGATCGTCTGTAGACTTCAAAACGTCGAATACACTCTCCCTTCCTCAATGCGACCTCGAAAGCCTCGAGGTAGCTGTACGCGTGTGACAAAGGAAGCGCTAGATAGGATTGGGCCCCAGGCAAATAGTTATGAGTATAAAGCCAGTGAAAGTTCCAAGTATCTCACCTAATATATATACGTGCACTAGGAGAGGTTCACAAGCGTGTGCAGGGCGAGGGTGAGAGCATAAGACGTGGGGTAAGGGAGGAGGTGCAGGGTCCGTAGGCTTCCAATTCGATAGGGGCTGGCTGGCTGGCTGCATTGTGCGTGGTATAGTTGAGGGCTGGCTAGACGTGGAAGCCACGAGAGCGGCTGACAGGCGTCAGGATAATTCGGCTACGCATTTCAATGTAATGACACTGGTTGTATGCGCCGAAGAAGTAGGCATATTAGCCTGATCAGATGAGATAGAACGAGCGCGAAACATATCTCCGGTGGTGCCAGCAAATCGGAGAATGCAGGAGCTTTGACCAAGCTGCCGTGCAGTCTGCAATCGGACTATGGGCCACTCTGCAGATATGCTTCTCTATCGAATTTCCCAACGTCGCTGCGGTCTATGCCAGACGATACGAAGGAACATTGGCAGATGTGATTTCGAGCTCGTGCCAACGATGTCGCATAGATTCTGACGCCGTCCGCTGCCTTCGTTGATAGCGGATCTGTAATTGCAGTACGACAACATCATGATAATCATCCACGCCTCTCGACACGCATACAATGATACATGCTGTCTGTCTTCCTGGCGGCCTCGCGATGATCGTGCCCTGATATGGAGGCGCAGCAAGGCATTTGATGATCGTCAAGACCATGATGGCGGCCACCTCGTGGTTCATGTATTCATGATAACATGGTTCCCAGGCGTTCAAGTGGACAGACGAGCGCATATAGTCGATCTCGACGGCATTATGTTGGTCCAGTAGTGGTTCGCGTGTGGTGGTAGAATGCAGATTGTTAACTAGCCGCCCCACGTCGATTGGCGAGCATTGCGGCAATCAAACATCAGAACGAACTGTTAAGGACATGCAATTTTACGTATAGGCTACATGGGGTTGTCGGTGTGGGGTGCAAACCAGCGAAACGTATACTTACTGACATGGTCTTGATAGCGCTAAGGCGTCTGAATTGTAATCGTGAACAGCGGAAAAGAAACTGGGCCAGATCTGTTTAAAATATACATACGTGCCCTCAGCCCACCAAGCTTTAATACACAAATTTAATGCATTCAGCGTATCACGGCTATCCCCACCAACAACAAAACAAACAAGCCAGAATTACAGCCATCCGGGTATCGTATACTTAACCATAATCGTTCCTTCTCTTCATCCATGATATCGTGATAATACTGTAGATATAGATATGTCGTCCCACCACCTTGGCCTTTCCACACCATGCATCATTCTTCTGTCTCTGGGGTATCCTGAGTATCTGGAGCATCAGGCTTGGATGGGGAATCGACAGCTGCAGCTGCCTCTCCTGCATTGGTAGTGTCCTCAACGATCTCAGATGGGATATCTTGCGGTAACGTGGCATCATCGCGCGTACTCTCTGCAGCATCCTCCTCTCCCGACCCCGAAGCCACAGAATGGGCATCAGCGTTCTCTGAGTCTTTCACTTTCACTTCCTCAGCCTCTTCCGATGTCTCATCCAAAGGTTGCGAGTCAGGAGGGGGTGTTGCTCCAGGCGACTCAGGTAGAGGTACACCTTCAGGCTTGAGTTTTGAGTTGTCGCCCTGACTCTTATCTTCGAGCTCAACTTTCTTCACACCGCGTGTTACAGCGTTGAGGTCTTCGCCATCCTTATCCTTCACATTGTCCTTCTCCTCAGCATCCTCCTCTCGCGATCCTGGGGTAGATGCTTCACCGTTCAGTGAATTTTCGTCAACAGCCATCGAGTCTCCCCTCGCCTTCTTCGATCTCGACACTGACTCCTCATCATCTTCGCGTTCTGTCGCGCTGTATCGTCGTTTCCTTCCTATCGTCGGTGCGTTGGACGTGGCTATCGAGATAATGAGGTAAAGTCAGCCCACTGCAAATATGTTGAAAAGTTACGCGAGAAAATCACAACTCGAGAACAGGAAAAAAAGCTCCACAACATAAAACTCGAAAGTACTCACCATCATCTCTCCACGGCCGGTCTGGGCGAGGGAGGACAGAGGTAGATATGCGCCGTATGAATTTGAACATAAGTTAGAGCGTACAATGGTGCTGGTGGCAGAGAATCTGGGGACGGCACGCGGGTATAATACAGGGTACTGATGTGACAGATTTACACGTCGACGCGACTTTCGTGAAGACCGTGTGGAGAACCAAATGAGTGTTTGTGGGTGTTTGCGCATGCCATAATGACCATCACATTCTATGGCCATGTTCTCTAGCCACGACCACATTCGAGCTGCTCCTTGTTATCGACAGCGACACTCTTCTTGCGTTTGCAACATCAAGGCCAGGCAATGGAAAGCTAGCATCTCATATCGTTTCGCCTGGCTTGCAATTTGGCGTGCACGGGACATCTGTCTAGAAGTTCTTTTGAATTAATTTTGGATGCGGTGATAGAGAACTTGCATCGTGGTCATCGTGCTTTGGGCTAACGTTAACCTTCGTGGGCATCTTCCCGGCCAGCTCGCAGTCATATCAAACACTTATCATTGGTGCTTATCGTCGTATTGGCACGTCTCATCTCGGAATCATCACTGTAGCCAAGACAGGATTCGAGCGGTCATCCACACTGAACCCACAAGTTAACAATCAATGACCGTCAGCCTCCCGTTCCTCCTTGACTTTGCATCGCGGTGTCGCGATTGTCCTAGCACTTGACGCGCATATCGTTTCTCGAAGGTATTGGCTCCTTACTCGTTGCTGCTGTTGTATGGATGCCCGGGAAGAAATCGATTTCAGCAAGTCTAGGCGTTATCGGACCAGCGAATGAGTACTGGCTGAAGGATCTAGTTACCCCATATTCAATTATGCCCACCTTGTAAAATTTATCTCAGGACTTATAACCTTCAGCTTGAGGAAAAATATATTCAACGTTCATGCACGTTCATGCGCTACACGGTGTGAGCATTTTACAATACTGGTATAATATACTAACCGTACACGGTATTAGGAAGAACATGTACATGTGCCAAATGAAAGCGACCAAGGGAAATAAATCTTGGCAAGACGAGTTTTCGTTATACTGCTCGACTAATGGTGTCAGAATATCAATGCTGCCAGGGGGGATCTCTCCTCGCAGTTCTACCGCTTACGATAGGTTGTTGTCCACAATCCAAATCGCAGTTGCAACAAGACTCAAAATAGGAAAAAAGATTGAAAGTACATTCAGGCAGCCTCAGGTGCCTACTTATAGCATACACACACTGATACCGCTTTACAACAACATACAAATATCGTACAGCTATGGAGCATCATTATCTGCAGCTTCAGCCGTTGAGCCAAAGTAAGCTAGAAGAACGATGTTCTGCGCGTCATGAGCGTCTTCATGCAGGCCTAGAGCGAGACAGTACATATATCAGGAAAAAAGTCTGTTGATCAAGCGCACTCACCTATGACATCCGTCCTTGCTGCATCGTCCGCAATAGATAAATGGCGCGAGGGATGATCCGTATCGTGCAGCGAGTATGCAAAGATTGGGCTACCTCCAATACGTCGAAAGCCGACCTGTGAAGTGATATAACTCATGTGCTTCAGCGTCTCTTTTGATAATGACGAGGAGATGAGGTCTTGGAACGGCGGACGCTGGGCCGGCATAGTAGAAGAGATTGGCAGGTACTCCATTCTGGACTAACGGATGAGCGCTGTAATTCAGTGAACAGCCGTACGTTTACCTTGTCTTACTGACAATGAGATCTGCACAATGCAGGTGGTATCACGAGCTCGAGTCTACGATGCTATCATAATACCGACTGTTGTATGCTTGGTTTAATCCCGATGTTAAGTTTTCTGTATCAATTGCAAGAATATACGATCGGGTCTCGGTGCTTCTATGCTCTCCATGCTGCAGTACTCTAGTTTTTGCCGCTGAACTAATGGATGAAAAGAGAGACTCTGTGACTAGCCAAGTATTTCCTGTACCCTCCAGATCGATGTATTATAACTAGTTAGTCTGGCAGCAAAAACTACCATTCGTAAGTTTAGTAGGAGATATCGCTGTTCGACAAACACAGATTCAACTTTGAGCACTCCCGCCCATCCTCAAACTATACTTCCGACCTATTCCCTAAAAAATAAGTTTCACGGTCTGGCTGCAGGGAAGCTTCTCCTAGAATGGAAGGCTGTCCTTGAACAGTATTTGCAGGTAGCAGCTCGATCACTGCTCCTTGTTCTCGCCTGGCCTGACCATTGAATACCGCCATGCACCTCTTGGAGAAACATGAAAGCAAGCTCGGTGGTGGGGATCCATTATCTGAACCATCTATCACAGGTATATCAGCCATGGATGTGAGTTCCAGTTGTTCATCAAAAAAAATCTTCAACGACCACTTTGGTCGTCCATTTTGTTCAGTATTCAAAATGTAAATGCACCCTGATGTGAGTACAAATACCGTCAGTGAAGCTACTCCTACAATTAGGCTTGGGGCTTCAGCTCGAGGGTAGTAACACTCCATCAGGAGCGCGACAAGGAAAAGAAGCATTCTGTAACAATGATCAGGGCCAGACTGCAATGAGATGTATGCCTATCGTAACTCACCCCCACATAAGTAACACATAGGGAAGACTGCAGATCAGTGGAAGTGCCTCCTGACCATACTTTTCGTGGCCCATTTTGTTTAAGAAAATTACCTGTGCATGACAGTTTTCGAGATCAGGATGCAGATCAAAATCAGCAAAAACTAATCATGCAGAGACTCACCGCCTCCTCGACAGTCTCTCGTACTTCTGTACGATTGTGACGGAGGAGTATCAAGCCAAGGATAATACTCCCAACACTAGCAACAAGCAACACATAACTAGCAACCTGTATGGGTGACCGGGTGACGTTATCGTTGACGCCAATGTTGCTGCCATTGTCGACTGTTTGGATGGCTAGGAACCCTACATTGGCATTGAGCAACATAGTTGCCTATAAGTAGACCTTAGTTACATAGTAAAATAAAGTTCTTAAATCCGATGCTTACCAACAGGTTCTGCTCTTGCAGCTCATTACTGATTTTATCGATGAATTTGTTCCATGCAAGGGGACTTGTGATGGCGGCGTCTACAAAGAGCTTGTGCAGCGCTTTTCTGTGGACATCTGGCGTGTAAAAAAATATAGGGGATAAAATGGACAACAAAGTTGACCGGGTAAACTTTTGTTTATGAATTGAATGGTAAGAAATAAGCCGAGAACCCTGAATGCCATGAAAGTTGGTAAACTGAACTCGTGCTTGATTTATGTTATTAAGACTCAACACGAGCAAAAGGAAAGCATTACATACCGAATTCTATTAAGAACAAAGCTTGAAGGAAGTGTCTAGCCACTTGCTGAGAGCAATCAGGGACTGGAACTAGAGTCCAATGTGAGTAACTTTATTATTAGAGAGTATGACAGGTATACAGTACCTAGAGTCCAATGTGAGTAACTAGAGAATAGGAAGCATTGGACTCTGCAATACTGTCCGAAGTTTTGTAAACAAAGGTAAACAAAGCAGCCACAAAGGCGAAATAATAGAGAACACAATCAATAGTGAATGATAGAAGAATAGATAGAGAAAGGAATGAAAATATATAGGTAGCACAAAGGTGCAGAATCACCAAAACTAACACTCCCCCCTGATGCTGCACCTCCCAAGCATCAGCTCCCCCCTGATCTAATAAGTCCCATCATCTTCCTGAACACTTCCACTTTAGGCTTGGCAAGAGCCTTGGTCAACAAGTCTGCAGGCATTTCAGCAGTGGGAACAAAGGTAGGAGCAATCTGCCCAGAGTCAACAACATCTCTCAACCAATGCCATCGCAGATCAAGGTGTTTCATCCGACCATGGTGCTCAGGGTTCTTGGATACAGAGATGGCAGATTGGTTGTCAATATGAAGGGTGGAAGGAGAGGTGATAGGATAGCCCATTTCCTTCAACAAATTTCGCATCCAGCAAATCTCTTTGCCAGCCTCAACAGCAGCAATGTATTCTGCTTCAGTGGTGGACAGAGCAACAATGTTCTGAAGCTTGGAGCTCCAGGAGACAGCACCAGATCCCATCTTGACAATATAGGCACCAGTAGAACGACCAGAGTCCTTGTCACCACCATGATCAGCATCAGAGAAAGTGGTGAAGAGTTCAGTGGAATTGGGATCAGGACCAAGGACAAGGGAATGATTAAGGGTGCCTTGCAAGTAGCGGAACAAGTGCTTGACAGCGCTCCAGTGAGTAAGACCAGGATTAGAGTTATATCTGGCAAGGACTCCAACAGTGTAGGCAATATCAGGACGAGTGGTAGTGGCCAGATACATCAGAGCACCAACAGCAGCAAGGTAGGGAATGTCCTTCATCAAAGCAGCATCACTGGATGTTTTGGGAGACATGTCCTTGGTGAGGCGCAAACCAGGATCCATGGGAGTGGACATAGGCTTGCAGTCCTTCATGCCAAAGTGCTCCAGAATGTCCAGAGTGTACTGATGTTGGGAGAGGGAGATGGTGCGATTACTTAGGTCTCTAGTGATGGAAATGCCAAGTAGGTAAGAAGTAGGGCCAAGATCACGAAGCTTAAAGTGCAGGGAGAGGTCCTTGACAGCTTGGTCAAGTGCAGAAGTAGAAGTGGATGCCAGTGTCATGTCATCAACAAAGACAGGCAGGATAATGCGCACATCAGCTCTGTTAAAGACATAGATGGCAGAGTCTGAATAAGTACGCTTGAATCCGAGTTTTTCAAGCACAGTGTGCATCTTCTGGTTCCACATTCTGCCTCCCTGCTTTGTCCCATAGATGGCCTTGTCCAACTGGCAAACAAGATTGCGAGGACCCTGATGGAATCCCTCTGGCTGATGCATGTAGACCTTGACATCCATGACTCCATTCAGGAATGCATGGGAAATGTCAATGGAGCGCAAATGGAGGTTGTGGATGGCTGCAATGGCAAGGACAACTCTGATGGATGATATGCGGACAGTAGGTGCAAATATTTCGAGGAAATCAAAGCCAGGGCGCTGGTTATAACCTTTGGCCACATATCTGGCCTTGTAGCGCTCAACAGTGCCATCTGAGTTGCGCTTGATCTTGAAGACCCACTTGCCACCAATAGCCTTGACTCCAGGAGGTAGTTCCACTAGTGACCAAGTACCATTGCGCTCATGAGCTTGAAGCTCTTCCATGGCTGCCTCTCTCCATTTATCTGCATCAGGACGCTTCATTGCATCTGCAAACGACCTAGGCTCAGCAGAGTCTCCAAAGTGTGCCACTTCATCATCAACTGCCTCAGAATCACTGTCATCACTCTCAATGGCAGGAGTAGGTTGTCTGTGTTGAAGCCACCATGGTCTAGGTGGTCTCCTAGCCCTTACAGGGCGTCTCAGTGCAATAGGCAAGTCAGGAGAAGGTGAGCGATGAGGAGGGTGATTTGGAAGCTCAGGAGGTTGATTCACAGGTGGTTTTGCATCAAGGTCCAAATGAGGCCCATTGTCAGGCAATGGTTGAGACTGCTGAAGCGCAGCTGGTGGGCCCATATCTCCCCCTGGACCTGGTGCAGGGACATCCTCAATCAGGCCCAATGGCATGGATAGCGAAGGTGGAGTGGGAGGTGGAGGCGGGACATCGTCAGAAGACCTCTTCAAGCCAGGGAAGTAGCGCTCATCAAAATCAGCTCTCTCAGAGATAACAGTGTGCTTGGTGGTAGGATTGTAGAATTTCCATCCCTTGTATCCCTCAGGGTAACCAATGAACACACATTTCTCCATATGAGAGCCAAAGACGCCTCTTTTGTCCTTTTGCACATGCACATAGGCAGTGCAGCCCCAAACGCGAAGGTGAGACATGTCAGGCTTGCGTCCATACCACAACTCAAATGGAGTGGCATGGGCCACTGCATCAGTGGGACACCTGTTCCAGACATGCACCAAAGCGGACAGACATTCACCCCAGAAGCTGTTAGGCAATGCAGACTCTGATAACATGGCAGTGATACGCTCAGTCAGAAGTCTGTTTGCTCGCTCTGCCACACCATTCTGCTGAGGACGATTCCTGGTGGTATGCTGTCTGACAATCCCATGATCATCTGTGAATTGCTCAAATTCCTTGGACATGTACTCTCCCCCTTTGTCATCGCGCAGAGCCTTGATTTTACGCTCCAATTGAGTCTCAGCATAAGCCTTGAATCTCTTGAAAGCATCAAAGACATCTGACTTGGCCTTGAGAGGCACAACAACACGGAATCGACTGTGATCGTCAATGAAGGTGACCCAGTAGCGATAACCAGAGAATGTGGGGGAAGAGACTTGGTGTACATCAGAATGGATGAGGTCCAAAGGATGAGCAGAGCGAGTATCAGATGAGGGGAATGGATTGGCATGCATCTTGCCAGACAAGCACGGTTCACAGACAGGATCAGGAGCAGCCTTGGATTCCAGTGTAAGCCCAGTGACCAGATCTCTCTGTATCAGTCTCTTGACATCAGCATGATGGTGGTGAGCCAATCTGCAATGCCAGAGCATCAAATCAAGTGGTATAGTCGCAGTAAAATGTCCCAATTCAACACAAGCAGCAGTAGATCCATCAAGGAATGCTGCATTGTTGTCATTGATAGTTGCAGTGAACAAGAGAGTGTTGTCACACATAAAGGACATGGAATGAGACGAAATAGTGACATTGAAACCACTTTGACGAGTTAAATACAAGACTGAGAGGAGATTATTTTGAAGATCTGGTACATGGAGCACTCTAGAGAATTCCACAGCCCTAGCCACTTTGCCATTCATCACAGGATTAAACACCACAGTACCAACACCAGCTGAATAGACAACAGTGTGATCAGCCAGCTTGATTGGCACACGATATGGGGTATAGTGGTGCATCCAATGACGATGAGGTGTCATATGAGAAGTGGCGCCTGTGTCTGCATTCCAATCAATGTCAGCATCAAGTTGGAGAGGGCAATGAGGATCAGAGGGATGAATAGAACGAAGACTTGCATTCCCAGCTGATTCAGTGACCACAGTAGATGAATTGGCATTGTTAGGCGAAGATTTGGGCTGCTGAGAGGTATTCTGAGAGTTGCTGGAGCCTGCCTGAGCCTTATTGCCACGCTTGTAGCGATTCTTAGCACCCTCCACTGCCTGTTGGCGACTAGCAATGTATCTGTGGCATTTGTCTTGGGTATGACCAAGTAAACCACAGAAATCACACTGAACGCGAGTAGAGGTGGTGGATTGGTTGCAATGATGGCAGTTAGGATGGGTGCAGGTGCTATTGGCAGTGGTAGACGAAGAATGCAAGGCAGAATCGACTTCAGCACGACGACGGCGATTGACCTCTTCAGCAAGGAAAGCATCCTTGAGCTGGGTCTTGTCCAAGGTGCCCAGAAGTAGTAGAGATGAAGTGAAGTGGGCATATTGATCGAAAAGCGCCCTAATCATGGCCATGCATGTCAATTCATCGTCCAATTCAGACAATGAGAAGCCAGTAGGACGAAGATTTTGAATCTGATGCATGCCTTCGTCAATTCTGGTCATGAGAGACTGCAGGGACTCGTCCTCCTTCTTTCTGATAGAGAAGAAGTCGTCATAGGCATTAAATCTCGTCCCAGGCTTCTTAGAGACGTGCACAATTGCCAGTTTCTCCCAGATCTTGACAGAATCATCAATGATGCCATCAAGATGGATGCGCTGCTCTTTGGTGACATTGAGATATAATGCACCAGCAGCCTTTTCAGCTCTCAACTCCCATTTCTCCATTGCTTCAGCGTCAGTCCCAGGACACTTTTCAGCGCCAGAGACGAGCCTCCACAGTCCCTTGGTCATCAACCAAGCTTGCATTTCACCACTCCACTGGGGGTAGTTAGTGCCAGACAAGGGATGGAATTTGGGATCAGAGTCAGACATGATGGGTGTTGTATAAGACAATAGAGCAATGATAAATGATGTAGGAGACGGCTATAGGCGATGGAATAGTGGCAAAGACAATGGGCAACAGTAGGAGGCGAGCAGATAAGATGGTGAGGCGGTAGAGAGAGGATATGGAGAGGGTCAGAAAGCGCAAGGATAGGTCCAAAAAGCGTCCAAAAAGCGTCCAAAAGCGATCCAGGAGGGTGCTAAGGCTTCCTAGTGCTGCTACAGGGTTACGCCTGTGTTCCCCTTTCAATTCCACACTGATATTAACAGAGAAATCGCCTCGAGACAGTGTTGGTTAATAGGGCTTGTATATGAGTCAACAAAGTGACTTAAGCTCCCCAAACACCGCAGACTGAGAGAGGCTCTAGGCAACAGCAAACTGAGGCAATGCAGGCGAGCTTCACAGTCTATAGGCTTGTTCTATCTGATAATAGACAGAGTAGAGAAGATTGGAGCTTTATGCACACACCAGATATGCCAAAAAGCGAAAAATAGGGCAAAAAGTCGAAATTGATGCAGAGACAGATAAGATGGATGGATTGCCACCAAATCAGAGGTATAGGGAACATTTTTATAGAGTAATAGATGGCCCAAATATCACAAGAAGTGAAGCACAGGATGTGGAGATATGCAATAGGAGTCCAATAGGGGTGAAAGTGCCAAAAATGCGAACTTCACAGAGGATGATGGAGTGGATGGATTGCCCCCAAATTGACGGTGTAGAGTGCAATAGTATAGGGTAGTAGATGGCTCAAATAGGGCCAAGATCCGAGCACAGGATGTGGAGATATGGAATAGGGGGCCAAAAGGTGATCAAATGATGATGAAGGCTCACAGAAAGATCCAGCTCAAATTCAACCGCTCTGACAGGTCTCCTAGGGTTATTTAGGCCGTAAAAGACGATGGTAGAAGTTACAGGACGATCAGATAAGGATTGGGCGAGATATGGTGCAGATAAGACCAAAAAAGCGTCCGAAATGGGGGTAACTTGCAACAAGGAGTTGTTGTTGGAGATCAAGATGAGATCAGAGTAATCTGAGGTGATTGATGAGATAATAAGAGTCCCAGAAGACAATGGTTACAATGGATAAGCAGTAGGACGCTTGGATGGTGAGATATGAGGTCAGGAAGATGGCTAGAGCACAGGGCTCATAACCTATTAAGAACAAAGCTTGAAGGAAGTGTCTAGCCACTTGCTGAGAGCAATCAGGGACTGGAACTAGAGTCCAATGTGAGTAACTTTATTATTAGAGAGTATGACAGGTATACAGTACCTAGAGTCCAATGTGAGTAACTAGAGAATAGGAAGCATTGGACTCTGCAATACTGTCCGAAGTTTTGTAAACAAAGGTAAACAAAGCAGCCACAAAGGCGAAATAATAGAGAACACAATCAATAGTGAATGATAGAAGAATAGATAGAGAAAGGAATGAAAATATATAGGTAGCACAAAGGTGCAGAATCACCAAAACTAACAAATTCATGCATTATTCTACCTATAGAAACATTTTAAATAGGCACAGTGTCACATGTGGACGGACAACTTACCAACAATCCATACTGAATGCTGGCATTCTAGAGGGTTGACAGAATGGGCTGGTATAGAAATGTCAGAAAAAAGTAGGTATCTTAGGAGGTAACCTTGCAATTGATTTTAATTTCTCCAACTACGGAGTATAACTTTTCCAGTTGGTCGGCATCATATGGTGCTGTAGACTGCTGTGATGTCAGGTGATCTTCATCGGCAACGTATAAGTTAATAGGGGTATAGACGAAACCCATGTGAGCCACACTACTCACCACACCGGGCCTGCAACATTAGTTGTTTGAGGTAATGGAGGATATCTGGTGTCAAGTAACATAGATTTGGAAACAGTACCCAATGGTGCCTAGGCTCTTGTTCAGATAGCCTCGACAAGGACCGGAAGAGTCACTAGCTTACCAGTATTCAGCATGCACTGCAAACCCTGAGATAGGAAGGAGTAATGTTAACCCCAAATTTCGACAGGGAAACACCTGCTTCACTTTTATGAGCCATTAATTCCACCACCTTGCAATGTTGCACGATTGTGTTGGGTCCACAAAGTAATACCGGCCAACAGTCTCATAGTTGGGGCCCTGTTGCGGTTCAATCACGAGTTCCACTTCTTGATAATTTAATGGCAGGTTGTGCCGATCTATCATATGACGAAGCTCGCTCTGCAAATGATCAGCAAATCCAGAGATATCGGTAAAGACATGAGTAATTCGGATGTCAGCCTCGGTAGAAATTCTCTGGAAAGGTCCTTGAAATCTAACCATCATCTTAAATTGCAGAAAGGGACAATAGCATCAGTAAAGTGTCAAATTTCTTGACGGAACTTGGTCACGCTTTGCTGACTTTCAAGACTGTTCAAGAAATATAAGGAATTAAAGCTCTATCAAGTGAACAAGAAAGCGAGCCAATTCACCTTCAACTTCGTTTAGACACGTAGGCTGGTCTAAGTAGAAGCATTCAGACATTTTGAGCAAAGTGTTATCCAAGCGTGGTCCAAGTACATGAAGTACAAAATCAAGTTTGACAAGTTATGAATCATCCTTGGCTAAGTCCGAAGGCATGATGGTCTATATATTTATTAATGTAGAACGTAGGAAATTTATCTAGTGAGTTAGTGAAATCAATGTCAGGTGGGATGAACCGATGACCATAATCGCCGAATACAGGCATGAGATGTGCACTACGAAAGATACAGTCTAAATGAATAATTTCGAGACTGGGTGATCCATTGTCATTTGTATCAGGCTGGACCTTCCACAACCCAGTGAGTTCATCAGGCTCATCCAGAATATGAGAGAACCACTGTATAAGAGCACATGGATAAGTAGTATTATCATGTGAGAAAGAAAGGAATGCAAAAATGCGAACGACATCGAGTCCTCGGATTCCTGGAATTGAAGGATCGCGCTCGACAAAAGCACAGTCGTAACGAGCCGCATGCTTTCGCCACAAATGCGTGGCACGAATTGTTTCTCGGCGCATACCATCGGTTCCACTGCAGTCGCTTGGCGCATAGAAATATGCGACTGCCGAGTGCGTCGCAACTACCCTCGAATTGAACATGGGGCATTGGTGCAGGGGTATATTAAAGGCTGAGGGCGCGTCATGGTCGTTCATGTGCGCTTGGCTGTAAAGGAAGCGTCGGAGTAACTCAACAAGGCGGGGTTGGTTGAGCTGCACACTGAGTTTGTGGCAGTTTGTTGAATATTGACGCACTAAAAAGATAGCCATCAGTATAATATACATGTAAATAGCAGTGAAATAAAACGTACAACGGCGAACCGATGGTTTGACATAGCCAGGTGTCAATGGACCTGGGACCGGCCCACTATCCCCGTTGTTGTTGTCTTCGGTGTTGTGGTGCTCCGCTCTTGTATCCAGAGCTCTTGTAGCCTCCATTGCATCATTGTGATAATTCTTTACATAGTCTAGGATACTGCCTGAAAGCATCCCACGGGCTGTAAAGTCCACCCTAGAGACCGCAAGTTTGTCGAGCCTCTGGTTGATCAGCAACATCTGACCAAGTGCTTCAAATCTGCTTGACCGGCGCCATGGTTCTTTTACAGCCGTAATGTGTCGTGATTCCGTTATTGACGAACAGAGGCCGTTTGGAGACCCAAACATTCGAATGAGCCATGGATAATGTTGTAGTGAATGCTGTCGTGGGAGAGAGAACCCTGTTGGTCGGACACCTAGTGTCTCAAAAATGGTGTGGCTGTGGTGGAAATCCTTGACGGCATCTTGCACTTTCTGGATGGTGCTGTCACTGTGAGTATCGTGCCGTACCAAGTAACAGAAGTCGAGAAAAGCCTAGAATGTGCGTATTATGTCTGGGGGGACATGCCCTTCAATAGCGGGGAGGTACACCTTCATGAGAGCCTTTGAATCGTCGCCGGTCCACTGCTTGAATCCACGGCCTTGAGGAAATCGTCGAAGGCCAGGAAACGAGGGAACTGCTGCAATCCGTCGGTCAATGTCATCCGAAATCTCGTCAGCCCGCTTCTTGCTATATGTTAGATGGAGGTAATCCTCTACCTAAGTCACAAGGTGATCCTTAAAAGTACCTTTGATGACTTGGTGAAGAAGATCAGGAGCCAGAATTTCATGTATGTCGGCACGAGGGAAATCATGTGTGAATGGCTGTTTGAGTGTGGGTTGGTGAACAAGAAAAAACAGGATTCGTTCGAATGTAAAAGGGTTGGCGTATGAGAAAGAACAAAATTTGTTTGAATGTAAAAGGGTTGGCGTATGATAAAGAACAGGATTTGTTCGAATGTAAAAGACTCACTACTATGTCACTAACAATACCATATTGGTCCCACAAAACCACTGGACTGAGGAAGTTTGCAAGAACCTCTGTATGATCTTCTGAGCGCCGACCACCTTCGCCATCAAGATTGTTAGGCCAGGCAATACAGCTATGAGAATCAGATATTAGTCTGAATAGTACCGTATAAGAAAGCCACTTACCGAGGACACCACCCTTGAACTATACATGCAAGAAGAGCCTGCTCCGGATAATCAGCTATGTATGGACCAATACCATAGATAACACACCTAAAATGCATGTCAGCGCATCGTAGAACCTCCGGAACTAGCATCCCGGGTTTGAGATCTTGAAGAATGCAAGCCAGGGAGGTGTGGAGTAACTGTCGGCGAAACTTGCAAAACTCGACGTCATTTGCATACTTCTTCTCAGCTGAGAAGGTGTTAGCTTTAGTATACGCAAAGAAAAAATATTGTTGAATAGAACAAACTCTTTGGAATGGCCAGAAAGCCCAGCAATGCAACAGCATTCCTATGTGCTCGTCGGACATTATTATGAATGTTTCCAATGGATATATACACTGGATAATATTCATTTTGGCCTGTCGCAACTGACACTGTGGTCTTATCGCTGCCTAGAATAACGGGCACGAATGATGAGCCATGGGTTGTTGGATCCACGGAGATCTTGTCGGCCTGCTTCCAGGCCCACTCCCCTGACATGAAGTCTTTATATTCTCGCTCTCCCTTCTTGCTAAACTTCCGGTAAGGCATGAAATTGGTTTCACCACAGAAGTCTCGATTAGATAGCATGTTTTGAATGATGGCACGCGGACTCCTAAACCAAACATCAAATTCCTGTTTCATCCACTCTGGGGGGTCTTCTCCGGGAAGCTCGCCATTATATGAGAGAGAGAAAGACTCCCATGGCACATCACTGCCGGAAGTTGAGTCAATTACTCGGTACAAGTCGTCCTTGTTTGCAAAAGGGACATCTTCATCAGCCAGACCATTTTTGATGAACGAGGCCCTCCACAGATCTACAAGGGCATTAATATCTCCCCCAGACATCTGTACCTTTTTGTAGAGGAGTTCCGCCATCTCAAACTCAACATAATCCCGGTATGGGGACCAATCATTGGTTGACGGGGTTTCGGGTAGTACAGGTTTTGCTCCAGGAGGTAGAAAGTTCCCGTTTTCATCACAAGGCCGTCCTGTGAGTTTTCAGCAGGAATAACGCCCATTAGAAAACATAGACAACATACCATCTAGAAAAGGATGGTATTCAATCTCACATTGAGCCTGATCTTCTAATGGCTCATTGGATAGCGGATTTTCTTGCTCATCCTGTCCGTCAAATGGTTCGAAGTTGCTTTCTAGTTCATTTTCAGCTGGTGGTGAAAGTGCTGGGTGCTCAGGAGGAAGTGGATGGCTGGGGGCGCTGACATGACAAGAGCGCACATGTTTTTTCAAACCAGAGACACTGCGAAACCAGCGGTTGCACTGAGAATTCTCGCAGGGTATAGTTAAGCTGCTGTGGTGTGGCCGGGCGGGTTTGTGATGATATATCTGGGGAGGCATTGTTGTTCGAGTCTACTAGTAAAGAACGTAAGAGCAATCATACTATGTGTGAGAAAGCTTTAGTTCCGAAGTAACACAGAAAATTTCATTTGAAAATTACCTACTATTAGTCCTAAACTCCGTTTTCTCTCTTCCACGTAAAGCTTTGTCCATCCATCTTCTCCCCATGTCTCGCCCAGTAACGCGTGCTAAAAATGCCCATCAACACCCCAGGAAAATTCTATTTGACCTGGAACCAAAATGTCGTTCTCGAGCGGAGGTAGCGCAAGAGAAAGAACAGTTTAAACTCACCAAAAAGGAGTTGGTGCAAGCTATGAAGCTTGGTCTTGCTGCTGCAGCAAAGGTTGAAAATAAAAATGCCAGAGAAGACATAGAAGACAATATACCTATGCTCCCTCCCTCCCAACGGCATCAGGTAAGTAAGAAAGACAGCCCTGACATCGAGGATGGCAGGGAAGATTCTGTGGCACCTATTCCTTCCCAGTGGCGCCAGTCCCGTCTTGCATGCCGTGAAAGCAGCCTGAAGGTCATCCCAGATAGCGAGGATGAAGAAGAATCAGTAGGCAGCAAAGAGAGCAAAAAAGACGAACAAGGTATGATGTGTTCTTCTCAGCTGATGATGGAGTTGATAATGGAGTTGATGAAGGAATTGATGGAGCTATTGGTATGATGTGTTCTTCTCAGCTGGACTTTCAAACCAATGATGGAGTTGATGAAGGAATTGATGATAGAGACATCAATATGATGTGTTCTTCTCAGCTGGACTTCCAAGCTGATGATGGACTTGATGGAGGAATTGATGATGGAGCTGATGATGGAGACAACAATGGAGGTTTGGAAGAGAGTGACATAGAGGAGCTTGTTTCCAAGAAAAAGAAGAAAGCAGGCAACAACTCAGGCATTCGAGGTGCCATTGTAGCCTTAAGGCAACAAGGAAGTGCAGCTTCCGACCTGACGCTGGCTAAGCCCCAATATGGTGCGCAAAGACCACGTGGAAGGTCAGCACATTTCTTTTATCTGATCTCTACAGAATGACTGATCAACTGCTTTGCCTCAATGAAATAACTCTATTTTTCTACCAACGCCTCAATTCAAATGTGTCGGATCCATCCTATAGCAGATCTGTAGGCATCAATTCATGGAGAAAAAATGTTCACAAGCCAAACTATGCTACAACAAACGAAGCAGATGAACTCAGCACAAACTCGCAGGACGTTTCATCACTCTTTCCCATCACTACAGACTCCACTGCTTGCACATCTCATCCGAACAACAAAAAACGGGTGCTCTCTTCACAATCCACATCAAATACGTGGTCAGCTACAAATGAAGGCACTGGTATTGGATATTGGGCGGGTGGACTTGAGGATGAAGTTGAGATAGAAGAGTACATAGAGGCTGTTAAGGGAAAGCGTACCATAAGCACTGTGAGTTAACCATTCAAGTTTGTTTTTTACTGACCTTATTCTTCTCTAGAACCTCGTTGAATTTCGAGATGGTGTTAAGCCTCCCTTAAAGCACATCAAAGTTGAACATCCGACAAGAATCACAAACTCTGACCTCCCGGAGGGTTGCATGGAGGGTGGCCGTTGGTGCAACACTTTTATCACAATGTATGAGAAGTGGGTTGGGACCTGTGAGAATCCCTGGAACATTAGTGACACCAAGGCAGTCTGGGCCATGCAACTGGCCTGGGATGCTATCTATCCCAACATTTGCCACACTATCACTGTACAAGACCCAGTCTATCTTGTGGTGAGTTTTATTTTGTCTTTTGTCTTGTTATTTCTTTCACTAGCTCTTAGGCCTCTCAACGTCTTTCGGAATGGCAAAGTGGTTTTGGTTCTACTGCCATGGCCATGGTGGAGCACTTCTTTGAATCTGATCCCGCTTACACAACTTATCACGCCCGTCAAGAATTTGCTAGTGAAGTTCTCACTGGTTTTGCATACCTCTACGAAGAAATAGGGGATGATCCCTTGGTATGTGGTCTCATAATACATCATATTTGGCTCACATTTTGTTTTTAGGGATTTTGTGGTCTCTTTCGGTCGCCGTTTGTCCTGCAAACATTTGCGGCCCACTTTGCGGCAGTTAACACATCTATCGATGTTGAGGTATTGCGAGCTGTCAGTGTGCCTAGTAATGCCACAGACACTAAGAAGTATCCACCGGTAGGGGCCCTAGCGATGAGCGCAGCAGCCGTGAGTACAAAACCAGCATCATTTCGAGGTCTCTACTAAAGCCTGAATATAGGTTGAACGTGCATTTACTATGTGGGCTGAGAGAAAAATCACCTGGGACCCGCCAGTAACGCAATCCCAAGTAGGTTCCATAGCTCGGAAAGTCAAGCCGGTTCGAGAGCTCAACAGGGCTACTGGCAAAACAACCGGTAGCCATGCGCCGTTCTCTGACACGAACTGGGGCAAGGCTACTCGCTATTATGCTACATCAATCAAAGCACTCAAACAAGAGACGATGGACAACATAGTGGCAAAAGCAAGCACCTACATTGTTGGAAAAGGACGCTCTAAACAGCCGGCCACAAGTACAGATGGAGGTGCTGACCCTCGAGCCCGTCTAGCTGATGTTTAGGCTGTGTAAGTGTTCCTTGTATGTGTGCCCTCGCATTCATGCTCATTACAGGTTTTTTGCGTTGGGGTGCATAGATGATCAAATACATTTAGTGTTTTCCCCAGCTATCATGAATTCCTTGTAGACTCTTTCCACATCCCTGCTCAGTTTGTTTTGGTGATAATTGTGTCTTGAATTGTGTTTCGTCTTTTACAACTTAGAGCACTGACTTTTTCTTATTCTCATTTAATGCTACTTGTTCCGGTTCTCAAAAATATCTTGCTTTCATCTTAGGAGTTACTTCTTAATGCCTTAATAAAAATTTAAGAGTTGTTCAAGTTTGTTCAAAGTCGTACTCAGTGAGATTCAAGAAATTGAGTGTCCTTAATCAAACTTTTCTCATCTTGAAAATCCATAGGTCCCTTGGCACCAAAACGATCTTAATCACTCTTAAAATCGTTTTAAGCTGAGTTAAGGTCTTCAAAGAAAGTTGACATTTTACTGATGTAGCTTACTCTTTCTTTGTTCATAAAATAAAACGAGCCTTCTGGATGAAATGGCGCAGTCCAGCCAACAGGGATTGGTGCTGAATCACTGAAAGGCATAACTATTCTGCAGGTTGAGTTTTCCTGATAAAGATGACTCACTCGTGAGCAGGATATTCAATAATAAGTGCAGGTACCATGTGGTTAAATATGTCCTTCCATCTGCAATCCCCAGATTGAAATTTACTTAGAAGAAGCTGCAGAAAACCAGAGTTATGTACGTACATGACACTTTTTTTGGTTGGTATCTGAAAATTCCATGGGTCGACATTGGCATGACACAGGTATAATCTATGATAGAGGCCTTGTGTCCGGGTTCATTATTGTACGCTGGCAATGCAATAAGATAATCCAGTGAAAATGTGTCAAGGCAACTACCTGTTGTAAGGAAGGGCATGGAATGTTCAGTAAATGTTCGCCTCCCACCAGAGGTTATAGAAGAGGGAGGCACCGGTCCATTATACTAATAAAACTAAGTGAAACTCAGCTGCTGCCCGAGAGGCTATAGAAACGACTTTATTATTTACCTAAGTGAAACTACAATAGATGTTAGTTTAAGGTGATCTCTAATAAATGTAATGTAACATACCTCAGCCACTGCCCGAGAGGCTATAGAAACGACTGAGGTATTCCTATACTAAACCCCCTACTACTTATAGTCGGAGGTGCTACTTGCTACAGTATAATGACTCCTAGGAGTACAATTGTGCTCCTAGGAGAACAATGGTTACTCCATGGAGTGGTGGCTATGCTCCATGGAGAACAATGGCTGCTTCGGCAGAGACCGGGTTTATCCGGTTTTATCATATACAACCTGTAGGACGCGCGTGAGCGGACACTATCCATACTCATACAATTGCTGCTTGCAGCACTTGCAGGGCAGACGTAAGGCACATATCCTTGGGCTTGCTGATCATGCATGGAGGCATTTGCTGCCTCTTCGCCTGGTGCAGCCACATTGACTTCTGGTTGATCCTCATGCAAGGCATAGCAGTGGCCCAATGTCATGCACCAAAGTTGATTGGTAGCATGGACAGGTGTCAATAACGAAGCGAATATTCAACAAGACTCGCCTTTGCGCCACACAGGCACAGTGCCACGTGGAATAGTAATTAATATTGCCTTTTTCGAACTTGTGGCTGATCAGCATCACCTCTATTAGGCAATCCAGTCATGCTCACCTTTGCTTTTCCATTCGGTACTTTCTGCGTTTCAGCATTTCGGCAAATTTTTGCGTCGCCACTGGCTACACATTGCATTGCGCCCTCGCTTTTGTCATTTCCCTTACTCCCCTTCCTTTGCCTAGCCCCACCATGGGCCCCTTCCTCTCCTTTTTATTCTCACCTGACAGTTGTTTCTGGATCCCCATTCTAATCCACTTTTCCGTCACCTCCACCCTCCTCCTCGTCATCTTATTTGCACCCATGGAACTGTCGGATTTGGACTAGGTGGTGGACCGGTGGCTCCAGTTTCTTTTTTTTTAGCAGAACATTCATTTACAGTGTGGTTATTTTTGATTTTTGAATCATTCTTATGGACACATATTTTTTAGAATGCCTGACTGACAATAAAGGAACTGTGTTGATACTGATAGTGTTTTGCCTTGCCTTTTTTTTACTGCATCTTCCCATGACATCATAATTTTCCTGCTCTCTTTTTGCTATTGGACTTTACTTTATGGCTGTACAAACCTGTGACATTACTCACAGCATTCATTGTTCTATCCCTTTCTTTTCCTTTTTTGACAATCTTATCCTGTACAACCTACGCAGGATTCGTCAGCGTACATTCCTTCCTTCATATTCTTTCTCATTCTTTTTGCACAGCTATACTGTGCATAGCCTACTTTTCTTTTACTATATAAACCCCTGTATTTTACCTTGTAAAAAAACAACAAGAACTCCAATCCAGACTTCTTCTCTACTCTCAAGTTCACTACTCTGCTACTTGTGATCCAGTGTGGTCACAACACTTCCCACTTCTACCACTGTCAACTGCCGTCATCGTCACTTCCCACTTTTGAAGTCATTGTCATCCCTTTCGATTAGAGTCCTTCTGAGCACTACAGTTTGTGCGTCAGGAGCCTGCTATCACTGGGAACCTTGTCATATTGTCGTTCTCAAACCTACCTTGTGCTACGATTAGCAAGGTAGTGCTCGTCTATACTCGTCACAAAGCCCCTATCCTTCTATAAATTCAACTATCCCTCCTCCTCAAAACCCATACTCATACACCTCTGGGTTTTACTTTGAAGGATCTTTATACGTACCACCCCACGAACAACCAGACCACTCCACCGTTCTAGGAGGCAAAGCCCATAAACAAGTTCCGTGGAATCTGGGAGGATTGTGTGTTAGTTTGTTTTGTGTGTGGTTTTCTAACTGCAGTTCTCATCATCAACACCGGGGGCGTGAATGCAGTCCCGAAGACGGAGACGATGACGAGTGCCATTTAGAGTGAGTATGGCAAGACAATCACCGCGCCCGGCTGAGGCAAGAGTGCCCTCATTTGCAGTCTTGATGCTGATGGAGGGGTCAATCTGGTAGGACCAAAAGACTGAGCGGTCCATAATGAGGGTGGAAGTGGTGCCGGAATCTAGAATAGTGCTGGAGGACAGGTGAGACAAGTCGAGAGACTGGATGACGGCGCACAAGAGATCACCAAAGTGAGGAGGAAATGCTGGGGAGGAAGCAACAGCCAACTGGGCAACAACAGGAGGAACAGCCACAGGAGGAAGAACGGAAGGGGTGAGGGGGGGTCGTTGAAGCCAAGGGGCCTGTCCGGCAATACCACCACCAATTTGGAAACAGTGTGAGAGGTCGTGCCCATTGTGCCTGGGATTAGAAGCACAGGCGGGGTTGGTGCAGGGAAGGGTTGTTTTTATGGATGCGGGGCTGAGAAGAGTGAGAAGGGAAAGGTTTGGAGGTGTGGGTGATCCCAGTGTGCACAAATTTGGGTGTAGAGTGATGGTAGAGACGCTCCCCTTTCAGACGGGAGACCTCAGAGCTGAAATTGCGAAGAACAAGATCAAAAGAAGGATCAATGGCGAGGACAAAGAATGGGGTGGAGACACCACCAATATCAACAATACCGCGAGAAGCGCGTTGTAGAGAGCGGGTGTGATGAGATTTGAAAGTGTCCCAAGTAGGAGTGGCAGGAAGGCCCCCCACAAAATTGAAAATGGCCTCTTCATCAGATAAAGAATCAGCAGAGAGGTCAGAGAAGCATTGGGCAATGTCCTTCCATTCAGAAAGGAAACGCTCGGCGTCATCTAGATCCTTCATGTGAAGCAGCGACATGCGAGAGTGCAGTTCAAATTGGAGAGAAGAGGCATTGTGATGGAAATGGGCAGCCAAAGTGTTCCAACAATCCCGAGCAGTCAAATTGACATCATCGGGAAGTAATTTGGAGACAGTTGACGAAACTTTCCGACTAATAAGGGATTTGGCAGCACAGTCGCGGAGAATCCAATCGTCCATGATTTTGGATTCTGAGGCAGTGGGACGAAGTGGATCCACAGCGACGGGACAATAACTGGCAAATTCACGAGGTTTGGAAGGGTCCTAACCAGAGGAGATGAGACGCCAGTAGCCCTCGCCTGAGAGGGCGAGGAACATGACGCGCTTCCATCCAAGGTAATTATCGGAACCGGCGAGTTCAGGGATATGATTGTACTTGCCCATCTGATAAGATAATGTAGCTGATCAGGTCACGTGTGAGTTCAATCGTGTACAAAGAGGCTCATAACCTGTAGAGAGTCACGAGAATGATCTCAGCGGTGACAGAATCGCTGAGGTTCTAGTTACAAAGGGGTCTTGTTTATATGTAAAATATAGGATACCAATTGTGAATGCCAAAGGCCGGAGTATGAATAAAAAGGAATGCTGACGTCTTGTCGAGATGGAACTCAACATCATTGGCTGTTTAAACATTCAGCGAAAGGGGCAGGTCCGGGGAATGCCTGAACATGCATGTTCATGGAATAACATACGTGCGTGTGGAGAATGACAACGATAAAGGCGTCAATAGGTTATACTTTACCGAGAGCCAATCAGCAGTTCACTGCCACACCCATGGCAATTCCCGAACTTATCCTTTTATTCTTTCTCTGTCCGGCGCTGTCCAGCATGGAGCCTCCAGTGTATTATTCAAGGGCAGAGTTTATCGAAACGGTACAATTTTCACAAGCACACCATTGCAGCATATCTGACATACACCCAAGGACACTGGCAACAAAGTTTCACGACGTGCTACCATAGCTGGTCCTCAGAATATCATACTCGGAGGCAAAACTATCATATCCAGCGGGGCTATCATAAGGGGAGACTTGAGACGAACTGGTCCAGGTCATGCAGTTGTAATCTCTCTAGGCAGATATTGTTTGGTGGGAGAGGGATGCATTGTCAGGTATGCTACGTTTGTCTCCAACCTGTCCTGCCCAGCAAATGCTGTGTGTAGACCTCCGTACAAAACATATCGCGGTAACTTCAACTATTATCCCATGAAAATTGGAGACCACGTACATATCGGCACTAGCACCATCGTCGAAGCCGCAACTATTGGGAGTCACGTCGTCATTGGTAAAAACTGTGTCATCGTCAGTTTCTCGCTTTTGTGTATCCGATGTATTTGGCATTTGACAAAGGCCGAAAACTCTCGCAGGGAAAGTTTACGATCATCAAGGATTGCGCGCAGATCGCGGACAACACAATCGTACCCCCCAACACAGTCATCCCTGCATTGTCGCTTTTTGCAGGCTCACCAGGTCACCTTTTTGTCCGAGATCTAAGAATGCTTGTGGCGGCTAATCTTTCTTGGTCTCTTGCAGGTCGCTTTATGGAAGATTTACCCGAATCTACGCAAGAGATGGTAGAAGCCCAGACGAAGCAATACTACACTCGGTTTCAGCCATTAGACCGGTGATGAAACTTGACCGGCCAACCACTCTTTTATGTCTATTCTCTAGGATCTTTTGGGCTCAATCAACGCATGAACCACCATAGACTGAATTATCACTGTATAACTATCCAGTACTTTTCCATGTGAGTGTCCTACCATTTTTGCACCTGGATGTAATACAATAGAAGTCAAGCCCTAATATACGTCTCAAGGACATGTAGATAATGATATTCTATCTGACCACGACTCGTTGGGATTCTGCCAGGATTCCGACTCAGATGTCACGTCAAATTCTATGCAGAGAATACATGTAAAAAGTTGGAACAAGGAGCTTTGGCCTTCCATCAGTACATTCTCTTAAGCCCCTGAGGTTCGCGTCCTTTATGTTGACCAGAATTCTCTGATAACCCATTTGCCTATCTTATCACCAACACGTACGTTCCCTTCCACTTTGATTTCTGAACCCTCCAGACTATCACCTATAGTATAAATCACCTTACCCCCATCAGTTCTCCATGCCCAGTCCCATCCTACACCCAATTTCCACGGTCCGATTATAGCCACAAATGCATCCCCATCATCCCTCTCCAAAATTGCGACTCGTGTTCCCTTCCGAATGGACTCGTCCAACCAGATCTCCTCATACTCCTCGACGCAGCCTGTGTCAGGATTCTTCATGCGTCCTCGCTCGACACATCTCAAAGGATCTTCAGGACGAATGACAACGATGCCTTCGTCTACGTCAGGATTACGAGACCGTGAGTCCACGAAATGTTTCCATGTACAATGTGCTGATCCATCCCCAAGGTCTTTGCTAGTCTTTATACCAGCAGATGCCCAATCCAACTCGTCTGGCACGCTGTTTTTCTTTACGCGTACGTCTACGAAGTATGTGTGTCCAGTGAGGACAATTGTGTCAGTGTCTTCGTATGGTGGCCCTTCGCCCCATGCCATGCTAACGCGCCTTGAGACGGACATCAGGGCGATAAGATATGTTTGAGAGCTGAATTTGGACACACTGAGTCGGCGTGAGTCTTCCTGAGTCCAAAGGTCTTTTATTATATGTATTACGTAAGCATACCTATCGATGACTCGGAAAGTCAGTTTCAAGGTGATTATCTTTTTGTGTCAAGCAATCCTCAGAACCATCAGTCATCCTTTATCCCGGTCCAAAGCTACAATATCCTGAAAACAATCTCGGCTTTGAAAGTGTATTCGATCTCGAAGTAAACCTGGATATCGCGATACACATTTAAGTAAAGCGTAATGACTCTCGACGTGACCAGTTTCATAGATGGCAAGGGTGGAAACTCGGAGGAGATTAGGGAATCGCAGAGAAAACGCGGCGAATCGGTCGAGCTTGTCGATGAAGTGATACAAATGTATGCAGATTGGGTCAAGAGTGCGTATCTACTTTGTTTGATATTCCCTTGGTTTGCGGTTAGTTCTCTGTCCAGCGAGGAGAATGTATCTTTGCGTTCAACCTTTCAGTTCAATTGCACTTTCATTTATTTGCTGACTAGCCTCGATCGTTGAACAGTGGATTTTGAAACCAATGCACTAAGAAAGAATATAAATGCAGTACAAAAAGATATCGCTGCTAAGAAGAAGGTTGGCTAGTGTATATGTTCGCTTTTGGCACCTTTAATAAAATCTGTCTATCGTAATAATAGGCAAAAGAACCTGCAGATGAGCTGGTAGCCGCTAAAAAAGAACTGGACGCGCAAGTAGAGGCGAGACGTCGCGAGGCGAAGGAATTCGAACTACGGATGCGACAGAAAGCAAGTACTGTAGGCAACATCGTTGGCAGGAACGTCCCCGTCAGCCAAACAGAGGTCAGCATGGTTTGCACAACCTTTGCCAAGCGGAAACTGACAGCAATAATAGGACGATAATGTGACGATACGAACGTGGCATCCCGCTGGTCCAAATGAACAAGTGGAGAAAAAGACTGACATAATGCCCCATCATGAAGTCCTACTACGACTAGATGCGATGGATCTTGATCGAGGTATGTCTTTTCTGATTGCCGGGATGCCCTGTCCTAACCGCCTCTTTCCATAGGTGCCAAGATCGCGGGACACAGAGGCTACTTCTTGACCGATGACGGTATTGACTTAAATCAAGCCATGATCATGTATGCACTCGACTTTCTTCGAAAGCGCGGGTACAAAAAGATACAGCCACCTTTCATGATGAACAAGGACGTTATGGCCAAGACCGCACAGCTCGACCAATTCGATGAGGAGTTGTACAAGGTATGAGCATTGTCAATTATCGCATATATGTACGAAACCATTCCCCACAGGTCATCGCGAGCGAAGACGAGAAGTACCTCATTGCCACCTCGGAACAACCCATCTCGGCCTTCCACTCGGATGAGTGGTTCGAGGACCCAAAAACGCAACTTCCGCTCCTTTACGCCGGTTATTCGACTTGTTTCCGAAAAGAGGCAGGCTCAGCAGGACGGGATATGTGGGGTATTTTCCGTGTGCACCAGTTTGAGAAGATTGAGCAGTTTGTGCTGACGGCGCCCGAGGAGAGCTGGGAGATGCTCGATAGGATGTTGGGGAACAGCGAAGCATTCTATCAGAGTCTTGGGCTACCCTACCGCGTAGTGGCGATAGTCAGTGGTGCGCTGAACTTGGCGGCGGCGATGAAGTATGATTTGGAAGCTTGGTTCCCATTCCAAGGCGCATATAAGGAGCTGGTGTCGTGCTCGAACTGCACGGATTATCGTGAGCGAAAGCTGCTCTTCTTGGACGAATAGTCACTGATTTTTGGAATGTGAGCAGAGAGCAGACGGCTTGAAGTTCGGTGTGGACTCAAGTCGAAGGATCAACAAAGGAAAGTGTACGTTCATATGCTCAACGGCACGCTCTGCGCAACTGAGCGTGCCTTATGCTGCCTCGTTGAGAACTATCAGACTCCTGATGTACGTGATCATCTTTCTGTTGTACTATCTTCTATCTAATCACCATACTTGGATTCAGGGGCTGGTAATACCCGAGGTCCTTCGGCCGTATATGCAAGGTCGTGACTTCTTGCCATGGGTCAAGGAATTACCCAAAGGATTGCAGAAAAAGCAAGCATAGAGGTTCGAGATGTGAGAAGGATGGCCGAGATCTTAGGTGATAATGGAACGGGAAGTCTGCTGTACAGGATGTAATTTTCTGTTTATATGTTAGATTCACTACAACATCGGTGCTTTGTTTAGAAGGAAAACAGAAATAGGGTCGCCCATTAAACCAGATCGAATTCTTCCCAGAATGTATGTTAGGACTCCATAAAGAAGAAATGTGGACGGTGCTGCAGTGCCAATGTCCATAACACAAATCCTGCAAGTTATATTTAAACAATGCGATGCGAGGGGGAAGGACGTGCAACAAGATCAACTAATACATAGCGTCAGTGGGTAGAGTGCAGTTTGGGGGATTCAATGATTAATATATGACAACAATATTGGTGTTGAGGGAGGGTATGAGCAACTATGAGGAACAAGGATGTAACACGGGATAAAAAATACGGATTTAACGATCTAGTTGAGATAACCGCGACATTTAGCAGAACCGCAGAGACAAGGAATTTTATCTTGTTCGATGGGAAAGTGGTAGTCTGTAGGATATAATACTTAAGTGGGCAGAACGGGATTTCATGAAACAAGAAGACTGACCGTAAGTAATTTCTTCGCCGAGTTCGATATCTTGTTTGGCATAAATTACAATTTTCTTCTCGCCATTGATCGTAATAATTTTCGCTGTGCAATTCGGATCACAGGAGTGGTTAATAAGACGTCTGCCGGGAAAGGTCAGTATAACATATCTGACTCAGGCACGACGATCACTTACCCCAAATTGCCTTTCTTAGTAGCATCCACGACAAGATCTTCATCGATCCGGAAGAGGTAACTACTACCAATACCTTGTCGCTCGTATACTTTCTCTCGCTTATCTGCAACCTGGGCCCTTATGACTTCGCCAACGTACTCTATGACCATTTCCCCACGAGAGATCCTCTCCATTGCGTACAACCCCCAATCGTGAATAGGAGATCGCGCGAACCGCAGGTGCTTCTTCCTGGTCTGAAGTTGATTGAATTTTAGGTTCAGTTCCGCTGCAGCAGTCTCGCCCTTGGAAAGTGCCACTGCACGTTGGACTTGGTTAATCTCTTCCAGTCCTTGGGCACGCCGTCGAGCGTTAGCACGATTTGAGCGTGAAGAAGTGACATGCTGAGGCTGGGGAGTTTCATGTGCAACCGTTGACTCGGCGTTGGTAGAGCGTAGAGCATACTGAGCAACATAAGCAGATTTCTCGGCATGGGATATTTTGTAGTAACCCTCTGTCCGTGCGGAACCTGTTATATGTTTTCGAATGGGAGCTGGTGCATCAGGAACAGGAGAGGGTGCACGCGATGTATCCTGTATGTTCAACATGCGTTGCAACACAATCTTAGCGAAGTAGAGGTCCTCCTCGTCCTTGCAGATACCTAGTGCTATTGGATCAAGCGGTGGACTTGGCGATCTGGACACCTTCGCCCCCAGTACAGGCGACCGCGATCGTGAAAGTGATAAACCCAAGCCTTGATCCACACGAATCTCCTCCGTTATTGGGGCCTTAGGGTCCAAGGTGTCCAAGTCAACGGGTAGTACTTCCTCTTCCACAACGATGGCAGCTTTGGCACGCGAAGCTTTCTTCGAAGGTTTCTTCTTCGCAGGGGCTTTCTTGGGGCGTGCCTCTTCTTCGACAAAGCTGTCAACTTTGGCCTTCTTGTTGAGAGGCTCCTCAACCTGGTCCTCTAATATAGACACAGACCGTTTCTGTATCTGAACGGAAGGCACGACATCAGCTGCCGGAACATCTTCATCCTCCGACTCAAGCATCTCCTCAACAACCCTGCGAACTCTCCTGACAGCCTCCTTCTTCCGTTTCTTCTTTGGTGGGTCCACTTGAACCTCTTCCTGTACTTCATCTGTAGCGTGCACCTCCGCCAATTGGGATTCTACATCCTCCTCCTTTACCTCCTCCTCTTCCATCTCCCTCACACGCTTATTTGGCTTCCTGAACGAGAGTCCTTTCAACCCTCTCTTCTCTGCATCTTGGCCGTCTCTACCTTCCCTCAATCTCGCCTCCGCAATCTTCGCCTTCTGCTCAGCGACCAGCCTGCGCATATCCTCCGCTGCCGCGCGTTCGGTGACATCCATCTGATACAGGTTTTTCAACTCATGCACGCTCGCTTCCTCAGCCGTCTCCTGCGCCTCTGCCGTTTTCACTGGAACGGGTGGAGGTGCACGGGGAGGTGCCGGATGCGCTGACAAAACCACAGAATAGGATGCCAGAGTACGAGAGCTCAGGACCATAGCTGCCCGTCTAGCCGAGTCTGCAGCATTGAAAGTGACATACCAGCCAGAGTGATCTCGCAAAGTTTTATTAACATTAAAATCCTTGAAAAAGAACCGTACGTCTTCCTCTCTAACGGAACCAAGCGAGTCGCTATTATCAATCCTGACATAATCGAACCCGCTGGCTCTTAATTCCTCGACGACAGCATCATGTTCTTTTTGCCGCGCGAGCTTGTTTGATTGCCCAGGCCGACGGAGTATGGGAGATGGTGAGCGTGAGGGCGGGTTCATTGGTGAAGGATGGCTGTGGCCATTGGCAAGGTGTGATGAACGGCTAAGGGGGTGTATTGGGGTAGAAGACGATGACTGGGTGATCGGTCGTGGAGGGAGTGGATGAGACATAGGGAAGCTATTCGATAAACTGGAGTTCATCGGCCGCGGTTTCGATGAGGAAGGATGTGGACGTTTGAGGCGAGGCAAAGGGCGTCCTTGCTCTGACGGTGGCATACCATCAGACGATGGTGGATGCGATGGACGTCCGCCATGCGATTGAGATCCATTGGGGCCCTGCGAGGGCCGTGAATGCTGTGTAGGATGTTGCGCCCGCCACGACTGCTGTGGTGTATTCGACGAATTGGGTGTCGCCGAAGCTGTCTCCTTCATCTTCGCCTCCTTCTCTTTCCGCCTCTTCTCATCCCACTCCCTTCTTTTCCGCTCATCTAGTTCTTTCAGCACCGCCTTCAATTTCAGCGCTTCTCCATCAAATACCACCCTGATCTCCTCTTCCTCGCTCAACCCAGCAGGTATACCCAAGCCGATGCCTGCACCGAGCTTCCTACCATTCTCTCGCTCGACACATTTTTTGGCTTCTTCGTGCGTACCATACTTGATAAACACAATCCCAAGTGCACCGCCAGTCTCCTTGTCAATTTGCGGCTCAAAAGATTTGATGCTTCCATGGGAACTAAAATGTCGACGAATCTGCTGATGAGGCATGAGTGGAGATATGTGGGTGATGAGGACAGCAGTCGGCGGGGGTGGACCTGTTGAGTTAACGTCGTACTGAATATATTTACTCGGTCAATACACAAGTCAGATATATCTGAGTATCGAACGCACCTCGTACTTGACCTCATACAACTCTGATCTCGCTGGTCTTAGATTTACCATCTTCTTGAATCCAGCGGCCTTTCTGGGATCACTGATCACCACTTCTGACTCGCCATCCACCACTTCACCATCATATCTCAGAAAAATCTCTTTCCCTTTTCCCGTATCTTTAATCCGCGGCTCTTTGCTAGAAGAAACAGGTGATGGAGATGATGCACGAACTTTCTGCATCAACTGCCGTATCCGACCATCGCGATCTTTATCGACGAGAGGGTCGAAAATGACCTTGAAATTTCGCTCTGGTGGATACTCGGAGCGAGAAGTTGGCCATGGAGGAAGAGGTGGGAGGGAATACAACTTTTCCGGTGGTGGTGCTGGGGGTGGTGGTGAAGGTTCTGAAGGAAGGGGCGGGGGAGCTTCCGCTGGCTGACTTGGAGGGTGAGAGGAGGAGGAAGCATGAGCATTGAAGTGATAAGATGGAAGAGGCGGCGGTTCTGAGGGAGGCGGTGGTGGAGGGTATGGTGGTGGTGTCGATTGAGGAGGATGCGAGTGCGAAGGAGACGCTCGTGATTTCGGTGATGGAGGGCGTAGTATCGATGGTAGATCTACGTCTGAACGACGAGAAAATGACGACTCTATCACCGTAGTAGTTATCGATGGATCTGAAGGTATTGGAGGAGGGGTAGCGAACAGTGGTGGAGGAGGTGGCGGAGGTGACTCGGATGGAGGAGGGGGAGGGGGAGGAGGCGTATGTGAGGGCGGTGGTGGTGGAGGCGGCTCAGATAACGGTTGAGGTGGTGGTGGTCGAGATTCCGTTAGAGACGATCTTCGATTGACTGAAAAAGATATCTTCACAGGTTCATGAGGTCTGACTCCGCCGGCAATAGTTCGACCATCAGAAGTAGAGGCTAAACTAGCAGATGTAGCACCATTACTCGAAGCTTGATTTTCTGAAAACCCATTTGTGTGGGCATGTGGAGGACTGGGCTGAAAGAATTGCGACTGTGAAGGAAGATGGAGAGTAAGCTAGATATTCGCGCGACTTGTAAAGACATCATTTACACCACTTGAATCTGGCCATCCTCCTTCTACTTGTTTACCTTTTTGGAGAGACCTTCCTTGGAGGGCACTAGGGGCTGTTGGTGTATGTATCGAAGTGGGCGCAGAAGACGATGGAAGGGTGTGACCGTTTACAAAAGACTTCGATTTTGGTCTGAAAGATGTATGACTTGGAAAACCATTCAAAAGACTACGAGGTCCTGTAGGCGGTGCAGTACCTAACCTGTTATTCACAGAGCCTGGTGAAGAGGATGTTGGGAGGATGGAGGAAGATGGTTGTGGTGAAACAGGCGTTGGCGAGCCGGCGGTCAACGAGCTCAATAACGCCCTAGGCCCGCGAGGGGGAGCTTTACCAGACATTGTGAAGCTAACAACATAAAATACGTTGTCGACGACGGTGCCGACGACGACAAGAGATATTTGTAGGGTGGACAGGAGACGGGGGAGACGATGGCAGAAGAGGGAGACGACGGCGACACGCGTGGCGGTCCTTCGATTATTTCACTCGGACAAACACACCTCAATCCAGCTTCATTTTTCACACTTTTCCTCTTTTTCGCTAGCACGACGACGACAATCACTACAGAACCTCTACTACAGCTTATACTCTCATGGCCACCCCCACCCTCACCCAGTCCTATCCCGAATGCCAACGTTGCGAGTGGTTTCATAGAAAACTTGCATAAGAAAGTTGAAGCTGAACGCATCGACATTTGTCCAGGTTATCGTGTTCTACGCTTCCAGTATTATCTCTTCTCGCACCTAGGTTACCCCAATCTGACCAGGAACTACAGCGCCATTTATCGATGGAAGGTTTCCGCAAACATGATTCTGTGGGGGAAGAGAAAAGCGCTCGGAGTTTACCAGCAAAGTGGCGGTGGCAGACGAGCTTACCCTCGAGGCTTTCGGCTTTTTACTGCGTGGCTCATGCTCCTCCTTGTACATCCAACATTCACCCCTTCATTTCAACATGTTCCGATGTCTTCCACGCTGTCATTTAGGATTGGGCCTGCATCGAAATCATATGCCAACGCTATTGCGGAAAAGTCGGGATTTGTTATCACCTTCCTTGTCATTTTCGCTGTTCCTGGTCCCTCACCATCAACGATCAAAACATTCTCGATTGCACTGTAACAACTCATCAGCCCTACACTCAGGAGTCAAGATCGGCATCAAGCTCTAGAGTCTGCGTTCCCCCTCGATTGCAATCTATGTTCTCTACGGTCGCATCATCGCAGTTCGTGAGTACCTTTTCTATTTCGACGACGCTCCCCATGTTGCTAGGTTCGCTTCCTTTGTATCGTATTTTCATGGCATCAAGTAATAAGACAACTCCTTCAGTGAGCCCTTGTCCAGACCTTGAATTTTTCATGGCTTCACCTACACAGCAATCATCCTGAGGATCGTAACCTCACATCTGTCGACTTGCAACGTTTTCGACAGTCCATTTCCCCAAAAACGATGCGTGATCTCGGCGAATGATCATATCAACAAATAATTATTTTTAAATAGCATCTAATAATCCTAGCTTGAATAGCTATAGACTGGTGGAAAGTACATAAACTATACAATTAAATACTATGTAATATACAAGCCGTTCTATAGCTCGAAATAAGGGTTTAAGCAATATATACATACACATGCATATATGAGCCTTCAACCAGAGGGCTATGATAATTAATATGTGCAGAACGGTGAGAACTGAAAGCAGAGCGAACATGCATACACACGAGGGAACGAAGCAGAACCATATATAAACACCATACGAAATAGCCATCTGAAAAGGAGTGAGGGAATCGTGGCTGTCGTAGCCACGACACTGGCGTGGTTCAGAGCTTCCTCAAGCGATGAAGGAGACCGTCGTAGTCTTTCTCCGTATAACGTCGTCCCTTTTTTTCTTGCACCCATTTCGCGCTGAACCGTTTAGTCGTGCACTGCGGTGCTTCGTTCGCACATTCCAGTACATAGCCCATCTCACAACACTCGTCCCCGTGCTCTTCGTCATTTCCCCCGTCACTCCCACTCCCGCTCTCGCTCTCGCCCTCACATCCATCGTTACCCACATCAATGTTCTGCCCTCCTTCATAGCATGGATGATGAGATGGAGGCTTGATGTCAACGATGCCTTCGGACGTTGTATCAGGACAAGAGACACCAGCGGGTCCGCCATCGGACGGAAAAACAAGGTCATAAGGCGGTGCTTCGCCAAAATGCCGGCGAAGCTTGGAGAACCGTCTGCGCTTCGTCGTGAATGGCGAAGGACACGCGGGACTGATTGGGGTGACCAGCGTTTGGCCAGTGGATACAGATGATAAAGACGAACGACAGAGCACAGGTATCTTTAGCGGAGTGAGGAGGTCGGAACGTGTTGAATTGGGCCCACGGGGTGTATTAGACGAGAGCGAGAGTGAACGCGAACTATATGGAGTCAGGGGTGATGACAGGGGTGACTGTGAAGGTGAGGAGGGTTGTGAGGAATAGGTGGGAGGTACAGGGAGGGGCCGTGGTGAGGAGGGGCGTGATGAATCGCTATCCTCAGTGGCTATAGCTATAGACAAAGGAGTTGGAACGAGTGGCAACGGTCGGAATTTTCTACTTTGTTGTGGCAGAGAACATGTGGAGGGAGAGCGAAAAGGAGCAGAGGTGTACGAGCTTGAGCTTATGGGGCGCATGTGATCGCAGCTGAAGCTTCGGTGGACAGAAGGATGACATGGTCTTGCACACTCGCCACAAGGGATAACTGAAGAGACGAGGACAACTGGAGCTGCTACGCAGCCGCAGCAACCGCAGCCATGTGTAGAACTAGAGGCTTGGGATATTTGACCAGACAGGTGATATGATCTCTCCTGCCAGTGTTCCGCGTAGGAAGGTGAGTGAGAATGTGACATCTTAAGCCTGAGGAAGGATATGGACGAATGTGAGAAGCGAACTTATATGAATAAAACTTCTGGGAGGACCCACCGATACACCCGATGCGCAAGCGTCAAGTCAGACTGGAGGTAAGAGGTTGTGGTAAAGAAAGGATGGGTTATTGAGCTGGATGAAGTGGGATGAACAACCAGTATACTCATCATATCGACTGTCGTATCATATACGGTCGGCTAAGGGAGACATGAACGTCGTGATAGGGCCTTTGGTCGCATCATTACTCATATAAAGCCTTTGCGATTTCAATAAGACACTCGAGGCGACAAATGACAAAAAGGGCAGACCGCTTCAATTGCCGACCCTTGGCCTCCCTTGGAGACAACCTAAATAGGAAAGTGTTAATGATCATACGCTAATTGCGATCAAGCTCATCACAATGGGCTTCCTACTCATCATGCAAGTGGAACCTTGGGCTTCACGCTACAAAAAAGGCGGGTTTGCACAACAACTTCGGAATGAAAACATTGAATGGAAACACCTGCAACTGTCTTATTCCTTTGTTTTCAAACCCAAAGAGGAACTGAAAGGTTAGAAAGGTAGAAAGGGAGGACTTTGCCGCTATTGGCCGACTCATCTCCCTATGTCAGAGCCTATTTGCCTCCAATTCCGAACCATCGACAATCTCAAGAGTGAAGACGTTCAGTGCACTCTACAGTTTCCACGAATTGCTCTTGCGCCTCTAACGCAGATAAGACAGGGTTACCACCCACTTGGCCTGGCCTCAACCCACAGCGGTGATATACAGTTGATATGGCAGGTTTACGACCTCGCAACCGAATATGGCCGCCGCCATATGCTGTACGTATAGGTTCGTACCGTTGGTTATACGGCGGTGGGACGCATCTTCGCTGTAGTACAGTAATTGATACGAATTGCGTCAGTAGATCGCAGTCGGGTGGTCTGGTAAGTTTCAAGTAGTCGCGTCAGTTCCGTTTCCACAACTCTAAAGTACAAGAGCCTTTTCTTTTTGCATGCGGAAGACAGCTATGACAACCGTGGTACGGGCATCGCAATAATGCAATCGTAACCCACGTACTTTTCAATGTCTACTATGCAATCCAACGATCTTCAAATTCCTCCATATTTGCTTGGATGTGCCTATTGATGTTGTGACCGACACATGATCTAATGCGAGACTTTGCAGTGACCCTGCGGCTATATTATCCAAAGACGGACGAAAGGGCGATCGTCAGAAATATATCAGATTCATTGAATCGAGTACTGTGACAATGGATTGTATTCGGAATTCGAGCTGTTAAGGAACGTAACACTGTCAACTTGGTGGACCTGGCTTATTTTAGTACGCCCTGGATACTAGCCAAGTACCGCAACGATGAATTGAGGGTGAGGACAAGAAAGAAAGAAAGCTGGAACCCCTTAGAGCTGAAGCGATCACGATGACGAGTCGGACGTGACGTTCGGTGCCGGTAGCGTTTAACATGATGGGCCTACAGTTGGTATTTCTTGCACGAGGATGAGGATCCGACCCAGCCAAGCGAGGACAGCTTTGCGAGACTCGAGGCTGCCTGACGATGGGCTGATAATTCTAATGATTCGCGGGATCGAGGTGCTGTGTAAGTGAGTATTATGTGTGAATACCGCGGCTACGTTTGTCGAACAGCGAATAGCCACGATGATCGGCACAAACTTCCAAGATTTTCTTGAGATTATTCAAGATCTGCTGACAATCCTGGAGAAAGGTTATTTAGATGAGATACCGACCGGAATCAGATAAAAATTTGAGTACTATCCCAAGCATGTAACGAGATAAAACATACCTGGAATCCACTTCAGCTCGGAACCGTAAAAGAAATACTGTGTCAGCCGCCGCATGAGGGGCTTAAAACACCATAAAATAAGTTGCAGACATCGTCCCCAACTTGAACGGTTTCAGGGAGACGAAAGTACGGGAAAGGCTATGCAACTCGTAACAGCCTGCAACCGACGTACCTTATGGTCCGGCGAGGAGCGATTGGGCAGAAGACAATCGACACCGAAAAGGCAGAAATGCCATGCAGCACGACAACAAGCCTCAAGTTCTTGGCCCTGTTCAGCACGCAATATCACAGCAAAAGCTTGAAACTGTTGCTTGGTATCGTACATTCCGAGTCAGTGGCATTTCTCTCCAAGGCTACGAGTGGCAAAGCCTTGAATGTCAATGGATCCGTGAGCGCAGCACATCTAGGACTCTCTCGCCAGAGTGTGTTATGCGCCGTAGAAAACCTTGCAGACAATATAGAGCTTACATTTGATGCAAATTTTGGGCCAGTACTAGTATGTGTGATAGAAATTCACCAAAAGCGGCTGCCAGAGGATTTTCCCACAGCTTGAAGCTTGTGATAGCGCTAGCGGATACCAACCGGTTCACATGAAGAGACAAAAGCAATATTAATGGCATGGCTGAGGCAACATCATTCATACCTACTAGCTCGCATGACCTCTACATATCTATACCAGCCCTCACCTCAATGGACTTCCGTGCATCCCAGGCCATTTTATCCTCTGCATGAACACCCAGCATCTCTCGCGTATCCTCAACTACCCTCATCGCCTCGACCGCCGGCATTTCATGACTTGTACACACTCAGCACTCATATCATCCCAGCAGCATATCCACGGGTGGTCCCAGATATCCCAATTCCAGAGGCACCCTCTCAATATACAGATAAAGAGGAACGTAAACGCCATGTCCAACGATTGGGAGGTGAGATAGCAGAGAGGCAGGAGCTCTTCGGACGCGGTCAGCTACCAGGCGAACCTAGTCGGAAGGTTCTCTGGAACTGTATCAATCGCTACGTGAAGAATACACACAGCACAGACAACAAATCAAAGGGCGTCACTTTGCTTCTTGCTCATGCGAATGGATTCCCCAAGGAAGTAAGTGATCGACAAGTACGACACGTGTATATGGTAGCCTCATATGTATACATAGATATGGGAGACAACTCTGCGGTATCTGTTCTCCTCTCCTGAAGGACCTCCGATAGATGAAGTTTGGTCTTTTGAAGCTGTGCAACACGGCGATTCTGCGCTCTTGAACGCCAGTAACCTCAGTGGAATATGTAAGATGCTATTTGCGAGGCCATCTGTGCCAGTGGCTAATGGCAGTACTGTAGACGAATGGATGGACAATGCACGGGATATAGCAAATTTTTTATTGAACTATATCCCTTCCGCAGTTTCCAATACGGTCCTTTCCACTCATCTCCCTCGTGTTTCTAATGATGTGAGTAAGACGCGCACACGTGATGGTTTCACGCATCGCACATTGGTGGTTGTAGGCCACTCTTTTGGAGGCTGCTCGTCGTGAGTCGGTTGTCCTCATTGCACTTGACATTAATGCTCATCGGTTTTGTTTACATGTATAGGGTCATGGCAGCATTGAAATTTCCAGCTCTGTTCTCTTCGATGATACTCATAGATCCCGTTATCGTTCAGCCATACCAATACCGCGGCGACAGTCTTCGTGCATTCGTGATCGGTGCTATTCTAAGACGAGACAGGTGGCCATCTCGGTAGGTTACCCTCCTAACCTAGTACTGTCGTTTATTGACTATCGGTAGTGAGGAGGCATTGCGGATGTTTAAAGCAAGCCCCTTTTTTGCCGCCTGGCATCCTGATGTTTTGCAGCTTTACGTTGATTATGGACTAACGGATACTCCAGAAGGCGAGGTGAAGCTGAAGATGTCTGGCATGCATGAGGCCCTCTCTTTTGCCAACAACCTGGCCTCTAATGAAACGTGGGAGCTGCTTGAGAATCTAGATAAGAAAATTGAGCTGAGATGGATTGTTCCCGGAAAACCAAAGGATAAGGGGTACGCCGGGGTTACTCTGTTTGGTGAACTCGTTTATTGATTCACTGTAGCATTCAAGGTGAAGAAGCGACAAGAATCAGGGTGTGGCGAAGACCTGAAAACTCGTCGAATATTGTGATACATTCTGCAGGACACCTTGTATGTTTTTTGCATAATTGTCGCGGATCTTATTGTTCACTGCGCTGCTACAAATAGGTCGTACAGGAATCACCACAGGAGCTAGGTGCCTTACTATGTGTTTCTCCTTGTGCGCTTCTAGCTAACGCAGTGTGTTTGACTAGCACAAAACATTTCAGATTTTTTGAAACGGAAGTATAAAGCTACTGGTATGAAGGCTCAGCTGTGATGTTAAGTAGTACAGGGTTCATGGTGGACGTCGTTAGAAACACAGCCGCGTATAATACACGTCGTCTTGTGAGAAAGCGGGGGAGGGGCTACCCCGGCCCGAAAATGTATGTGTATGAAGACCCCCAAAACCGCGAGAATACCATTCTTTGTTTAAATCGCTCGAATAAACCGCAAAAAGTCGATTGATGTATGTATGGATACACTACGGACAGATTTACAGCTGATTTCATAACGATAGACCTATCCAATGAGTTAGTGTACAGAATGAGCGGAACTACAAATGAGCTTAAAATGTAGTAAATCTAAAATTTAGGGAGACTAGAATATTTGGCTCAGTACCGAGTGTGGCTGGTGTGATAAGTGTGATAGCCCAAGTCTTTGAAAAAATTGGTGTAGACTATTCGGTGGAGTGCTCGCCAAAGAAAAAAAATGGAATCTAGAAACTCTGAGAGGATCATATCAGGCTGTCTTTCAATGCAGCCTTCAAGGAACTAATCAAAAACTTGTTTTATCAGCACATCAGAAGAATAAAAGAAAAGACTGACACTCGCTTCCAAGCCATCAAGGGCACAAGACTGTCCTTGACAAGCTAGTTGGTGTCCCACTTCACCAGTGTCCCGGAAGGTCTTCCGGATGCGCCTGATGGTCTGTTGACTGATTCCTAGGTAATGGCTAACATGTCTGTCCGAGAGGCCATGGATGCAAGACAATTTGTACACTAGTATCTTCTGCTCCTTGGGAATATGGCGCCGCATGTTGGTTGAGGGTTGACTAGTCTCTCCCAGACACTTCGGGTTCTTCCCAAAAATATACACTCCGCTAAAGTCCGCCTGCACACTAACTCATAAAATAGGTCTATCGTTATGAAATCAGCTGTAACAATTGTGCACAAACAAGCAAACTGAATGATTCGATGTGGGAATGGGTGACGGCAAGAACATGCCGCCCTCCCTGGGCAGAACGGGAAGAGAAAAGAAAAAAAATGGGGGACCTATGTTTTGATGGTTAGCAAGCTGCATAGGGTGGGTGGGACGACTGCCACTTTGCAGCGCGATAGAAAGGTCTGTTAGAGTTCTGAAGGGAATATTTTGTCAATGAGGTAATTCAGATTTATAATGATAGAGTTTCTTGTACGAGGTTTGACCGGTAGTGAAGTAATGCCAAACCGGTAATCGATCAAAAGATCAATGCCATCAATTGTTTTCGAAAACACGTTAAAAAAATGATTTTTGGGGTAAAGCACTCTCCCTCACTGGAAGCTCTTCTCCGTACCATTTGTTTGGAGTTAAAACGAGCGCTACCAATTCAGAAGAGGCGTTCCAGCAAACCAGGGTAGTCATGGGATTAATTAGGGTAGGGGATGTAACGAAAGTTACGAGTCTGAAGAGACGCATCCAGAAGAATACTCCATTGGAAATGGGAATTTCTGGTTGTGATTGTACTATCCAGATGTTTAGCCCTGGAAGGCATGCATCCAATTTCATGTCGCATTCTATAATAATGATTGGAATGTCTGATGGTGGTGCAATGACAGGGAGAGGTTCAAATGTATGAGGACAAGGGATTTTGCAAAAGAGGTTGGGGCAGTGCCGGTGGTTGGGAACTGCAATGAGAGGGTTGTGTATGAGATTGAGGAATTCTCTGGGATAGGAATCCTCTTGATCTTGTAGATCAAAGGCGCTTGGGACAAGGGTCTGCAAAGAGGGGTTGGTGTGGATTTTGAACAAAGGAATGTTAGATTATTGGATTTAGCCATGTGACCTCACATAGCCACCTGACCACAGGGAGTGCATAAAAGCAAAGTGGACCAGCCAGGTATTGAACTCAGGACCTCTGCCTATATATGGCGGTGCTCCAACCAACTGAGCTACCAGCCCTTGTACTAATGTCAACTCATGACATGTGTTGTCTAACAAGGCTAACAGGCTTTGACCTTGACTATTCCAACATAGATGACATTGTATGACAAGTTTGGTAGACAAAACAGAAAGTATCAAGTGGATAGAGAACTATCCTGGGGCAATTCCTTGGGCTTTGGATTTTTATCTTATTATAGAAAAGTGTTGAGGAGGCGCTTTAATTTTAGTGAGAAGAAGTCTTTGGTTCTTCCATGTGATGATTAAGTATGGTAAACGCAATGGCATAAGGGTACATAATTTGAGAATTTCTACCGCACGTGAAGTGAGTTTTCGGTGAAACAAAAAGGTGTCTCAATAGGGAAGGGTGGGTGGGTGCGAAAAATGTACTCGATGTACTGAAATTGAGAGAACACGGATGTATAGAATCTGTACTTGTTGAAGTCAGAAGGAGAAAAAGGTGCTAGCTGCATTTCTCGCTAGCACCAAAGACTTACCTCTATTGTGTCATGTGTGAGCTGTGACATGATAGATGTCCAATCTTTGTCTAAATCACTCGAATAAACCGCAAAAAGTTGATTGATGTATGTATGGATACACTACAGACAGATTTAACAATCGTGCACAAAAAAGCAAACTGAATGATCCGACGCGGGAATGGGTGACGGCAAGAACGTGCTGTGTTATGCACGAAGTGCTTAACAAAGTCTGAGGGTTCGTCGAGTTTTGTAAAGAGACTTATCCAAAGACAAGTTCAAGAACGTAGTTCTGAGTGGAGGTTTTCCAACGGGAGTTGGTCTTCTTCTGAATAGAAGTCTTGATCTTAGGAGTCTAGCTTTGTAAGCATAAACTGCGTAGAATCGTATCGGAGAATACTACTGCTGTTACATGGTAATTATAATGGAAAGGAATCGGTGATAGGAGTTAGGTCCTATCTAGGGCAGGTCCGTCCATTGAGGACTAAGTACTATAATAGGTACTGTGAATGCGAGAGGAACGGAAGTGTACGTGAAGGAAATGAGTCATTGGTCCGATGGTATAACCAATGAGTAAAAAGAAATGAGTAGTCCTTAAATGTCCAATAGAGATTGTAACATTACCCCCTTACTTGCTCCGAGTTTCACCAAAATTTGGTACCTTCGCCGTCCATATTGTAACTGTCGTCCTAGCTGACATCTCCATGTAATCCTTCCATCAGAATCCTATCCTCGTCTTCCCTACGGATGGGGCACCAATTGAAACTATGTCCCGGTGCACAACGGTCACAGTCGGGGCAATAGTAGGCTTTGCAATAGTATGTGCGATGATCGCTCCAACCGCAGTTTTGGCAGTATGGAGCGTTGTTACGAACACCTTCATGGTATCTTCGTCGGGTGTTGGATGAGGTGTCGGATTGGGGAGTGGTTGGATTGTCATCTCCCAGGTCGTACGTTCCTGCGTACAACTGATCGATCATGGCTGCGTCGTCATCTACATTGATTGGGTTAGAGGGAGAGTCAGTCTCAGGCCTGTGCATTGCGCCAGGCGGACTGTCTTTCTGTCCCTTCGACATACGAGACTGCCGTTTTGATGGAGTTCTGGCGGCGGGGATCTGGAGTATCATCTCTTGCCGGCCGCGTCGGGCTCCTCGTCGGTTCGTCAGGCGACGGGTTTGGGCGTTTGGTACTGGTCGAGGTGGAGATGATGGGGGAGACAGTGGTTTTGGGTTCGACCCAATGGAACGGGGACTGGAGTGGCTCGACTCTTGTGAGATCGGGCTGGTTGGGACAGTGGGAATATATTTTTCCCCCGACGGGATGGGCGTAGGTCGACGGGTGATGATGTGGTAAGTGCACTCCGGGGTAACACTGGTCTGGTCTGGGTGCGACAGGGACCGGAGGGACAAACCGGGTGGAGGAGTACTCGTACAACCGTCTCGCTCTATCCACGTGCAAGCTTCGTTTAGCAATGTCCTCCCGCCTGATTCCAAACATTCCTTTGCCGAGTCCATCTGCCCATTCGAGGAGCTCATCCTCAAGTGTCGTTCCAAAGATTCCAAAACTAACTTTTCCATCCGGAGTGCCCGACAGATACTCAAGTCCTGACTGTTGAGCCACGAATGCTCGTTTTCCAACGAATGTATTGAGTCTATGGCTTTTAGGAGTTTGTCAGCTATGAGGTCTATGGCAAGGAAGGTATGCATGGAAGAAAGAGTGTGGTACGCATGGGGGCAGCGTTTTTCGGTCTCGTAAAAGAGATAGGTATAGGCGTTTTTTGCTGACATTAATTCTATGGCGTCAGTGACGTCGGCTTGGTTGTGTCGTTGCCCACAGGCAAAAGACACTCATTCGTCGGCTAGCAAGTTGGCGTCGCCGGGTATTGAGTAGGTGGTGATAGGGAAGCCGGTGGAGTTAGAAGTAGACATGTTTTGTGTTGAGAGACAGAGGATTGTTGGTAGTGGGGTGATTGTCTCTTCCACGCAGCTTGTGGTCCTTCTTATAGGCTTCCAATATCTCCGCAGCATTGGTTAAATGTTCTTCCGGTTCCCATGAGTTTTTGGAATGAGGGTAATGGCGCCATTTAATCAGGTAGCGGCGCCCGCATTTCCAGGGTTTGTGTCTAAGAATACTTTCTACTTCGTATTCCTCTTCTTCGTTGACCAGGTCAGGTGGTGGTCGGATAAAGTTCGGGCCGTGAGTGTTGGTTTCCGTATACGGCGTGAGAAGGGATGCGTGGAAAACATTGTGTATCTTCCAATGGGGAGGCAGTAATAGTCGGTAGTTCACCGGGGAAATCTTTTCTTGGATGCGGAAAGGTCCGATGCGTTTCATGTTGAACTTCTTGTATTCGGTGGCTTTTTCTCGCAGGTTGGTGTTCTCTAACCACACCTTTTGTCCTTCGGAGAATCGCGTGAACTTTCCATTGTTTCGTTTCATCATCTTGCTTCTCGCAAGTTCATGTGCTTTTAGGGCGTTTTCCCTTGCCCTAAGTAGTTCGGATAATCGTTTTTCCACTGATGGGATATTTGTGGATCTGTGTTTAGTCGGGATTCCTCGGGGTTCATATCCCATGAGGAGGTAGAATGGTGATTGGTTGTTTGTGGAGTGTGGTCTTTGGTTGTGACAGAATTCGGTGGTAGTAAGGCATTTTGCCCAGCTGTGTGGTTGGTTCTGGCAAAATATGCGGAGGTAGATCTCCAGTTCTTGATTGGATCGTTCTGTTTGTCCATCCATCTGGGGATGGTACGCAGAGGAGAGTGCGGTTTCAATGTTCAGGAGTTTGTGGAGTTCTTTGGATACTTCAGAGGCGAACTGTGGTCCCCTGTCGGATATGAGTTTATCGTGCAATCCGAATCATTTGAAGATGGAATCGTGAAAGATTCGTGCGGTTTCAAGTGCGTCGATGGTTTTATGACAAGGTGAGAGGATTACCCCCTTACTAAGTCCTTGGTCTACCACGACCATTATACTGTCGTATCCTGAAGATTCTGGTAAATCAGTTATGAAGTCTACGGATAGGTACTTCATTGGTCCTGCGGTTTTTGGGGTTTGGTTTGGGATTAATGGTACGGTGGTGGGATGCGTGCTTACTTTCGCTTGTTGACAAGTTGCGCATCCTTTCACGTATTCTTCCGTTTCATCATTCCTGGCCACCAATAGGCCTTTTTGATCAACTGGTAGGTTTTGAGCCTTCCTGGGTGTCCTGCGGACAGGGAATTGTGATGATCTTTGATGATCGTCTTTTGTTCTTCTGCTTTGTCAATCAGTAATTTATTCTGATAAAAGAACTGTCCTTCTTCTTTTCTCCAATCGTCTTTCTTCGTTCTTCCTGGATAATTATTGTTTGTGAGCATGGCTTGCTCAACTATGTTTTTAATCGTTCGTGTGTGATACAGGAACGCTGACGTGGGTATCATTGGCGTGTCATCGTCGTCTCCTTCTGTTTCGACGTATAAATCAGGTCTTCTTGAGAGTGCGTTGGGTACCACCATGTGGGTTCCTGGTACGTGTTCCAAGGTGTAATTGTATTGTGACAGTTCCAGCTGCCATCTTCTTTGTCGCGGTGTCAGTTTCCTGGCTTCTTGCCAGTACGTCAGGTTCTTGTGATCTGTCAGGATTTGGATCGTGTGGGGGCTTCCCAAAAGTAAGTGTTTCCACTCTTTCAAAGCTCTCATTACCGCTAATAACTCTTTGTTGTAGATCTGGTAGTTCTTTTCAGCGGGGGATAGAGTTTTGGAGAAAAATGCACATGGATGCCATTGTCCTTGGTCATCGGGTTGCATTAGTACAGCTCCTGTGGCGTGTTTGCTGGCGTCTGCAGCAATCTTTGACGGTTTCGAGGAGTCGGGGGTTGGTCTTCTTCTGAATAGAAGTCTTGATCTTAGGAGTCTAGCTTTGTAAGCATAAACTGCGTAGAATCGTATTGGAGAATACTACTGCTGTTACATGGTATTTATAATGGAAAGGAATCGGTGATAGGAGTTAGGCCCTATCTAGGGCAGGTCCGTCCGTTGAGGACTAAGTACTATAATAGGTACTGTGAATGCAAGAGGAACGGAAGTGTACGTGAAGGAAATGAGTCATTGGTCCGATGGTATAACCGATGAGTAAAAAGAAATGAGTAGTCCTTAAATGTCCAATAGAGATCGTAACATGCTGCCCTCCCTAGGCAGAACGGGGAGAGAAAAGAAAAAGAATGGGGGACCTATGTTTTGATGGTTAGCGAGCTGCATACCCAGGGTAGGTAGGAGCGACAATGCAAGAGCATCACTAACCCGCAAAAATAGGAGGCGCAACAATGTGCTCACCATACTAAGAAGGTTGAAAAACTGCTGGCGCCTCTTTCCGGGACGTAAAGTGAATGAAAGCCGCATGTAAAGCTGGCTTGTCTTGAATATATGGTGCAAGAATTTCTGGTTCATTCATGCGCCATTCCAGGCCATGCAGTATATGCCAAGCCCGGATTCCGTAGATATAGTTCCAAATTGTCTTGTTGGAATACTGGCCTGCAAGCGCGGCAATAAAGGATGCGACAAGATCTGAATGAGCAGGCGCCCAGTCTGCCTCTGCGATGTTTTGTGAATTGCAGAATGTGTGGAAAATGAGAAGTCCTGAGCCATAAGTTTTGCGCATGGAAGATGACCATGCGTTGACTATTACCGAAGTGATGCGTTCAAAGTCTTAGCGGGTGATGAAACAGTGTGAAGGCGCATTAGGATGAGGGCGGGTAGTAATGGGGGTCCAAGCAGTGAGGCAGTCTTTTGCGAGGCAATTGGGGCGATGGGATGCGTGGAGGTTTGTAGTGTTCGGTGGATTGGGCGGGTTTAATGGTAGGAAGCAAGGGCTGAAAGGGCGGGAACTGTCTGGGAGCGCTCGGGTGTTGCTATTACATGAGTCTGCTCTGGAAAGGGTCAGGGAAAAAGACATTGTGGTCGCGGATGGTGCTTCTAAGCTTTGGAGGGAAAAAGCCAGTGCTGCTGATGTCATGTGGTTCATAGATGACTTGATTGATCTCGTCGGGAATGCTGAATCTAGGGAGAGTGAGCTCGCAAGCCAGGTACAATCCTCTGGAAGGCGGGTCTGCAGGATTGATGTGAGTGTTGACGTATTCCATGTGGATGACACATTGGTACGGCTCTGCAAACTTGCTAATCCTGCGGAATACTCTATTGGTTTGTTTGTTCCTACTCCTGCCTTTGGGCCAGGCTTGGATGACACCCTTGTTGTCGCTGCGGATGAGAATATGAGTGCGTCAAGGGAGGACCGGGAGTGTGGATCAAACAGCCAATTCAAAGGCAACGGCTTCCGCCCATCCAATATCTCTACCTGGTATTTGCCAGTTTTTCTTGAGTAACCAAGCTCTCCAATGGTGTCCGATAACGATCCCGAGGCCAGTTCCCGAGCTTGCATCAAAGAATATATTAACATCTAGAATTGGCTGGGGAAATGGGATGTAGCGCCAGGGGGACTCAGCTGTAAGTCTTTCTTTCCACCGGTGAACATCGTTAAGAATGTCTCGTGGGGGAGTGCGGGGTTTAAAAGGTTCGCTATGGAAGATTCCAGTGAAGGCTTCAAGACTAGTTAGGTAAGCTCAGCCGGTGGGGATCACTAACACCGCATGTTGAAGTTTGCCCAATAGTGATTGGGCCTCTTCAAGTGTGTGTTGGGTGGAGGATAGCCAGAAATTGATGGCGTCACAATATTTTTTGCATTTTTTGGGTGGGATTGATACTGTGCAACGACTGATGGACCACATGAAACTGATGAATGGGAATTCATCAGCAAAGGGTAGGTCTTTTGAACATTCCCATGGAATGCCTAGTTGAGATGAGATGGCGTCAATGTCTTGTAAGTTATATGCAAAGACTTTGTCGTCATCTGCACAGGGGGAAGCGTCAGAAAGATCTCTGAGATGAAAACTGTTAGTTTTGGTGATTCTGCACCTAGTTGTGTTATCTATTTTCCCTTCTTTCTAAATCTCTTTCCTCTTTATTCTTTTTGCTGTATTGTTCAGTATTCACTGAGCATTCTATAATTTCGCCTTTGTGGCTGATTTGTTTACCTTTGTTTACAAAACTTCGGACTAGTATTGCAGAGTCCAGTATTCCTATTCTTTAGTTACTCATACTGGACTCTAGGTACTGTACACATTCTGTACTCTCTGATAATATAGTTACTCATACTGGACTCTAGTTCTGTCCCTGTTAGCTCTCAGCAAGTGGCTAGACACTTCCCAGAAGTTCTCAATTGAACAAAAACACATGTCTTCGTCAAATTCTTCTGTTTTTCTGTTAGCATGAGTGTTCCCAAAGTACAAGAATTGTCCTTCATTCTGTATGCGGCCTCCTTTACTCACTATGGCTTCTTTCCAAGAAGAACACAATATATTGTAAGATTCTAGGTAAGATACAGGCACACGTATGAATACATGGTCGTTGACCCACTTAGAGATTGGGCTGATTCCTTTGGAACGGAAAATATTGGTCCTGGCATCTCCTATAATACCGTAGATGCCTACGGAAAAAGTGGGGCCGAAACACGCTGATGTGTGAATTGCGAATGAATCTTCGCCTGCCAGACGAACAACGAGGCCTGGCCACTGGGAGGGTGTGATGGGGATGGTTTGGTAAGCTTCTGCAACATTGCAAACAGCTGCTTGAGTCCCTGGTGGGAGACACACGATTAAGAGGGAAAATATCGAAAATGTTGACCATGTGGAAAGAAATTTATCTGAATCTATGTAAGAATTGACAAAGGTGGTGCCTGCTGCCGGTTTGTGAGGAAATGATAGGTTCTGGATCAAGCGGTATTTTCCCGGCTTGCCGGTGTCAATAATGAGAACTGCTGTTAGAAAACCACACACAAAAACAAACTAACACACAATCCTCCCAGGTTCCACGGAACTTGTTTATGGGCTTTGCCTCCTAGAACAGTGGAGTGCTCTGGTTGTTCGTGGGGTGGTATGTATAAGGGTCCTTCAAAGTAAAACCCAGAGATGTATGGGTGTGGGTTTTGAGGAGGAGGGATAGTTGGAATATAGAAAGATAGGGGCTTATTGACGAGTATAGATGAGCACTACCTTGCTAATTGTAGCACAAGGTAGGTTTGAGAATGATGAGATAACGAGGTTCCCAGTGATAGCAGGCTCCTGACGCACAAACTGTAGTGCTCAGAAGGACTCTAATCGAAGGGGATGACAATCACTTTCAAAAAGTGACGAGTGACGATGACAGCAGTTAACAGTGGTAGAAGTGGGAAGTGTTGTGACCACACTGGATCACAAGTAGCAGAGTAGTGAACTTGAGAGTAGAGAAGAAGTCTGGATTGGAGTTCTTGTTGTTTTTTTACAAGGTAAAATACAGGGGTTTATATAGTAAAAGAAAAGTAGGCTATGCACAGTATAGCTGTGCAAAAAGAATGAGAAAGAACATGAAGGAAGGAATGTACGCTGATGAATCCTGCGTAGGTAGTACAAGATAAGATTTTCAAAAAAAGGAAAAGAAAGGGATAGAACAATGAATGCTGTGTAAGTAATGTCACAGGTTTGTACAGCCATAAAGTAAAGTCCAATAGCAGAAAGAGAGCAAGAAAATCATGATGTCATGGGAAGATGCAGTAAAAAAAGGGCAAGGCAAAAAAATATCAGTATCAACACAGTTCCTTTATTGTCAGTCAGGCATTCTAAAAAAATATGTGTCCATAAAAATGATTCAAAAATCAAAAATAATTGCACTGTACATGAATGTTCTGCTGAAAAAAAAGAAACTGGAGCCACCGGTCCACCACCTAGTCCAAATCCGACAGTTCCATGGCCTTACCAATGGACTGGTTGTGTTGGACCACCTGATCAAACAAGGGAGGGAGAGGAGTAGTTCCAATTTGGAACTAGTGAGTCCCAGGCAGGGTGTGGTAGCTGTAGCTGTAGTGAAGATGATGGACAAAAGATAAGTGTACCCAAGTGAATGGGACAGCAATGAACATGGGCGACGCAAGGGGATGAACCTTCTCCAGCTCAAAAACTACCCACCCACGCTCCAACCAGGCAAGACGAGCGACCGATGTTTTGATAGTATATGATGGCAGATCGACGTCATGAAGATGGACCTGTTGCCCTATTTGGACCGGCCGCCGGGGCTTTGCTGATATCAGCAGTGGCACGTGGTAGTCAACGGATTGGCGACGGAAGCGGATAGGAAGTGGTGACATCAGAAATGGTGGGGGTGCAAATAAGATGAGGAGGAGGAGGAGGGTGGAGGTGAAGAAAAAGTGGATTAGAATGGGGATCCAGAAACAACTGTCAGGTGAGAATAAAAAGGAGAGGAAGGGGCCCATGGTGGGGCTAGGCAAAGGAAGGGAGTAAGGGAAACGACAAAAGCGAGGGCACAATGCAATGTGTAGCCAGTGGCGACGCGAAAATTTGCCGAAATGCCGAAATGCAGAAAGTACCGAATGGAAAAGCAAAGGTGAGCGTGACTGGATTGCCTAATAGAGGTGATGCTGATCAGCCACAAGTTCGAAAAAGGCAATATTGATTACTATTCCACGTGGCACTGTGCCTGTGTGGCGCAAAAGCGAGTCTTTTTGAATATTTGCTTCATTATTGACACCTGTCCATGCTACCAATCAACTTTGGTGCATGACACCAGGCATGGTTTTCCACACCAACGTCTAAATGGATCTCCTTTTGGAATAAGTACGTGCGCATCAACACATGCTTTGGGATTTCAGGAAAGGGTGGCTCCAAAGAAGAAGAAATATCAAAAGCTACATGTTTTTCTATTTTATTTTTACCAGAATCAAGCACCCTATTGTTTGTCTCGCCGGGGCCATGCTCCAAAGGAGATGCTGGTACAGCGGTGGTTTTGTACGTATTTCTAGTACTAACTCCTTTATTATCCTGACCCACTGAATCAGCGCTCAAAGCAGCTATATAGTTGGATGTGTCCAGGTTAAATCCACAGTCACAACTACGCATACATGTACATACTTCAGATAATAAGTTCAAAAATTTATTTACAATCTGGGGAGCCATCCCCTTCTTTCCGTTATTGCTCATGCAACACCCCGGAGCAGGGGCCACTTTGTTGTGGTTTACTTCATTGTTTTGTGGAGCTAAGGTACCAAAGTGACCTAAGCTCCAAACTCTTTTCCCTGAGTCTTCATTTCAGCGACCTGCTGGTCGTAAAAGAAGGCCCGGATCTTGTCGTATGAACGACCGGCCAGAGTCTGGAGCTGATCGTCCGGTTTCTCCGCTTCTAGTTGGCGCGCCTGGCGCCCTTGGTTATTTTTTTGTTGAGCGGCCCACGCTCCGTTTATGCAATCTTGGGCCATGTGCCCCTCCTGCCCACAGCTGAAGCAGGTGAATCTGTGCTTCTGTCTGCCTTGGACCGCACCAATATCCATTGGTGCACCCCAACCTGGTTGCAATCCAAAAGGCTGAAACCCATGAGAATGATGTGATTTTTGGTTTGATGACCCAGGGCTCCTCTGGGAAAAGTTATTTTTAGTGGTGGACCCGCCACCTTGGTGCATCTTGTAGAGCTCTATGGCCCTACCTATTTTCCGAACCTCCTCCACTGCTTGGGAGAGGTTGTCGCTTCTCATATCTTGCAGATAGAGTTGTTCTGCAATATGAGGGTTTACATTTTGTTCTAGCAGCTCTACTGCATGCTCATTTCCTAAGCCCCCTTGGATGGAGAGAGCCAGGAACTGGGTTACAAAGTCGTCAGTCCTCATATTTCCTTGTTTGGAGGAACAGATTTGCTGATGCGCCCAGTTGCGCTCAGCTTGTGGTTTGAAGTATTTTTCAATCTCTATCTTGAGATCATCCCAGGTAGGCCACACACCCGCGGTGTAGCACTCCTGTAATCTAACTTGGGCGTATTGACCCGCCACAGGTCCTTTTAGCCGAGATAGCACCGCAGTAGCTACCTCGAAGTCGTTGGCAAACGCATCCCAGTTTGCCTTGACCCAAATCTGGAGTTTGATCCACCGTTTGGCGAATCGTGATCTTTCTCCTTCGAAGGCGCCAGGGTCAGCGATGACTTCAACTTTCTTTCTTTGTGAACTTTTTCCCGACCGAGGGGGTTGCTGCGGCGGGGTTCGCCTGCAGCTCAGCAAGTTGTGTGGTCAATGCCAAGATCTGTGCACGCATGTTGTGCAACAGAGTATTGACGTCAGGTTGTTGACTTTGCAACGACATGTCAACTTGTTCTCTTGTAAAGTAAAGTAAAAAAAAGGTCACTGGGGGTCCCCGCTTGCTATCTGCAGATCAATGTCTTCCCAGCTGAGTATCGGATATCAATCTCCAACTACCCACACTATTGTATTTGATATTTGTATATAAAAGGTATTTGTATTGAAACCCTGGTCCGAACGGTTGTCAGGGGGTGGCCCGCTTGTTAAGCTGTCAGCCCTTCTCCAACTGGCGGAGGCAAGCGCCCGGCCTGGTCAGAGGAAAACAAAGAAGAAGTTGTATATAATTTCTAATCAACAATAGTTCCACACTATTGCTGAGCTAAAGTACTCCCCTTAACGCTGGGGGCCGCATATCAATAATTATTGTTTCTTCTCCCAAAGCACTACAAGGCCGTTGCGAAGAGCGCACCTATCTGCTATGCGGGATATTCCCAAACAACAATTATATTCCCTTAACCCTGGGATCTGGGTTTGCACAATGTGTGAGAGAGTAAAAAGAGCGAGTCCTGATGTAACAACCAAGAGTTTGTTACTCTGGCGCACAACTAGAACACACTATAAGGAGAATGATATGGGATCGGTTACCCTTGAGACTTCAACAAGTTAGTTGTGAGGATACAACAGGAGGACTCGCTGAGGAGTCTCCTTGATCTATTGGGGTTTATATACTGTTACAGGTTGGTTTGTACGTATGTACTATACAGTTGTTAGAGGCAGTGGCTGATGATGTCATAGGGCCTAGCCCGTATGACCAGCTCCACTGTGTGAGAGAGTTGTATCTAAAATAAGAAGAAAGGCAGCGCAGCACGAGAAAGTGGTGTTTGAACAAAGGGAAAGTGCTGCATGGCATGGAGTGTGAAAACTACAGTAAAAGGTTAAAGCGGAGAATGAAAATCAAAGGAAAGGTCCAAAAATTGTGTTATCGTAACAATCTGGACTGTGTAAGGACCATTTACTTTTCCTTACTTCTTCATTTTTATGTCCTGGTTTTCAAACACCTTTCCTGTTATACTTTTGGCCTTAGGGCTGGAGGTGTCATTTGCTATTCTCCTTCTCATTGCCCTAATAGGTTTTCTTAATCATCAATACCACTTCATATCACAGATCAGAGAATGGGTAGTACTTCCAGCCAGCCAATACAATGGGTAAAGGCTAGTGGCTGAGATCTTGCTAACTAACTCCAAGGCCCATTAGTGCCTTAATATATTAATAGAGGCTTTAGTCAGGATTGTACCTCATCATGAGGATACAGTTCCTGAATATACCTGACAAACCTATTATTAGCACATTTTTTCACCTGCTTATTAATCTCTGAAGTCATACAATAGTTATTTTTTTCATATTGGTCAGTCCCATCTTCAGACCACTTTTTTTTATTCCTCTTTTGGTCTGGAGAGATAGGCAGTTATGTAATTATAAAAACCCTACATATTCATGTATAATTCTTTAGCTTTTTGTTACTTGGAATTCCCATTTTACTCCTCATCTCTAGCATCTATTAATCTTGAGACTTATCATACCTCTTACTCCCTGCAAGTGCAGTTGGAGATAGGTTTTGTTTTGTTATAGTTTGACATTGCCTCACAGACTGTTAGAGGTTGAAAAGATCCATCTCTGGATTAAAAGAAACTAGTTGTACATGGAACAAAACCTTTGATTGCAAGCTCTAGGAGCTTGGTTTCACAAGACTAAATGCAGAAACATGTCTTTATGTATTCTGGAACAACTAAAAAATATGTTTTGTTGTTGTTTATGTAAATAACTTCCTCATAGAAGCTTCATCTCAAAATTCATAGATATCACAAAAGCCAAACTTGGATCCATGTGCAAAATGCAGGACCTTGGAGAAACAAAGTACTTCCTCAGAATAGAAATCCAATGTGATCATTTAAACAAAACAATTTCCCTCTTGCAACCCCAATACATTGACATGGTCTTGGAGTTAACTGGAATGAAAAACTGTAAACTGGTATAGACACCAATGGCCTATGGATCAAAATGTCTTGCAAATTCTCCAACACTGTTATAACCAAAGTTTGAATACTCTGGTGCTGTTGATGATGAGAATTGCTGTTAAAAAACCACACACAAAACAAACTAACACACAATCCTCCCAGATTCCATGGAACTTGTGTATGGGCTTTGCCTTCTAGAGCAGTGGAGTGGTTTGGTTGTTCATGAGGTGGTACATATAATGATCCTTTAAAGTAAAACCCAGAGATGTATGGGTGTGGGTTTTGAGGAGGAGGGATAGTTGGATTATAGAAGATAGGGGCTCTATGACAAGTATGAACGAGCACTACCTTGCTAATTGTAGCACAAGGTAGATTTGAGAACGACAAGGTGACAAGGTGATAAGGTTCTCAGTGATAGTAGGCTCCTGACGCACAGACTGTAGAGCTCAGAAGGACTTTAATTGAAAGGAATAACAATGACTTTGGAAGTGATGAGTGATAATGACAGCAGTTAACAGTGGTAGCAGTGGTAGCAGTGGAAAGTGTTGTGACCACACTGGATCACAAGTAGCAGAGAGTAGTGAACTTGAGATTAGAGAAGAAGTCTGGATTGAATTTCTTGTTTTTTTTACAATGTTAAATACAGGGGTTTATATAGTAAAAGAAAGGTAGGCTATGCATAGTATAGCTATGCAAAAGAATGAGAAAGAACATGAAGGAAGGAATGTATGCTGACAAATCATACAGTACTTAGGTAGTACAGGATAAGATTGTCAAAATAAGGAAAAGAAAGAGATAAAACAATGAATGCTGTGTAAGTAATGTAACAGGTTTGTATAGCCATAAAATAAAGTCCAATAGCAGAAAAAGAGCAAGGAAATCATGATGTCATGGGAAGATGCAGTAAAAAAAGCACGGCAAAAATAACTTCAGTATCAACACAGTTTGTTTGTTGTTAGTTAGGCATTTTGAAAAAATATGTGTCCATAAAAATGATTCAAAAATCAAAAATAATCGCACTGCAAATGAATGTTCTGCTGAAAAAAAGAAATTGGAGCCACTGGTCCACCACCTAGTCCAAATCCAACAGTTCCATGGCTTTACCAATAGTCTGGTTGTAGTGGACCACCTGGTCAAATGAGGGAGGGAGAGGAGTAGTTCCAATCTGGAACAAGTATGTCCCAAGCAGCATATGGTAAGTGTAGCTGTAGTGAAGACAATGGATGAAGAATAGATGTACCTTAGGGAATAGGACAGATCAATAACTTCTTGCTCTGAAGTAAGATCAATTGTACAAGTGTGGTGATCAAAAACCCACCGAGTCATGAGCAAACTACATTCACACTGCACCAAAATACACTTAAGTTCCTCAGCAGTGAGGCCTCCAGCATCAAGAGTGTCTAACTTTATCAGCATGAAAAAGTCACTAACCTGTCTCCTTTTAACAACATGTTGAAAATCCAGTAAATTGAAATCTTAATGTAGGTGTCTTGCTCCACATAGAGAGGGACTTGAAAGCACACTTAAGCTTGGAGTATTGGGTTGAGTTGGAGGGCCTTCTGCAGTATCTGCATAGAGTATGGGCCTAGGCAATACTTCATCGGGTGCTGAAAGCCAGTCAGAGCAGTAATGACAGTAACTATACCACATTGTGGGTATACCTTGAGAGGCATACCAATCTTACTGTAAAGATGCTCTATGAAAACTGGAATCAATCAGTTAACACCTCAATATTAATGTTATATATATATATTTCAAGAAAAATGCTCACTTCAATACTTGCACCATTTTTGAGCACATGTTGCAACATATTCACCAGAAAATCAGCCAAATGTGACTTGAAAAATTGCAGCCTCAGTGAAAGTCCTGTTATCAGAGTCTTGCAATGCACAAACGCAGACTGGTGCCTGAATATGATGGGTTTTTTGGTGATCTTCAAGAGCAGATGGGACCACCCGTTCTTCTGTTTCACTCATAGGCCTGATTCAAGATAATTATTTAAATTGTATCATAGTAAAAATATTGACTTACCAGTGCCATACTTAAAGTTTCCGTTCCGCTTGATTATATTTCAGAATAATACCTTTTGAGGCATACTGACAAATGCGGCACATAAGAGGAAGGAACCCATATGGGTCAGCTTGTGACAACACCAACAAGTCACAGTCTTGGGGCACTGGAGCACAACAAAAACAACACTCAGAAGTAGAGGAAGAGGTGGGAGTGGTTACCCATTAGGTTTCAACAAGTTGGTAGACAACAGGATATATATACTAAAATACATGAGGTACTGTACAGTTGTAAATAAAGTTTAAAGTCTGATGTCTAGCATGTGACCGGTCACATGCTAAGTCTAGACACTGGTCAGGTGTTGTGTCACATGACTTGGTCATGTGACTATTAAAAGTCGAAAATGTAAAGTAAAGTAAATGGTCACATGACTGGTCATGTGACTTGGAAAGATAAAAGTAAAAGTATGAAAAAGTAAAGTGTAAGTAGGTACTGGTACGTTAGTTGTAACACAGCTGGTGTTACAATTTTATCTACACCTTTTATTTCTTTTCTTTTCTTTCATCTTATCTTTTCTTATCTTTTACCTTTATCTTATCTTACCTTGCATTGCCACACAGACATTCTATCTTTAGACCTCCTATCCTATTGGACACTATCGTCTTATCAGCTATCTTTAGCTATTCTCCAAGGATTCTCCTATCTGCGCTTCTACTAGATCATCCGACCACCCTCTGATCTATCTTTAGCCATTTCTCCTAGGATTCTCCTTATAGCTCATCATATGACTATAAGCCCTTATTGCCATTGGTATCTATTTATATCATACCTCATGGACACCTCATGACCAACAGCCTTTATCACTATTGGCTCATTATGTTACCTTTTTTGTATTCACCCGTTTCCTCTTAACTTATCTACGAGCCTCCCCTGAAGTAGACTAACAGTATATATACCGCATGTATGTAGCATAGTTCTGCATCATGAATCTACCTCATTATATCCAGTAATGCCTTGCATGAGCTAGCTCCCATATTACCTCTAGAATCTCTGGCAGCTAGTGGAAGACCAACTGTTACAATTGACATACCAGCATCTACTTACGCTTCACTTTTGTACTTCTACTTTTATTTTCCAAGTCACATGACCAGTCATGTGACCATTTACTTCACTTTACATTTTCAACTTTTCATAGTCACATGACCAGTCATGTGACATATCACCTGACCAGTGTCTAGACTCATCATGTGACCGGTCACATGCTAGACATCGGACTTTGAACTTTATTTACAGCTGTACAGTACCTCATGTATTTTGGTATATATACAAAGAGCAATACATGGGGAAGGACTCAGCGAGTCCTCCTGTTGTCTAGCACAACTAACTCACTGCAGCCAAAGGGGTAACCACTCCCCATCATCTTCTTCATAGTGTGTGCCAGAGTAAATAACTCTTGGTTGTTACACCAACTTCTCTTCCCCAGAATGGTGCCATACACGCTTATCATCGGCAGGAAAGTGCAAGAATCCGATGCAGGCACAGGTCGCATGGAGGTTTGTAACAGCTAGACTGAAGGCAGAAACTCGACCAGTATTGATAGGGCTCAGATCCAAGTTGTTCATGCTGCAGAGATTGATGTGTGGGTATTGGAAGCTCTTGAGGTTAAGCATAAATCATTTATATATTTCAGCAGGTTGAAATTTTTACAAGTCTATGTCATCATACTGGGTCCACCACTGGGCTTTTTGGAAGGACATCCCTCACAACTGTGCATCTCAAAAAATTTTGAAACTAGCTATTGACAGTTAGAGCATTTACGAGAGATAGCAAGTCCGTTGAACCTTAGTGTGATTGTAACACTATCTAAATTACTAAAATACTATACTGAATTTTGAATATAATAAATTGTTTTTGCCCGGCTTGCAGCCCCTCGGTGGGGCATGCCGAACAATGGTCGGCAGAGACCCACCCACCTGTAGACATTACAACATGCTTGCTGTAATTTGTGCCTGGATCTAATCAGACCCATCGAACAATCCCTCATGTGGGCACGGTTCTTGCACGGGTCATCAAATGACAACTAAGGCAGTTGCCGAAGCGGAGGGTGCGGGGTTTGGATGAATATTTGAGCGTGATTTCCGAGGCATTGTAGCAAGAAATCAGTTCTACCATATATGGAACTCGTCAAAGGTGCAAAAGGCTGCGACATGGCCATATATGCTAAAACCTATTTCTGCCAGTTCGACAATGCCATCATGCCTGCATCCTTGTCCTCCTTTCCCCAGACGTTGAAGCCCACCAAAGAGTCAGATAAGTCCCTGGCATCCTGGGGAGATACCTTGAGTTTATGGTGCAGTTGAGCCGAGGTTTTTGGAATCACAGGATCGGGGTAGATCTGCCCATCATTACCTCCAAAATCACCATCTCTGACCTCAACTTTATGGTGTCAGGTCTGGCTCCACCGCTGCAGGTGCAGTTTCACCCCAATTTTTTGACAGATCACTTTATATATATTTATTCTTGCTGCCAGTAGAATCTAGGTTGGTGGGGCTTGTTGTTTTAGCTTGTGGAAGGACATTATGAACTCATACCGTCATCAACTTCTGTCCAGGCATAGTACAGACCGACTTCTCGCAACTGTCAAAGGATTATTTTCCCACCGCTTGAAGCTTGTGATAGCACTGGCGGATCGTGGCGTTCACTCAAAACCGGTTCACATGAAGAGACTACTAAAGCCATGCCATGGCTGAGGCGCCATCATTCATACCCACTAGCTCGCATGACCTCTACATATCTATACCAGCCCTCACCTCAATGGACTTCCGTGCATCCCAGGCCATTTTATCCTCTGCATGAACACCCAGCATCTCTCGCGTATCCTCAACTACCCTCATCGCCTCGACCGCCGGCATTTCATGACTTGTACACACTCAGCACTCATATCATCCCAGCAGCATATCCACGGGTGGTCCCAGATATCCCAATTCCAGAGGCACCCTCTCAATATACAGATAAAGAGGAACGTAAACGCCATGTCCAACGATTGGGAGGTGAGATAGCAGAGAGGCAGGAGCTCTTCGGACGCGGTCAGCTACCAGGCGAACCTAGTCGGAAGGTTCTCTGGAACTGTATCAATCGCTACGTGAAGAATACACACAGCACAGACAACAAATCAAAGGGCGTCACTTTGCTTCTTGCCCATGCGAATGGATTCCCCAAGGAAGTAAGTGATCGACAAGTACGACACGTGTATATGGTGTCCTCATATGTATACATAGATATGGGAGACAACTCTACGGTGTCTATTCTCCTCTTCGGAAGGACCTCCGATAGATGAAGATTGGTCTTTTGAAGCTGTGCAACACGGCGATTCTGCGCTCCTGAACGCCAGTAGCCTCAGTGGAATATGTACGATGCTATTTCTGAGCTTTCTGTGCCAATGGCTAATGGCAGTACTGTAGACGAATGGATGGACAATGCACGGGATATAGCAAATTTTTTATTGAACTATATCCCTTCCGCAGTTTCCAATACGGTCCTTTCCACTCATCTGCCTCGTGTTTCTAATGATGTGAGTGAGACGCGCACACGTGATGGTTTCACGCATCGCACATTGGTGGTTGTAGGCCACTCTTTTGGAGGCTGCTCGTCGTGAGTCGGTTGTCCTCATTGCACTTGACATTAATGCTCATCGGTTTTGTTTACATGAATAGGGTCATGGCAGCATTGAAATTTCCAGCTCTGTTCTCTTCGATGATACTCATAGATCCCGTTATCGTTCAGTCACACCAATACCGTGGCGACAACTTTCGTGCATACGTGATCGGTGCTATTCAAAGACGAGACAGGTGGTCATCTCGGTAAGTTACCCTCCTAACCTAGTACAGTTTATTGAGTATCCGTAGTGAGGAGGCATTGCGGACGTTTAAAGCAAGCCCCCTTTTTGCCGCCTGGCATCCTGATGTTTTACAGCTTTACGTTGATTATGGACTAACGGATACTCCAGAAGGCGAGGTGAAGCTGAAGATGTCTGGCATGCATGAGGCACTCTCTTTTGCCAACGACCTGGCCTCGAATGAAACATGGGAATTGCTCGAGAAGCTAGATAAGAAAATTGAGCTGAGATGGATTGTTCCTGGGAGGCCGACTGATAAGAGGTACGTCGGGGCTAATCTACTTGGTGAACTCGTTTATTAATGTCCTCTAAGCAGTATGCAAAGTCCAGAAGCGACAAGAATTAGGGTGTGGCGAAGGCCTGCAAACTCGTCGAATATTGTGATACATTCTGCAGGACACCTTGTATGTTTTGTGCATAATTGTCGCGGATCTTATTGTTCACTGCGCTTCTACAAATAGGTCGTACAGGAATCACCACAGGAGCTAGGTGCCTTCCTATGTGTTTCTCCTTGCGCTTCTAGCTGACGCAGCGTGTTTGACTAGCGCAAGATATTTCAGATTTTTTGAGACGAAAGTATAAAACTACTGGTATGAAGGCTCAGTTATGATGTTAGATATTACCGAGTTGTGCTGCATGTTCTGACAATAGTGGTGCACGTCGTTAGAAACACGGCCGCGTATAATACACAATAGCCTTTTGAAAAAGCGGGGAAGGGGATAAGGATGATGCTTGGAGCGGATCTAAGATATAAGGACAATAATAAATAACGTCAGATGTTCCTCAAGGGGCAAGTGTCAAATTGGCCTCGCTATGGGCGGCAGCCAGTACAGCCTCCCCGGATCCTTGGTCATCTCGTTCACGCTCTTGTTATCCTTCCAAAACCTTGCACGTCCTTATATTTCTTCTTGCTGTGAGTCTTATGTGCGGAGACTCTGAAGAGTTTTGAAAGACTTGCCATCATGACCAACGAGGTTTACCAGCATCCTGCGGTGGCTCGAACGATATTCTCCCTTTACCTCCGCTTTTTCACTTTCCTGTTTACTGCGCAGGCAGCATGCTTTACCAAGGTCTCTGCGAGGCCTCTTAATGACTATACGCACGTAGCCAGAAGTATCGGTCAAGACGGCGACGGCGCAGGACCGAGTATTCCTTCTTCGACATGGGTATGTGGTTGTCGCTTTTACTTTCACCCAGCTCGAGTCTCAATCGACAGGGCAATTTTATAGATACCTATACTAGTTATCGCTGTAGTCCTGATCGCAGTTGCGTCCGTGACATGCGCCAGGCGTCGTCTTCGTCGAAACCTAGCCTTGGTCGGCGAGGATGCTGCCATGCCTAGTCGTACAGCGCTGAACTCTGGTAGTCAGGCAGCTGGCGCCCAGGGCACTACCAATACGACCTCGCAGACTCGCAGACCTCGCAGGCCCAGGCGAACACCCAGTCAGATTTCAACCACTTCCTTGCCTCCATACATGAAGGAACCGGGTGAACAAGAACTGGTCATCTTCAGGTGTGTGTCTCAGTAGTCTCAGGCGTCCCTCGTCTCACAGATTATCATTTATGCAGGGGACGTTCAGATATGGAGGATGCAGCAATGGCTATGCCTGTCCTCGACGAGCATGGCGAAGAATCTTTAGATAGAGGTCCTTCGCAACTTTCGCTCTATTCACCCGTTCCGCACGACGACATACATCACGACATACCTCTCGACAGAGCTGAATCTAACGACACTCTAGCTAACCCTTCAATGGCACATCTCATGTCTACCGCTTCGAGAGATATGCCACTGAGGAGAAGCGTGGATGTGCGAAGCATGGACTCGACGAATAATTCCCAAGAAAGTAGTACATCGTTGTTGCCGCCTCATCAGCAGCAAACTCTGGAGGATCCGAGAGGGGAGGCACCCCCATACTTTGAGGTTGTTGCATTTGATGGAAACGACCCCCAACGGTCCGCAGTCGGAGGCAGTGGGACTTCAAATTTACCACAAAATGATGCTACTTCATCACCTCCCGCGGATGCAAGTCAACGCCCAAGGCAGTCAAGGCTATCGGGTTTCTTCAGTGTCTTTACATCCCGGGCACAACCTCCAGCTCAACAAGGCAGCGCCCCGCGTAATGATCCTACGCACAGTCGTAACCTGTCGGCTGTGTCAACGGCTCAGAGTACGCACGGCCGCACGGCGTCGCATGGTACATCCCATTCAGCGTCCGGGTCGATATCAGCTACTCCTTCTGCCTTCCGGGCCCTTACGCGTTCGCGTTCAAGGAACCACATGAATTCACCGTCCACGATATCCCTCGACTCCATCTCTGCGCCACTTACCCACACCGTGACGCGTTCAGAGTTTCAGATTCCAAAAGGGGGCCTCACAGCTGAACAAATTAAGCTCATCACTTCAAGAGACACATTTGGACGCTTTGGTATGCCATATGGTCCCGATGCGGTAGCGTTCTCAGCGTCAAGACTTGACATGCAGCCACCGCCCGCTTTCGACAGCACGTCGACGCCCGGTCCCCTGCAAACAGATGCGAGTCCTTCTGAAAGCCATTCTGGGGAGTCCCCGGCATCGGACAGCCACAGTCCATCATCTGCCGGCACTACAGAGCATCAATCCAATGCAGAGACCCCGACGGAACAAGAAGGACACGATCCCGCAGTTTCGTCAGTGTCTGACACACATAAGCCTGACTCTATACAAACCCACCCAGAGTCAGCTCCAGAGTCATCATCGCCTACAGAAACGCCAGTGCAGCCCGCCGAAATACCGACCGTCGCGGGCTTATATCCTCCTTCGTCATTCAAGCAATCAAATGCCGCCCCGGACTCCCGAGCTAGTTCGGCCATGTCGTTTATTTCGGCCGTAGAAACGGCGGCATCATCGCAGGATCTGGATGACAGGACAGATAATGCTGAGCTCGAACCACCGACCCCAACTGCACGAACGCCCTCAGGGCACCACCTTCAAGATAAAAATACTGACGTTACTATTCCCACGATTACGAACTCTCCTCCCGATTCTGCTGTGTCTGCGTCTTGATCAAGGTTGCTTTTTGATGAACCGCTGGGCTTGTAGGCTTACTATTTTTTTTGTTATTTACACGTCGTATCTTGATATTTACACATGGGACGCTACAGTACAATTCGTTCTTGTTCATCCACACAAAATTCGCTATCGTCTTTACGGTCCCTGTAGCGAAGTTTTGAAACAAGGGTATAGTGATTATATGCATGGACAATCAGTTTTAATAATTGTAGTCTGACCTCATCCCTTCCGCCAAACTCCTCGGGTCGACGATCCAGATCGCTGCCTTTTTTTTGCCAGTATCGAGTCCACCAGACGAGTCTTGATCGTGGAGAAAAGAAAGTGGAGCAGAAGTTTTCAATTCCTTCAGTATCGCTTTCACACTAGACCGATTAGCCGTTAACGTTGTCCACCCAAGACTTGCTCCCCACAGCAAACTTTGTACCGTATGAGCGGTGAGCTTCGGATTTGCCTTCGTGACTGCTGCACGTTGTATTTCTTGGCCGTCGTGATCAGTCTCTGTGGATATAGCTCTGGGATACATCGCTACATCCTGTGAAAGGACTTCTCTACTTGTGGAAGCAAGTACAGTGAAGAAAGGTGGTAGAGAGATGTTGTTGAAAGATTTCAGGGAGCCTTCGTCCGGCTCAAGGGACGGGAACACGCGAACAGGTAATAGTGGAAGAAATCCCGAGGGATACCGGGAATGCTCCCAGAATAACGCCGGATGCTGCCTCTGAGAATCCGAGAATAATGCATGGGCACGTTGACGTTCTCGCGGACCTCCTATCTTTGATATAATGCGGAGACAGCGATCTCGAGCTTCTGGAGTCGTCCAAAACTCAAGTGCAGGCGTGGGGCACAGCGAAGAAAGTCGGTCGAACGTTTCCTGTAATAAACCTTGTCTCATTTCTTGCATGACCTGGTTGGCCAGGGCTCTAGAGTGTTGCCCAGAATCTTCCCAAATTTCTTCATTATCAGCTGCAGAAGAAGTTTTACTCGATAAATGTTGCATTCTCTGTTTCTTCCATTCGAGATATTGCGAGGAAGGGATAAAACGGGCATTGGCTTCTTCAATGGATTTTGGAAGTGGAGAATGCGTAATGTCGGACACGAGCGCTATTAGCGCTGATAGGTCAAGATTGATGCAAGTCGTTGTAGTGAATACGTGTTCTGGAGACGGCAATGCTGGGATTTGTATGTCATCCCTTTCTCCTAGCTCTACGTCCAAACCCATCTCGCGTAAAGCAGCAATAGTCTTAGCTATTCGTTCATCATTTTCTTCTCCAAATTCGTTAACTTCAGAAGGATCGAGTCGAGTCAAACGTAGAGTTACTTGAGGTGCATCGCTCGAGCCAGAGACGGGGTTATCACGCGCTGCTGCTAACAGTGCTCTGCCCATCCGTAAAACGGAATTGTCAAACTCTTTCTGAGCTAAACTCGGTCTTCTATTTTCCATAGAAACGTCAGAGTCATCTTCAGAGCTCGTAAAGTATGAGTCAATTTCGCGAAACTCTGCAAGGATTCGTGAGTTCTTTATGCTGATGGATCAACGTCATTCCTATAGCGCAGATGGGACGAATTCTGTAGGGCGTACGTGTTGACTCTGATCCATCGCCGGCCATTGTCGGCAACTACATCGACTTTCGTACCTGGAACTTTTTGAGATTTCGCTCGACGCGACGTACTTGATTTTCCTCCGTGGCTCACAAAAAATGTTCGGTAGATTGAACTTAATGGCGGAGGAGCCGCCAAGACCTCGCGGCATACTGCTATCAGATAGGGTGCATTGGTGGAAATTGCAGGACTAGACGATGATTGGGTGCCCTCGAGAAACTACTGGACGCCAGAGTTCAGCTTAGGCATTGACGGACAGTAGCTCAAGAATTCAAATGAAGAAACCGTACCTTTCCTAGTACATCCAAGTCCCGTTTTATTTCTTCTCTTAGAATTCTGAGACCCGGTATTCCTTCCTGGGAGCGAGGTTTTGCGTCGCATTCTACAGCTGAGTCGAGGATAGGCAACTTGGGTATTCTGGGCTCGTAGGACGCCATGTTTTGTCCGATTTCTTGTAATTGAGCGTGCAAAGCGCAAAGCTCGTGATAAAGTGAAGTTTTCCTTGCATCTGCTGATTGGGACATCATGATTTCTCGAGAAAAGCCTGAGTGAATTTTCAGAAGTAGTAGAAATGCAATCACCCATATCTGACGCTAGTCACGTGCATCGTGGCATGAGCCTGAGGAATATATTTCAAAAATGCGCAAAGAAAAGACGCCTAAGTCAGTCCCCAATCCCTTCCTTATACCCTTCATCCCCTCCTTCTCGCCCTACTTGATCTTCCCTTCCATCCAATCACTCATTGTACACAAGCTTTGACCTCACCCAAACTCCCAGCAACCAGACAAGACCATCGAACCCAACCCGGCCCCCTCACGAAACGGCACTGGCAAGATGATAAAGCCTAAAGATACGGAAATGACCATGTAAATGTCGTATTCCACATCCTGCTTACAGTGAGTAGGTACCTTGAAACGTCCTTCTGGCCCAAGACGAGGATCTTGAAAACTCGTCAAGTCCCTCCTGTGGATGTTTGTGAGGGTTAGGTGAGCACTTGGCTGATGCTGGAAATCAACCATCAAAGCCTGGCCAGTTTTGCACGCGACGGTTTGAAGTTCTTAACTGCTCAATTTGTTGTCTCTTCCGTTTGCTGCTCTTGCTGGAGTAACAGGAAATATCAGAGATGTCGTTTGAAAAAATTAAAATATAGTTCACGTACTCGCTATTGATAGAGTATATCGCATGTGTGATATTGAGACTACGTAGTGCCCACCGTAAATCTTGGGGCATCGCGACAAAGCCTACACGAATTTTATGTTAGATGCATTTCACATCGCTATTCCAGCCTACCTTTAACAGCGTCATCATTGCTGAGAGACCCATTTCGGATTACAGAATGTACCCCGAGAGTCACAGACGCTGCCAGTGAAGTCCACCATAGAAGAAACGTATAGGAATGGATCTGGATGACGATCGTTTCAACCATCGACAGCCTGTTGAACTTGAAGGCAGTGCAGCCCGTTTGTGAACGTGCTGTTTTGCATTATTTTCTAGGCAATCAATTGCAATGGAAGCGTGACAGTTAGGAGGGCTGTGAAATAGAGACCTGAGCGTGATTGTGTCGTTAAGAAATCTCGGAGCGATTTATGGACTAAGTGAACCGGACTGTCGTTGGTTTCGGGAATAAGGAGAATGGATTGAATGACGAGGAAAGACCTGACAAGGTTTTGTGGTTGGACATTTATGTAACAGTGTACCGAAATTACTTACATATATACAGAGGATCCAGGCCATGTGTCTGTAATGCACCTAGAAGCATTTGATGCGGCATGCCCTCTTCTTCCTGAACAACTTTAACTAGTGTTGACTCGAAGGACCTTCGACGAAGGCCAAGGCTCTCGTATACCATCTATAATCATAAGTCGGTGATTGGCTGCATATATTTTTTTGAATTCGGACTGGAAAAGCATGCGAATACCCTCTGTAGCGCTATATTGCTCTAGCTTCAACTGAAGCGAGACCTGCCTGGCATCTATAGTTCCGAGTACGAAGATGTTCTTCGACTCTGCTTGTGATGAATAGACGAAATGGGACCTGGTCTCCTCTAACTATGCATGCTTCAACTGCAGCGTTGGGGGACTGGTTTATTGATCCTCCGTCCCTAATTTCGCATTCGTCTAAAGCATCGATGACTACTAGTATCACCGTCGGTTTTCGTACGGCAGCACTGTATGTGAAGGTTGAATATGCATGGGAGAGCACGACTAACTTGTCAAATCGATAACTGAGTCGAGCATCCTTATCGGCGAGGAAGGGTTTTCTAGCAATGAAGTTTTTAACCAATGGCTCCATATTTTCGATAGTGATGGACAGCTGAAATGTCAACGTAGGAATGAAGCGAGATACTTTGTCTCGGTTTCCTGTTCCCCGGAAGAAGAAAAAGCTGGCAACAAGCCTCCCTTCATCTGCACGCCATTCTGCTACGGTCTGAGCCAGGGTAGACTTCCCATCCGGTCCATTTAACCAGAAAATTGGGCGAGTACTATCTATCCCCAGTAATTTGAGCTCATTCAAGACCCCCTTTCGAGTGGCTACCAAGCACCGAGCCATTTCCCCTGAGCAGTCTTTGTAAGAAGCGTTTGCTGATTGTAGCATCTGGTGTAAATTTGGCCCGGCTAATCACAAAGAACTGAGACCATGATGACCGAAGACAGGTGAAAATCACAGACGGTAAAATATACTATCAATGACGTTAGTGTACTGTTCAACGCGCTCAAAACTTCCAGAAAAATCGCTGAACGCGCTGCTTTCGGCGTTACTGGCCCCATTGAGTACGCCAGTAGTGGGCATGGCACCTCCAAATCTGATATCGAAAGTTACGGCTGCAGTTCGTGTGTTATGGGTACTTGGTCGATTGTGAGTGGACATGCGAGCTGAGAAGTCGAAGAAGACGATGAAGTGGGAAGAAAAGTGTGGGTGGAATATGCATGGGTCATAAATAGTGTTTTAATAAACGCTCAACTGCGCAGCCTCGTGATGGACTTGATGCAAATTGAACCCTAGTTCCTGGTGTGTGCTGCACGTTGTCGTCCTGCTTCTTCCAGATTGCATGGAGTTTAAAGTAGGCCAAGGTCCGGAATACTATTTCCGCGTGTAGCACTGACATAGAAATGAATGAACGCTGGTTATTTCCATAGCACATAAAGGAATAGAACGATTTGAAGTCTGAAAATGTCAAGTCGTGCATGATAAGTGCTGTTCCAATACACTTCTGGGAGGGAGCGTTGAATCGTAGTTTCATGAGGTATGCAGCCACTCGTGTGGTGTAACAAGAATAGCATGGCTAGCACCTGGGCCACAACGTTTGATGAAGACGTTGAATTAGTAATATTGGCGGGCGAGGAAGCTTGTTTTTTTTTTTTTGCTGTCATTGCACCAAGTCATTGCAGTTATTGCAGTTATTGCAGTACTAGCTTGGATGGCCTTTAATGCGCTACCATTTCTGGAAGATAAAATCAATGGCTTCTATACGATACAAACTTATTGACACATAACCCACTGATAAGTATGATACAATACAACAAGTTGGAAGACAGTGTAATGGCGTACGACATGGTTTGACTGGGCCCTATAAATTGGTTACACTTATGTCCTAAGTTGGTATAACATGTTTTTACGCACCAAAATAAGGAACAGAGCCAAGAGAGCAGACGCAAAACCATCGCTGTAGATAGTACAGCGATGTAATAGGAAGAATCGTAGTTCACTGCCCATACTATGTCCTCGATCAATCTCTTCACTATAGCCAATATTCCTAATTGTCGTCGCTCGTGGTAGCCTTCCAAATTGGGATGAACCAGAGTGCCACACCTGACCGAACTTAATACGAAATAGTATAGTATTGGATAGAAGAGGTTGGTTGAATTCGTGTTGCATCTAACATGGATGAAAAAAGACAGGGAAGCAGGTATAGTTAACTCACGGGGACGTTGACCTAGTAGGATACGGGGCAGCAACAGAGTTGAACCTCACCATGCTAGATAAATACAAAACTCACCACAATCGGGATACCATGAGTGTTGGCACATCGCTGCAATCCAACCAAATGATGATTTATTTTCGAATATTAGCCATCTAGCTGCTGCAGTATTGGATTTTATAGGTTTTCACATCTTACCGATGACTCAGCCGTTCATACTTAGGTTTTTCTGGAAGAGAATAAGTTATACCCAAGGCGATTGCATTGTTTAATCACCATCCACACTATCATAGGTGATTGGATAGTCAACTCGGCCGGGAAAGGAGGAACCTCTCCAAGAAAAATATTTTCGCCGCATTTGTATACTCTATAACACTCTTCTGTTTGAAACCTACGAAGAGAAACAAAATCAGCTTTCCAGTAATCAGTTCGTAGCACATGCAGCAGACGACAGCGCACCATGACCCTCCTGCTCGCAGACCATCAGCTCTGCATGAACATTCTCTGATACAATCTCCCACATGCGGATTGCTTCTTCCACCGTGACGCGACTGTCCTTGTCGCCATGTGCGATCGAAAGAGGGACCGTGATCTTTGATGCATTATTCAAAGGAGATATTCTTTCGAGGAACTCTCTGATCTCCGGTATGGTCTCGTCCCCGTACTCGCGTCGCCGGGCAGCGCGACGAACAGCAGCGGTATTCTGGAGAAAAGATGGCCAATGGGCAATACCGAAGTTTGCAACGCCGCAAGTAAGCTTAGAAGAAAAATGTATTAAGCTAGCCTATAAGAATAGACATTTTATTGAGATAGTTTTCAAGAGTAGAGTGAGATTACGCACGAACACCATATAACCTCCGTCTGCAAGGGAAACAAGGGTTATCAGTGAGAAATGGCCACAGCTAAACCTAGCGAATCTTACATGATCCACCCATCACAGCAATCCGCTTAGAATCCAGCCATTTCATATTTTTATCGACGTGATCTAGTAGCGCGCCAATGTCCCTATCATGAATCTGAGTGAACAGGAAAGGAGAAAAGCAGTTCGTTGACATACTTTACCGAATCTTCTCGCTTCTCAACGTCGTCTGCTGCCATATATTTCTTTCCATACCCCGAACTTCCCCGCACGTTTGGATAAATAACAGCGCAGCCTAACTCGTTGAGCAAGTATCCGTGGATAGGGCTATTTTAAAGACTTTCAGCAGAAGATAAGCATGCAATAGATTTTCACAAACACTCGGTGTTGTGCCGTAGCTTGGGACTCTGGGCCTCCATGAATTCCGATGACGACCGGGGCCACAGACTGTTCTTCAGACGGATGATAATACATCGCAGGAATCTCCAGCCCATCAAAGCTCTTGAACTTGATCAACTTGGGTGGCAACGTTCGGAACTTGAGGAGGGCTGCAGCTGCCTGGCTGTATTCTGAGAAAGAAGTAGATATATATGCATTACCTTGTTCATCTCTTTGAACATGTTCGAGTGAAGATGCGATATCCAAACGAGCGACAAAACCTCGTGAACGATGAGAAACCAGTTTGAGCGCGAGTTCGCCAGGCTTCTCATTGAGTGCATTCGTTGTGAAACTGATTCCACCCCCTTCCCATTCCAACTGAACTTCGATGACAGTATCCTTATGAGCATCGCTCAAAGGCATCATATAGAGCTTACTCCAGCCTTCTACATTGGCACAAAAGAATATCCTGTCTCGCGTGACCTCGATACTTGATATTTCCCATGAAATAGGCCGCAGGGCGTACAAGTGGGGCTCAGGTGAAGTAACATGCGTGACCGAACCTGTTTCAATGTCGTACATAATAACCGCATTATAATCACCATAGGCATTAGTGATCATGAAAATTGACGAGGCTTTGCTTGGGTCACGCGAAAAAAGAGACCGTGTATAGGCCGTCTCGTCTTCCTTTTCCGTCGACTGAGGTAGAGTGATAAGGTCGGGTGCGTATGGACCCGGACCAGATATATCGACGATGTATAAAGGGCGATAAGCTGAGCTATTTTGTTTTGTCAGGAGAATGTATCGATCATCAACTGAGATGCTCTCGACAACCCAGCGCGAGGTGCCTTGGCCGGTAGTGGGGGTGATTAACTTTGAAGGTAAATGAAATGGAGCAGCGTCTGCATTTGCTCCTGTCTTTGACCCAATCAAATCCATTATATAAATCAAAGTATCAGTTTTGTTCTCTTTGTTAGACGAAAATGCCATGATCCTAGAAAAAGATGTAAATTATGGCAAGTCATGTTTGTGTTATCAAGAAACCCCACCTGTCAGATTGAGAGATGATGAGATTGTTGTACCTGAATCCATCGTGGGTTAGCCGTTCGATACGTCCTGTGCCAGGGTGATTATCAAGCTCTCCTTCGATTTTTGGCAGTGTATGCGCAGAATAAGCATCTTCCCAGTAACGCCTAAACGACGAGGCAACAGTTTAAGCAGGAAACTTCATTTGCATGGAGTAGATACATACCAGAGTTGGTATTCTTCACTCCCGTCGAAATCCATCACCATCAAAGCTCCCCCACCTCTCCATACGCCTCTCCAATCATCACCCTTAATCGGAAAAAAGTCGAATATGTTTCTTCCAATACCAATATCAAAGTGTGTGAGACGTTGTAAGTCGGTGCTCTGTGTGTCTGTGGGCACTCGATATATCTGCTCAACTTGGGCATCTGCTGGCCTGTGCGATACGAGGAGATGGTCTGGGGTTTTCTGGCCATCCGCAGTCTCGACAGAACGTTCGAACCCGAAGAGGGTAAAGCCTTGTGAGAGGGAATTCAAGATCAGACGATAGCATGAGGGCAAGATAAACTCAAAAGGCATACCACGCGCAGCATCTTCGTAATCCTTCATACCACTGAATATACGCTGTGGAATAGGCTCAACGTTGATAGTCTTGACCTGACTTGCAGGTTGCGAGAATTTCAGATAGCTATAATCGAAGGACATGATGGTATCGCCTCTCTCGAGCGGTCATGGTTCAGCTGGTCGCCACAGAGAACAGATATATAGGAGTCTATGTATAGGCCCGGGCATGTGGGACATGTCCTATGATTCAAAAGAGGAAAAGAAAGAGCAGACTAATCGAGGTTTTAATTCATTCTTATCTGGACATCTGACCTCGGGAGGTTGGACAAGCCTGAGATTTAGATATCTGTCGCGGCTGTCATTGTGAATGCGTTGAAGTGGAACAAGAAATAGTGTGAAGTACCGCTTGACGGACAACCCAGTCTCGATCGATATTCCCAGGCGAGTCTGAGGCTTGGAGTCTGTGGGTACACTGGCATCTGACCTCCCACTGGAAAGACAAAACCGCCCAAGTAGTCACCAATGCCAGTACCTTTTTCTTACTCCCAGCAACAATGATATAGTTTCATGGCCTTGGTACGCCTGCTCAATGTTATATCATTATCTCACCAGATTCTCGAACTCTTGAGTCTCTGACCTTGTTTTACAGGAGACTTTCATGTACCTTTTGGAAAACCAGGTCACCAATTGAAACTTCCTTAGGCAGAAACACTAGCTTTTCAAGCACCAAAACAGTGAGCCCATCTCACAGAAATGATATTTTTGAGCGATAGATAAAGTGAACCTTTCTAGGATCCCCTTACTGTACGAAGAAGCTAATCAGTGGTACACATCCTTCGACCCCCTCAGAGGACTCATCGACAGACCCAATCCTACACCGCTCTCGATCTAGCCCTCGAGGTCCTGAATCTTTGTCAGAGAGCGGGGAACCGATTCGAAAAATACAAGATGGACTTTTCGAGCATCTGAAGTCTTGATAAGCACGTTATTCCCCATCTTGGCCCAAAACTCTACGGAAGATTGAGTGATGTTGTTGACATATTCTTTTATCCTCAAATCCAGTGTTCTACTATGCTTGAAGTCAATAATGTCCCCCACTCTGACATATTGCATTTATCCTATTATATTGGCGTAATGCAATGTTGCCCGAACTCCTAAACACGGTAAGCCATACCGCTTCTTAGTGATCTTCCCAACATAATATTCACTGGATAAGCGCAGGCGACCACAATGGAGGTCGAGTTTGCATCAAGCCATTGTCACACACTTGTACAGATAATTATGCAAATCCAAGTACATTTCAAGATTGTCTTACCTCAAGCGTTACATGCTTCGTGCATTAACGACTAATAAGAGTGAGGATGACGCAGGCTCAGACAAGACCGCGGTGACAAGTGAACGTAGCTAAAAGTGATAGGTGATGTCCGAGCGCCCCTGATGTTAATTCCGAGTCAACCGTTATCTCATCTCAAAGCTTCTCACAATGATGGCTATGACGGCCGACTCCTATTCCTATGTCTCAGGAAATATGCCGGAAATCATGCCTTGTGACCCCTTGATCGTATATAATTAGTTCAAGTTCATGTTCCCAGTGTTGTTGATGAGCTGACGGTTTTCATTGGCAACAGATACGATCTTGTGATATGTTCTCAGTGGCTGTAATTTTTGAGCGCGAGACAGTGTCATTTAATGTGAAGATCATGACATCTAGATGGGCAAACTTGAATGACCAACTTACAGATACTCTCAAGGTCAAGTCCTTCTGATCCGGCAAACGAGTACAGTTCATCACTGGCTCTGCGATAAATACACTGGCGCCAATTCAGCTATAAAATGCGACACGTTGGACTGGTCCTTTACTCTATCACTCCTCCCCACACTTCCACCTGAAACCAAGCTTACGATGGATGTTTCATCACTAGCGGTGCTATGTATCACTAAGTAAGCCTCTCTAACTTCTACACAATGGAATCATGTGCTCATGTCTTCAAGCGCTACCAAATTCTTCGACGCTATTCAACCCATGAGTGGCAGCATAAACATAAAAATTCTTCTCCTCAATTATTCCTCACCACTCTATTATTTTTCTGGAAACGTTCCAAGAAATGCGTACGTACATCAGCTTGTTTTCTGCCTTCTTTTGACGTGTTTCTGAATTTTAAAAATGTAGGGATATATTGATTGTAAGCGGCCTTAACAGCCATCTAAGAATTTAATTGAACAACTGATGAAGTTGGATATGCAGGGTTTCGGTTATGTGCTCAGCTTTGCTTTCTTTGGAGTCCTCGTCGTTCAGACCTGTAAGGATATCACTCCTATATCCCATTACCTGCTTTAAACTATGTTATGTCACAGTTATTTATCAAACAAGATTTCCCAATGATAGGATGGTGATGAGGTATTTTAGTAGGTGTTCCCTTCCGAATATATTCTCTCCCTTTGAATGAACTTTTTTAGTCTGGGCAGTCTTACTTTTAGAAGCATTGAGCTGCGTGTTTACTCTTATTGCATTTGGAAAAGGGCTGTCTCTTGCGTGTCTTGCATGTGCCGTCAATCCGACACAGTGGCCGCTGTATATGGGTTTCTCCTGTATACTTCCCCCCGGTATTGTAGGGGAGGGGCCACCTGCCTGGTCCTTCCTGGTCCTTTCAATTCTCACAGGGCTGAGTATGTCGCTCCTACAATATGTGGCATGCTTACCCATCAATGGTGCTAGTCTCATCTATGGTACATGGCTTCTTTTGCTGGAGACTTTGGGTCATCAATAAGTCGCTAATTGTACCTTGTGTGGTCATGATGGTGAGCGGTTAACAAAATCAACGTCGCCTTCCTCATGATGAAGCTTTTAGATATCCTTGCTTCAATGTATAATAGTGATATATGATGCCACTGGCAATATTACAGCACAAAAGGAATATGTTAGTATCCTTTATTTTGCTTATGGAGGCTGTTGAGCGGAATTGTATCCTGCAGTCCGCCAACCCACAAGCAATCTCTTTGGGTGGAGATTCAGCTGCCTGGAGCGACTATGTATGTGTCAAAGCGCATTATTGATATGCTATTCTGACAAGAAACATCTTCATTACACCAGTTGTGGCTAGGTAGCAGTTTTGTGTGCGACATAATAATCACTGTGCAAACAACCCGTCTTGTCAGTGCATTCCTTACATACTTCCCCAACTTCTAATTTATGCAATCATCTCCAGCTTTTCAAATTAAAATCCGCTTCAGGAATAAAGAACACAAAATCACTTCTGTCCAAGCTTATTAAATTGACGTTTGAAACCGGAATGGTCACCAGTGTAGCCACACTGGTAGAGTTGATAATGGCGGTAACACTACCCCAATATTACCACTTGCTAATGTACCATTTCTTTTCAAATTTAATCAAGTTCTTGCTGATCTCTTACTGCTCTTCCAGATTTTATTCGCTTTCCAAATTGTATGATAATATATTCATCGTTATGAGCAAACTCATTAATGTTGTGTCACGGTGTAGATATGCCAACTGTATGATGGCCACCCTGAACACTCGACTGGTGTTACACGGTGACGACAAGACTGATCAAGTTGCAACAGCACTCTTTGTGCCTCCACACATAGATCGAACCGCCACTTCATCACTACACTTTCGATCGGAAGGACAACAGTGCCGCAGTCGGACAACCACCTATAACCCAAGCTCAGAATATGAGCTGGTCCCTTTCCCAGAGAACGAGGGTATAGGATTTGTTTACCACGAAAACCAGTCCGAAGATGCAAGCACGGCCTTTCAGGCATCTGAAGTCATAATAATCAAACCACCCCCGATCCTGTCTCAAAGTTCGACGGAAGATTGAGTGGCAAGGTTGACATATCTTTTTCATCCTAAAGTTTAAGGTCCTGCTAGAAGTAGAGATGTTCCTTCACCAATGATAATCCTATATTCCGCTCTTTTGCTATTTTTGTTATATCCAGTTTATACACATTCCAGAGGACGTTGTTATATTTCTTGAAATGTCTACGTTCGTACTCTATTTATTTATTATATCTTGCTCATAGCCTAGACCTAAATTTTGGCAAGTGCAATCTTATCATGCTACAGGCAACGTTCGAAATATGGTATATGGTAAGTGCCGCAGCTGCCTGGATATGTTGAAAGAAACAGAAATATATGCATAACCTTCCTTGTTCATCTCACCGATTACGTTCGAATGCAGATGCGGTATTCAAACGAACGACGATACCTCTGAACAATGAGAAACAAGCTTGAGTGCAAGTTCATTCGGTTTCCTATTGAGCGCATTCGTTGTGCAATTGATTCTACCCCCTCCCATTTGAATTTCAGCGTTCGAACTCAAAGAGGGTAAAGCCTTGTACGAGGGACCTTAAGGCCTCAAGATCAGGACGATAGCCTGAAGGTCAAGATAAACTCAAAAGACATACCTCGCGTGGCATCTTCGTAATCCTTCGGGTCATCGAGGTTTTGCCACATCCTTATCTGAACATCTGACCTCAGGATATTAGCCAAGTCTGAGGTTCAGATGAGCCATCTTTGACAACCTTGAGACGCATCTTGAAGTTTGTAAAGTAAATCGATCACCCAGGATATATCTACGAATTGTTGCGACTCTGGGTCACTCTGAATGTGGAATAAGAAATAGTGAAGTGCCGCTTGAACTCAGACGACCAAGTCGCGATGTTCCCAGGCGAGTCTGGCGTCGACATACATCTTCGGGATACATCTGACCCGTCCACTGGAAAGACAAAACCACCGCCCAAGAAGTCATTAATCCCAGTACCATTTTCTTATACTCCCAGCGACGATGGCACAGATGAGAATATCTTGATTTTGTTCCATGGCCTTGGTATGCCTGCTTAATATTATCGTTATCTCACCAGATTCTCTAATTCTGATCTTGATTTACAGGAGACTCTCATGTACCTTTTGGGAAGCTGGGTCGTCAGTTAAAGCTTCCTCAGACAGCGACGCTAGCTTTGCAAGCACCAGAACAGTGAGTCTATCCCATAAAAATGATATTTTTGAGTGACAGACAAAGTGAACATTTCCAGGATCCCCTTTCTGTACGAACAAGCATTTCAGTGGTACCCATCCTTCGACCCTCTTGGAGAACTCATCGACAGACCTAATCCTACCCCTGCTCTCGATCTAACCCTGAAGGTCCTCAACCATCTCATCCAAGACTGCTCGTGGCCCCCTCATAGAATACATCTATTCGGATTTGCACAGGGTGGAAGCGTAGCAGCAGAACTTTGCATCAAATGGTGGAAACAGGAGGCGGAGAAACACGTTAAATCCCCTGGAACACCTATCCGAGCACTAGGCTCCCTCGTCACAGTGTCAGGGCCTCTATTATCTTATCCGACATTATCAAAAGCATGCTCTACTCCGGTGCTAGTGTTCCACCGTCCTGCGCCATCTGAATCAGCGTTGCCGAGCAGTGCGATGACCGCTTTTGGGAGGGCGTTTGGTCGTATTAAGGAAGTTAAAATGAGCGGTGAAGGTATGCCACGGTCGAGAGATGAGTGGGAGCCCATTATGCGATTTTGGAGCGAGCAGCTTGGTAGAAGGCAGGGGAATGGACTATATGAAGTAATGACAGGCGTTGCTGGAGAAGTGCATAAACCATAAATCCTAATGTGTGTTCGGCCGGCCTATATGCACTGTAGATATTCAATACGCTAGCCATTAACAATGCAAATTGATAGACCTTACTTGGGGTTTCGCATGCAAAGAGAAAAGCTATATAACGAAACTAGAACTAGTGTCCTGGGCAGATAACCATATCAGCCTATTCCTATTCACAGATATGTTTCCGGTGTTTAAATGATATACACAACGATGTAAAAGCTAGATGCAAAAAAATCAGCGGCACAAATATACAACAAAACCAGAGTCACACGCACGTTGGTTATCACGCACATCCCTAATCACCTGATGATTCGATCTTGACCTCAACTCCAGTCCTTTTCCGACGTTCTGAATGTATAGGTATCAGCAAATATACTGGAATGCCAGGAATATATGTGACTCACTCCTTGGGCGCGGTGGAGGAGACGGTGGAGGTTCCAGTAAGCTAGAGGTACTTCCAGAAAACATATCGTCGAGTTTATCTTTCATGAGGGTATTCAGGCGCGCTCTTTCAACAGCTTAATCACAAACTCATTAGTTGCATAACAATATAATACCCAAGACACGAACCTGCGCTCTCAGATGGGCCGTAGATAGCCTCTAGTCGGCTCTGAATATTTTCAATACTTCTACATAAATGATATCACAAAATGAATTGAATATACCACAACAGGCTATATACAGGATGGACCGACTTCTCATCGACGAATCCACTGGTGGCCATTATGTCGAGAACGTTTTCCCATCGTAATGGCTTTATCCTGTTCTGCATGCTTTTCTCGGCTTGGGGAATATGAGCGGCTAGAAGAGAGAGTATTTGTGACAAATGCGTTGAAGATGCCACTGTAAGGGCGTTCAAGAAGGAAGAGTCAAAGATATCTTCTTCTTTTACTTCTTCGTCTGAAGGGCTTTGGTCGCCCTCGGAACCACTTTTGCGTTGCTGCTGAAGTGCCTGTATTGCTAATAGCTTGACTTCATCCTGGAAGCTCCATTCTGGTACATGCACGTCACCCGCAAGCATAGGCCATCGAGTCCACGTATCCCCAGTCGTCTGTGTAGAAGGGCCATTTCTCGTTTCCCCGGACTTTGGCGACACACTTCGAGTCGGGCCACGAGAGGAACCTTCGACCGGAGTGCGACTGGTGTTACTTGGGCTATCTTCATCAGTTTCGTCGCCTTTGTCGTAGGGTGATACTGATGAATGGTCTTTTGTAAGGTGAGAGACGATATCGAGCGTGTTCTCTGTCCGTAATGCGCGCAGAAGGGACGAATATTCAGAAAGCTCTGAATGAAGAGCAACTGGCACAACCTTGCGCTTTGCCATCGCACGGGACGGAAGATGCACAGCCTCAGAAATAGAATGTGCACGGACCTATTAAATCGTGGGACTGATTACATAACCTGCTATACAGCACCACCAAGCCTCATTACCTGCACACCACTTCCCTAGAATCTCTCAGTCACTTCTACGATACAACAGGTGAGTTGAAATGATAGATATCGTTTCGGTTGGTTAATCTAATCTGTTCATGCAGTATGAGAGAGAAGTGGAAGAAAAAGAGGTCTCGCAGGCTCAGACGCAAACGCAGAAAGATGAGAGCCCGTTCCAGTGCGTACTCAGTTTCAGTTTATTTTTTGTACTTGCCTTGCTGAGAATAGCTTTTGCAGAGTAAACGCCCTATTGGTTGCCGAGCTTGCGAAAGCCAGGATGTCTTAAAATACAGGAACGATGCAATGTTCATGCGCCGTACGACATTGTCATCTCCGCACTATCGCTGGCCGGCTGCAAAGCCTCGTGCAGTTCTCCCATGCCGTGGGGGTGCATGTACTTCAACTGTTCCGTTGTTGAAGCTACCTTTAGGTCTCAAAGTAACATGTACTTGATAAAAATGCACAACAAATATCGCTTCTTTCGTTCCAGTGTTCCACTAGCTGAGCCTTGGCGATCATTGTCCCTTGAGTTTTCTCCCTGTGTTACGTTAATGGTCGTCGTAAATATAAGGTGATTATAGCACGTAGTACACTTGTTAGTGCAAAATACAATGTGTATATTCAGTTGAATATTGGATATCTAAGCGTGACCGTAGTATATCCGACATCCGACTCGATAGCTATCCGAGACGCGTCCTCAATACATTTCACTCGGAACCAGAGCTTCATAGCGCGCTTTGCTACCAGTATTCTCTATTCTTTTTATTTCTCTTTATTTTGTTTGCTGGCCAGAACAGCACCTTGCATAAGTTGTTGCTGAACCAGTTCTTCACGCTCAACATCGCTCGCACCAGCGGCTTCGAGTTTTCAACAAATCCTCCAGTTCAATACATATCATCTCAAGAGCAGAGTCTGGGGTTACGCTTGAAACTTAGAACATCCTTGCCTCGATATCGCCAGCGACACACTCACAATGAAGGGAGCCGGACCCAAAATCATCATCAAACCTCGCCTCGGGAGAGGAGGGGGGGTCTCACGAAAGTCACGCACCCCTGTAGCCCCACCACCAGGCTCCTCAGAAGAAGAAGGAGAAATCCAAGAGAACGAAAACCCGTCCGACACAGCTAGCAACTCCCCATCCAATGACGCAGAAGAAGACGATAAAATGAATGTCGCTGAGAGCGTTGCGGGCACGAATGATGTTATGGAGGGGAGTGAGGCTGAGAAAGAGGATGAAGACGCTACTGAGGCTGGGGATGAGGGTGAGTTGGATGGTGTGGATCGAACAACGGCGCCGAGACCGAGAGGGAGGCCGAGAGGACGGGGAAAGGGAGCGGCGCCAACTGTTCCTCGAGCGCGGGGCCGCCCACGCGGTTCAGGGAGAGGAAGGGGTAGGGGTCGTGGGCGAGGTGGACTCACGATTAAGCTTCCAAGGAGGGACGAAGACGGACAGGGTGAAGGTGAAGGAGACGGTCTAGAGGACATCGGAGAGGAAGGCCAGGCTCTTGAAGCGGAAGAGCGCGAAATCATGGGCGGTGGAAAGCCTTTCAAAAAGATACAAGGAAAAATATATATTATCGATAATGACGAGATCGTCACAGAAGATGACCCCAAGGGCGATACGAAAATCGACGTGAATGGCAATTTATTGGGAGGTGGGTTGACGCTTCTTACTACAGCGCGTTTTATATGATCCATTTCTAACGGTAAATCTCGTGTCACAGGACGTCGATTCAAAGCACAGACATTTAGTCTTCCAGGTCGCCATCCCGATCGACTATACATGTTAGCTATCGATGCTGCTCGGTCTTCTGGCTTTCGCGATTCTCTGTACTACTTCCGTCGAAATCTGCTTGCGCTCAAGCTCAATGCTACACAACCAGAGAAGGAATACCTCATCGAGGCAGGAAAACTAGGCTCACATTTACGTACGAGAAGCGTCACCCTCATCACTGCCAGAAGTGCATACAAGCTACACGGCGCGAAGATGATTCTAGGTATGTCAATCATTCATGTCGTGCATGTATGCGCCTCTGTACTCACCAATGTGGCCAGAGGGCAAATGGATCGACGACGATTACTACGAAGAAAAAGTACTGCAAGAAATCACAGAGAGGGGTCTTAAACCTGGTGATCTGGTGGGCGACTTGACAGAACCCCAAACCAACACCAACGAGGCTGCTACGCTCGCTGCGACTATGCAAGCGAAGGTTGACCGAGGTGGTGGACTGGGTATATATCGTGCAGGAGGACCTACGACGATATTCGGTGGCTCAGGCTGGGGGCCGTATAGCGATGGTCCGCTGAATGCGGTACGAAAGTCGGTCCTGAATAGGGATGGACTCAACGAGGAGAACTGGATGCTCATCGCTGCCCAGAGAACGCTGGAGGCCAGCGAGGAGTGGGCAAAGATAAGGAAAGAAACTCTCAAGGTGTGCGGAGGAATTTTGGCAGAGACTCTGGGTAAAGGCAAGGAAAAGCAGAAGCCTGATGATGATGGAAACGGAAACAAGACCTCTAAGAGGGCTGCGACTGAAGAGACTGAGGGGGAAAGGAAGAAGAAGAGAGTGCGAAGCGACGAAGATGACTTGCCTATGGGCATCTACGAACCTCACTCTGGGATAGTGCACTGTGAGTTTGCTGATTTCATCAATCTTAATATGTCACTTATGGTTTGTAGATCGCGGAGACACGCAGCCATCTCGATGTCGCTGGGAAGCTCTTCCTGATTCTTCTGAGAAACGACGTGTGCTAGGCGGTACCAAGGCTGGCAATGGTGCATGGGCACTTGCATGGATAGACACAGTGATGGAAGTATCGACCATCGACGAATCTGGACCCAGTGCCAAAGAGAGGAACGAGGCTTTGGCCTCCATAGACGGTGAATTAACATAGCACTAATATTTCTCATAATTTATTAGTTTCAGTGTGAGTACTAGACCACCTCTTCTTCCGTTGACATAGAACGCCCCCTTGTCTGTATTTCTAATGATATGCGCAGTGTATTCTAGGATGTCTGTTTCCAATCATAAGATGGTTCAGACTCGAGGTTGGTCACAAGCCCAGAGCAGCTGGATCGTTTATAAGTTAGTATATCATATGTGTCGATGCATCGTTACAAACAGCAGACTTGTCAGGTATGTACTCTAGCATGCCAAATTTTTATCATCCTACAGCTCGTAAGAGACAATACAACATTCCTCCCAAAAATGCCAATTTAAGCGAAGTGGAACAAACCACTTTTACTCTTTGCAAACCTCCATAGGCAGCCGGCTCACCAGCCGTCCTGTCCACGTACGAAACCGCAAACAGCGGGGACAACGCCACCCTCGTCACATACGGCGCCAGCGGTTTCCACAGAACCATCTTGTACATGCCATCCACATCTTGCCCTCTTCCGCAATGGCACAGCGGATCGGAATCGGCATCATCCGCGTTTCCGAGAGGGGGGATTTTCGCTTGAGATTTTTGATACTCGCAATGGTCTGCGTGCTTCCACGACGAGCGGCATCTTTCGACAAAGGCTGGGAGGGCCTGCCTCCAGATCTTCATTTCATGCGGGGAGACTGATATGTTTTCTATGTTTCCTTGAGCTGTCAGTTCTGCGAGGGGCTTTGCGAGCTCTTTCGAAATTGTCGGGTTTAGCGGAAGCACAAATCCGTCACAAACTACCGTATGAGAGCCTAGGTCGTATTTCAGATCGTCGATGAAGAAAACCATTCCTTGATCACGATTGCCTGCGCCCTTGTCTCGCCATGCAAAGAGCCGCTGCACCGATTTGCCCTGGATACCACTCGAGTGGACGAGCATCGTGTGCAGGGTGTTGTTGAGGAGCTGTAGGGCATCCCTCGCACAAGTGAGCCTTGGCGACTTCTCGCGAGGAGATGCCATGGAAGCGATGTGCGGTTGCAGCCATTGGTCAATCTTGGATCCATACACGTCGAGGCTGGGAAGACGGGCCAGATCAAGACGATGGACGTTCCAGGGACTGATGCATTCTCCTGTCTGAATCATAGGAAGCAGATCAAACCCTATACCATCGGGCTTGGACGAGCAAGACGCAGGAACCGCAACCTGCAAGGATGAGCATACACATATTCAGATATTGGAAAAAAACTCGGCGGCTCAACTCCACTTACCTCGATATACGATGGAGACCCGACTCGGAGCTTATGCTCACTCCCTACGACTGGGAATGGATATATGATATCTTGTATACCGCTACCGACGGTGACTCTCAGAACGCAGGGCGAAATCTGGACGACGAGGGGTTTAGCTCCCAACGCCAACACGTTCTTAATTTCCTCGTCTTGAACTGTCATCCTACACGTCAAAAAAGCAACCACCCCGCGCCGCTCGTCCAACTCAACCGATATGGCGCCGGACAGCCCGATTGAATCAACAACACCCGCGACCGCGGGATAAGGAGGGGGCAGAGGCGACGCAGGCCTCACGCGCGACACGGGTCGTCCAGGCAAGACATGCACCTGACGCCTGTCCAGCAGCTTCGCACTGAACACGACGAGCCTCATCCCGAGCTTGCTCATGAGAAGCACCGCCGCGGGCGTGCTTCTGACCGAGAGACACACGCTGAGGGCGTCTGGGGACTCGATATCAGTGAGTAGCCTGGCGGGTATCGTAAACGAAGCCACGAGCGGCGAGCTTCCCGTCCAGCCTTTCGGGTCCTGCTCTATGGTCACCTGTGGGTGGGCATCGCTGCCCGATGATACGACGTTCCCAAACGAGACGTGGACGGCAGTGAACGTGTTCTGAGACCACTTTCCCTGGATGTCGCACTGCAATAAAGGCGTGCCAGCGTCGTCCAGCGAGCTCTTTAGAGCAGATATCCTCTCCCTCGGGATAATCAAGATGATGCGGACGAGAGGAGGGACGGTATCCCAACTCGAGAACCGACCGGTACTCGGGACTGTGTTGTGATAGATGGGAACAGTGTATACCCCATGGAGGTGCAACAGCCCGCACAAGTCTTGATAATGAAGCGTGTCCATTTTAAGCGAGGTGTCCGCGTCCTCCAAGACGAAAAAACGATCCATGACTTGTAGCCATGCTCCGTCAGATACGCCGAGCCTGTCTCGAACGAGGCGAAGGAACAACACGAAGCTCTCCCGTGTGCAATGAATGATGTTCGAGCCACTGACCGCCTCTGCCAGATTCCCCTGATTCAGTCTCCAAAAATGCCCAGAGTCTTCTTTTTCGAACATGCTGCGATAGATGTCGTAGAGGATGGTCCCCAGTTGGGATGGGTCGAAGACGGGTGGGGCAGTTGCATCTTGGGAAGAGGCGATGCGATCGACGGAACTAGGTGACTTCCATGCTGTTACTTGGCCCACCTGTTGGGCGTTATATCGAGTAGTGAAGCCTGAAAGATAGTCAGAGGGGCACAACCCAAGGAGAAGGCCCATAACCGTTATATCTCCATACAAACGCTCTCTGAAGTCCTTCTCCAAGCCATCTCCGTGAGAAAAAAGAGACTCGGTGTAAAGAACGCTAGAAGGGGCGGAAGATAGCAAAGGGACGGAAGCAACTAGAATATTCAAAAGTCCCACATGGTCTTCGATGTTCGAGGTATCGATGACATCAAAAGTGGAAGGAGCACCGCCAGATATGTATTCGTCTCTGTTGAGCTCGATGTGCTGCGTTGTCCATTGCGCAAGGGGAATGTCTAGGTCGCAGGTGCTTGTCATCGCAAAAGCTCGGAGGGCACGGCATATTACCGTGGCATCTCCGACAATAAAGCGAATGACGGGAAAAGAAGCGGAGGAGGTGGACGTGAGGAAAGTGAAGCACCAATCACTGAATTCAGTCTTGGCAGCTTTGACAGCATCTTCGACGGCCACCTCGTCATTTGCGCTTCCGAACAAAGCGGCAAGATGAAAAGGAGTCAACGGATCAGTTCCATAGTGAACAGAGCAGCCCTCCCCAGCTAAAGAATAGACAAAGGTGGGGTTGATTATCGTGGCCGCATCGATCGCTTGCGCATGGGTGAACGTGACCCCTGTTTTCCAATAGTTCTGGAATTGGTCAGACATGGTCTTGGTCGCCTTCATCATCAGCGGGCCCGAAGAACGTGCTGCATTGCAAGGCCTTCCGCTCATACGCAATATCTTCTGCGATTGTCTGGTGAAAGCGTCATTGATGGATTGGGTTCGCTTTCGCGGTAAATTCTGCATCTGGACATAGAGCGACCAGTGACGCCTAAGTTCTTTGAGGGTGTATTGAGTACACATCTTGATGCAACGACCATAAGAGGAAGCATTCCAGTCCTTGAGGGTGCTGGAAAGTCCCAAGAGCTTCTTGCATTGCTTTACCAGAGTCGAGTGCGAGTCCTTGTCCAAACGGAAGTGGAAAAATATGTTCCAGATGATAGTGCAAGGTTGGTTATCCACCACCATCGTCAATAGGATAACATTGCGGGCTAAAATGGACAGACGTGTCAAAGGGCACAAAATGGAGTGTGAGCATTGCATGTACCCAATATAGCTGGATCTATGTCACAGCAGGTGAAGTCAAGCCTACGACTGACTGTATCTGAGTCAGTTTCTGTTATGGACTTCTCTATTATCACTTACGGTGCGCGGTGTCACAATAAATGGTGTACAAGACGTTGCGTGCATCACCACAACCTAGCAGTAAGATATTGGCGGGCGCTTCAGGGGGAAGGTCCCTTGTTAAGCAAGTAGCGCTAGTATTGCCTATAGCGTAGAAGAAGTATTTGCCGGGCCAGACTAGTGGATGAGCCATGGGGTTATAAGCAAGGATGACGGGAGGGGGGGAACGCTGGATAGGGACATTAGGACTTTGATGCCAAACTTGCGACGTGGTTTGCCAGCTGTGAACCATGAGGCAAGCGGCAGAGTCCGGGACACGATGTAACTCTTAAGGGGTATGCATGGTGATCGTCCCGTTAGCGAATACAGTGACTCACGGATAGACAGGGTTCATAGTACCTACCGCAACGGACAACGGCGATCCAAATGTGCTACATTCATATCCCAGTGTCACACTGAGAGTATAAGCGGAGGGTAGATTGCATGCAGCTTCGGAATAGTAACGTTACAATCGAAAAAGACGGTAACTAATCTGAATGCGTACCCTCATAGATCCAGCCTTGAGATAAATGAACTTGAAGACTTCCACAAGCACCGGTCTTGAGATCGGTCGTGATCTAACATATAATGATGGGATCATGTTGAAAAAGCGTTAGCATACTGCAGGCGAGTTTTCAAGTCTTGTTGAAGCTGGATGTGGCCTGGGATGAACTCATGATGGCAGTGAAGCATGAACATCGCTTATGAGATGACGTCTCGATGCCGTAAAAACCACTCCGACCTCAAGTTTCTCAAGTGTAACGCTGTATTACAGAAACCACCACAGGTGTCCTAATGGCGCCCGAGAACAACACTTCGCGTTCATGAGCGGCCATGTGTCAATCCACGGAACTTGATACAATCTAAATAATGTTGAGATGGTACTGATGCACTGTACATAGGATATGACATGCTTGACACTGATAGCCAACAAAAGAAAAGAGTGAGGTTGTACTCACTACACGTCGAGTCTCCATGTATTCTCGTAGTATCTCTTCCTGCCTCGCCCTTTCACACACCACGCGCCATGCACAGTTATATTGATCGGATACGGTCTCTACGTTGTTCAGATGGTCCAATTTGTCTCCAAAGTACTGTGAACGTGTGTGATGAGCCTTTAGTGAAGTACATTTCTTCTCTGCAGCTGGAAAGAGTTTCTTCAAGGAGTGAAAGATGGTATTGACAAAAGAGTAGCTCTGGTGGTCATTAACATTGACGAGTGGTGCAAGATTGCAATTAACAACCATGCACCCCTCGTCGAACGTTGACCACCCTCACTGCAGTAAAAGACTTTCGGTGAAGGGGAGTTGAGAAAATGTCGCGCATGGGTTCTGGATCATTATATTCTCTGAGCACGCAGATGGGGTCGTCAGAAAGCGAAGGAGCTGAGGGAGGTGGTGGATTTGTGAGAAGAATGGCTGGACTGGCCATCGATATCGAGAAGATGCTATCACATGACCGTCAACTAGCGCATGAATTGAGGTCAAAACCACTCCGACTCTGGCGCTGTCACGATGCAACTACTCAAATCCAGCCTTGCACTCTCAAAACTATCCAAGTCTCGCATCGCATCCCCGTCCGCGCGTGCCATTTCCATTTCCACCTCGTCACGTCCCACCGCGATACTGAGCAACCACGCACGCCCACTACTACCTCGGACAACCGCCCAGATCTGTATACGCTCCCACATCTCCCGATGCTACTCCTCCGCCAGCGACACACCCGCGCCACACGACCCAGGCCAAACCACCTCAGACCCCACCCGCCCCGACATCTTCTACCACCTCGTCTCCCTCCCCCCCTCTTCCTCGCCCTCCGTCCCCGCATACGCCATCTCCTTCCTACCCACACCGCCCCCCTCACCCCACTCCAGCACCGTCCTCGGCTGGCTACCCGCAGTTGCAGACGGGGGCGACCAAGAGGCGGGATTGAATGACTTTCAGGAGAACCGTGAGTCGGCTAGTCTTTTTTTTCGTCGCTGTACACCAACTCGTTCCTTACCGTGTCCCAGCAAAATTCCGCGCCCTACTCCACCAAGCTATCCAGACAGGCTTGCGGGAGGGAGCAGACGACATCCAGATCAACGGAGCCCTGCAGCTCCAAAATGGCTGGATGCACATCCACGGTATGTCCTCCCTCCCCTAACACGCCCCTCTCTCCCTCTCCTTCAAGTCTCACTGGGGCTGACAACCCTCATCATTTTTTTTCGTGGTGATGAAAGACGAAAGGAACGTCCCAGCACTCGGACGCGTCGGCGACCCGGATGACATCTTGGCTTCCGTCTTAGTAGAGGACAGCAAGGCAAGTTTCCTCGAAGCAGCACACTCCCCTCTCGTTGAACGCTCTCCCAGATCCAACCCGAAACGTACCAATCCATGCCCTCTTATCGTTTATGCACCGTCGATGGCCCAACTCAACTCACTGACGGACTGGCACTCAAGCTAAAGCGTTTACTGGAGGAGACGGCAGCAGTGGAGCAGCGCAGCTAACCTGCCGAGACATACGCATTTAATATAGATTTCATACGCTCGTTGAATGTACTTATGGCCAGTGGCTATATATCTTCAATGATCATGCATTACGTTTCACCCATGCTCCTTGTGACTTGGCCTCGAGTGCCAGCAGGTGCTACAGCGCGCGGTCACAAACGCAGTCACCGAGCAATAACCATGATTGATATGTCGTTTGGCATTTGTTGCTGTTCCCATTTCGCCCCTCTGCTCAAGTCCTATTCATACGTGCATTCGATTCACCTTGTGATCATACCGTACTGTATACACATTATAGACTTTATTCGAACTTTGAGGCTTTCAGGATATTCTCATTCTTTATTCAGGGCGTCACGCTGCTTGTATCAGATATCGCATCTCACAGTCAAACCGCTTACGCCAGATGCCTTTGTGCTCCACTCGATTCAAACACTACCTACATATGCTGAAATAACGGTACCAAGTAGGCTACCGTGTTGGGATACGACTGGTTTCCCAGACAGCCCGCATAGCCGACGTCGACGATGCTGGGCGCTGATCCAGACGAAGGAGGGGACGCAAGCACGTCGCTGCTGAACACCAAGCCCAGAATGAAAAGGCCGAAGCTGAGCATTCCAGAAGAGAGCCGATGAGACGCCCTCGAGGAGAACGCTGCCGCTCCTTCCGCCTCCATCTATATAGCTGGCAGGTAAAAAGAGATCACAAGTTGCGGGATGGCCACGGTGCATGTTCGGGTGGGATCACGAGGCATCATATGGGCCTTGTCATAGAATGCATTTTACGATATAACCATGGAATTTTTGGCAGCGAAGCCTGCGATGCTCACGAGGATGGAAGAAGAGAGTCGCAAGATCTTCCACAGGACTCGGGAAACGGTTATTACGGACCACGGTGAGGCCGTCGGAATCATGATTATAGATTTCTTTGTCATTATTCGCAGCGACATCCTCCATAAACATTTGGCAACTATCTGGGGATCGTTATAACATAGCAGCATGGGAGTCTAAGTGGCACTATCAAACTACCCGCTTTCGAACCGTCGCGATGATTTAACTACACTAGAGGCCTGGCACGGTACCTACACCTGAAACAGTGTACTAAAATATACATGGACATGTTAACGATGACGAGTCATAGATTCCGCTCTGTGAAAATAAATAATAGGAAAGATATGGCATGTTTGACAGCTTTGCTGTCTTCCTGGCTACGACTGTGATACAGATCCTTGTTAGTTTTGAAAGTAGTAATGCTCAAATGGACTCACGAACAAACTTGACATCCCTTCTTCAGGCCGGGGCCGCCGCATTGTCAGGCTGACAGTCTTCGTATTCACGTAGTCTGGCTTTGAGCTGGGCTATTTCAGCCAGTCTTTCAGCGTCGCGGCGCGCACTTTCAGCCTTGAGTTGCTCTCGTTCCGCATTACCTTCGTCTCTCCCAGTTTGAATCAACTGTCGATGGGTTTAAACAAATTAAGTAATAGACAGCAAAATACGACAGCGAGAGTTTACTCACTTTACGTCGACTTTCTTCTCGTTTTCTCTGTTCCTCCCTCACCCTGTCACACGCCTCACTCCATGCCCTGTCATATTCTTCAGATATCGTCTCTATACTGTTACGATGGTCGAATTTCAACCCGTGATAGTTGCCGCGCATGTCGTGTGAACTACACTTCTCCTCTGCATTTGGAAATAGTTTCTTCAACGTGTCAAACACGGTATTCGCAAACCAGTAGCACTGGTGCTCATAAAGATTGTAGAGCGGGGCGTGTTTGTTGATGACTTTCAACAGGATGCATAGCTGCCGAACAGAAGGCGATAAATAATTTCCGGTGATATTGGAGGGACAAGACTCGGAGAATGTAAGGGTACAGAGCTCCCTGTATGGTTTATACGGTTTAGTCAACTCCGTTTTATCGTCTTCTTTGGTGATGACAATACGATCATGGGCAGGAGTATCGGAGACTGACGGTGACACAATGGCAGAGCCTAGAGGGGTATGAACAGACGAGTTGGGTGACGGAGCGGAGGGTGAACGGTCGACGACCACAAGTGCCTTGGCCGTGATGTTTGGGTCCGGGTAGCAAACGGAAATCAACAAGAATTCGTGTTTCTTGTCGTCTTTGCATTTACAAAACACGATGTGGTCGATATAACAATTTGTGGACCTATCGTCTAAGCAAAGCTGCCGCTCCCATGACTCAGGTCCCATAGGCCCGATGACGCCCTCCTGGAATATGCCAAAAATGTCGTTTGGATAAGGCATGTGTGGTCGAAAAAGAGTCGAGTAGATGTTATGGAGAATAAGAGAAAAACGACCTGAACCCATCTTTAATCTGTAGCTGGTGAGGGCTGTAAGGGCTGAGGGTGTTTCAAGTTCCAGAGGGTCTGACCGTCTTCAATGGCGCTGGCAATGCTATGATATGACAGTCTATCAAATCAAACTTCTAACAAGCTCGTGTACTACACATGTCTCGTACATAAGCGCCCATAAGCACCCATAAACGTCCAGTAAATTGCCGTGAGAATGTTCACGATGTCTACATATGGGCAACTTGAACATCCTGTTCGGACTCGGTGCAAGTAATCCAGTACACCCTACACCAATCATTCTCCTGGGGTCCATGCTTGAATGACAGTCTGAATACTCGCTTTCAATGGCCAGTGCACTTCAAACCCAGAAGATAAATTATCAACCGAGTAGTGCTTGGGTCGTGCTACCAAAAAAATAACCTTGAACTTTTCACCGGTCACCTGTAAATCAATGGAGCGGCACACAGCTTTTGAACAAGTGGCCTGGTATACATATCAGAGCAAATCCCTCGTATAACGTCACCATCATCAGACATCTCAATCAACTCGATGGACTGAAATAGTCGAGCATTCATTACATCAACTTATAGTCATAGAACACTGATTCGTTTACAGAGGCCCTCAGTGAACAAATAGCATCGTAGCCAGTCAGGGGTCTGCGGGAAGGTATGACTCGGACGTGTCAAATCACGGTAACTGTAGGGAATATTTTTATTTTGCCCTTCACCCTCACATCGCATGAGTCACAATCGTAAGTATCTCTCCTTCCAAATCAGGGGAAGATTCTCATTATCATGATGGACACTATCACTGATGACGGTTCGTGGTCATCTCCTTAGGGCCCAAGCAACGTGTATTTCACTTCGGTTACTCCCCTACCGTTCATTGCGCATGGAAATATCCTACTCCAGTGTCAGCAATGTCAGCTGTCAATGGACGAAAGCAATTGTCGCAATACACCGAGACGTCAGCATGAGCTTGATGTACCTGTACCTGTGCTTGTGCCGCTAGCTGGGATCATGACGCGTTTTGATTCATCAGCGTAGCCTCGCATAAACGTATAGCCTGTATCAACAGCATTCCAGATTTGAAGTCAAGTTTGAACAGGGTAAGATTTGTTCAACCTATCAATTCCACACACCCTAAAACTTTGATGCACGTACTAGGTTTTAGCCTTAACCAGCACATCGTGGAATTGAGAAGCTCTCTACTGACGCTTTACTGTTTAGCACTTTATCATGGCAGGGGTGGACAGCGTGATTTATCGGGGGCTAATGTATCTCCCTGAAACAGTGCTGTCAAGCTAAGTTATCACCCATTCACCATAAGTTAGTGTGCTATCTCATGATGGCGTAGTTCTGTGAATATTTACCGACTAATGGAATACTTCTCCCTGGAAAATGGATATTGTCATGCTTTGTATATGGCTGACTTCGACTTGCATTCTAATCTCTGCTCGACTTCCATGCACTTTTTTTCATGCCCCACAAATATCACAGCAAAATTCCGCGCGGTGCTCCATCGGGCTATCCAGACCGGCTTGCGGGAGGGAGCAGACAACATCCAGATCAACGAAGCCTTGCAGCTCCAAATCGGCTGGATGCACATCCACGGTAAGTCCTCCCCCAACACTTTCCTCTCTTCGCATTGTGATTGTGATGGGGGCTAACAACCTCCCCTCTCGTTACATGCTCTCCTAGATCCAACCCGACACGTACCAAGCCATGCCCTCTTATTATTTATCAGATACCAGACAAATTTCCAGCGGAATAGACGTGTACAGCCTACCACCAAAAGGGTGGTACGGCCCGCTGCAAAGTCTTAGATAATAAAATGCATGCAAAAGTGGCAACAGTACTGACATTCTGAGCATGCTATCCCTACAAACCATATAAGAAAATAAAACACCACACCATAGTATACCAAGTTGTTTGGGTTTGATTTAATACAATAAGGTGTCTTAGGTCTTGTAGAAGAGTCTGAGCTATATTCAAAGTAAGTACCTAATAAGATAAGATGTCTATACTAGGGATCAGATAGGTATTCAAAAGGGGGGAAATAAGTGAGTCTCACCTCAGATCTCATAGAAGAGTCTGAGGTAGTACATGACAAAACCGGATAAACCCGGTCTCTGCCGAAGCAGCCATTGTTCTCCATGGAGCACAGCCACCACTCCATGGAGTCACCATTGTACTCCTAGGAGTCATTATACTATAGCGAGTAGCACCTCCGACTATAAGTAGTAGGGGGCTTAGTATAGAAATACCTCAGTTGTTTCTATAGCTGTTACAACCAAGAGTTAGTTACTCTGGCGCACACAAGAACACACTATAAAGGTAGTGATGATGAGGGAGTGGTTACCCCTTAAGCTGCAGAGAGTTTGTTGGTATACAACAGGAGGACTCGCTGAGGAGTCTCCTTGATCTATTGTGTAAGGACCATTTCATTATTTTCTTATCTTCGCTATGTCTTGGTTCTCGAACGCTTTTCCCGTTACACCTCTGGCTCTAGGGCTAGAGGTATCCTTTGCCGTTTTACTTCTCATAGCCCTCACAGGCTTTCTTAACCATTGCTACCATTTTATATCACAGATCAGAGACTGGGTATTGCTCCCAGCCAGCCAGCACACGGAGTAAGGACTGGTAGTAGGCATCTCGCCAACCAGCTCCAAGCCTCAATAAAGCCTGGTTATACTAATAACGCCTTATTCAGGATCGTACCTCATTATGAGGATACGGTTCCTGAACACACGTGACAATCCTCTATTATTAGTACAAGTCTCTCACCTGCTGATTAATCAAGTTAAAAGTCGTACAATAGTTACTCTCCCTTTTTCTTATTGGTCGATTGATTCCTCAGACCACTTTTCATATATTCTCCTTTCGGTCTGAGGAACAAACAGTTCACTATATAAAGCCTTACCTATTCATGTATGGCTCCTTAGTTTTCTATTACTGAATTTACCCGCTTTACTCCTCAACGAAAACCTTTGAAGCTTACCTCTCAAAGTCCTCTACTTGCTATACATACTAGCATCTGTCAACCTCAAGCTCATCGAACCCTTTACTCCCTGCAAGTGCAGAAGGAGACAGGTTTTGTTTTTGTTATAGTTTATCGTTGCCTCACATATTGGGGTATATATACTAATACAGAATGTTTGTACTTATGTACTGTACAGTTGATAAAGTCAGTGGCTGATGATGTCATGGGGCCTAGCCCGCATGACCAGCTCCACTGTGTGAGAGAGTTGTATCTAAAAATAAGAAGAAAGCAATGCGGCACAAGAAAGAGGAGTTTGAACAAAAGGGGAAGTGCCGCGTGGCACCATGTGTGAAAGCTAAAGTATACAAGGTTAAAACGGAGAATGAAAATGGAGGAAAGGTCCGAAAATTGTGTTATCGTAACACTACCCCCCTTCTAAGGCTCGACTTCGAGGCGAGACCAAATACCGGCGGTGGTAGTTAAATTTTCGGGCATAGTTTGAAAAAGAGAATTACAAAAGTTTTGAATCCATGCCTCTAAGCTTCCTAGGAGCTGAGGGATTCTTAGAATAAAATTTGTGAACAGCGTCACGGGAGTTATCCAGGTGGGCTTCTGGTTCCCACGTTCTGTCCTCGTCTCCATAGCCTTTCCATAGGACTAGGAACTCTAATTTGCCATGCTTCAAGCGTGCATCCACCACCCGTTCAACTACGAACTCTTCTTCACCTTCCTGGGTGACTACCACCGGACCGGGCCGGTCTACGCGCTGTCCCGGCAGCGGTCCTTTGTAGGGTTTCACACGGCTAATATTGACCGTGGGTACTACCCTCATTTGTTTTGGGAGTTCCAGCTCCACTGCGTTGGGTTTGACTTCCTTAATCCGGTAAGGGCCAATCCATTTTTTGGTCAGTTTTCTAGACTGCCGATCTTTTAACTTTAAGTGGTCGGTATCTAACCAAACCAGGTCGCCGACCTTGTAGTCAGGGGCCTTAGAGCGTCTATGCTCTGCCCTGTCTTTCATCTGCTCTGCAGTTTTGAATAGCGCCTTGCGTGTTTTGTCTAAGACAAACTTCATGTCTTTGGCCATGTTCCCAGCAGCCTCGTTCTTGCTTTTGCTAGGTTCTACACCCATTCTGGGGAGGTACAATCTAGTAACCTCAAATGGTGCCTTTCCTGTAGCCGACGACTGTTTGATATTGTATGAGAACTGGGCTATCTTTAGCCACTTGGCCCAATCTGTCTGCCTGTCATTAATAAATATACGGAGGTATTGTTTCAACTCCTGGTTGAGTCTCTCCGTTTGTCCATCAGTCTGCGAATGGAACACCGTTGATAATTTAGGTTTGATGCCCAGCATCCGGCATAATTCTTTTGTAAATTCGCTAGCGAATTGTGGCCCTCTATCGGAAATAACCGTCTTTGGTAATCCATGGATGGACCATATGAAACCTTTAAATAAATCTGCCGTACCAGCAGCAGTAATGGTTTTGTTGGTGGGTATAAATACCACTTCTTTGGAGAAGTGATCTACTACCACCATTACTGAATCATACCCATTTGACTCGGGCAGATCCGTTGTGAAATCAACCGATATATCCTGCCAGGGACCAGCTGGTATTGGATTTGGCATAAGTTTACCGGCCGGCGGTTGATGAGAATTTTTAGCCATGGCGCATCTCAGACAGGATTTTACGTATTCCTGTATGTCTTTGACCATGCCAGGCCACATATAGTTTCTGGAGATCAACTCCATTGTTTGTTGCCACCCAGGGTGCCCAGCCACTGGAGTGTTGTGATGTCTATCTATTGCCTTGATCCTTGCGGACTCAGGCACATAGATTTGTTTTTAAAATGAAAGAGCCCGTCTTCCCATAAATAGTTTTCATTGCTGTCAAGGCGCGCCTTCTTTTCTGAGGAGATGTCTTTCTTGAAAACTTCCAGAAGATCGGAATCCTGCCCGATTCCAACATTGGCAACCCTTGATTGGTCTATCAGGGTAACACCTTTGTTGTCATCTTCGATACCGTTGGCATGATCCTCTCTTCTGGACAAAGTGTCCGCTTTCCCTATAGAGCTTCTAGGCTTATGAATTAATTTATAATTAAACCTTGACAAGTACACTGCGTAGCGAGCCTGTCTTTGGTTCAAGTCTTGGGCCGTCATAAAATATTCCAGATTCTTATGATCGGTCCAAATTTCAAATTGGTGTCTAGCACCTTCTAAGTAGTGTCGCCAGTGCTCTAAGGCTCTAATGATGGCCAGCATCTCTTTGTCGTAAATTTGATAGTTGCGCTCCGTAGGCAACAAACTATGTGATAAATAGGCACAAGGCCTCCAAAGATCGTCAGGGCATTTAATGGATAGAACAGCCCCAGTAGCAAAATCAGAAGAGTCGGTTTCCAACTGGAACTCTTTGTCTAATTCTGGAAATGCTAATATGGGCGCTGTCCTAAACACCTGCTTAAGCTTATCAAAAGCTTCTTGTTCTTTGGCACCCCAGTGCCAAACAATGTCTTTTTTAGTGAGATTGTTCAACGGTCTCGTGATTTTTGCGAAGTTTTCAATAAACCTTCGGTAGAAATTTCCTAAGCCAAGGAAGGCCCTAACTCCTTTGACGTGAGTAGGTTCTGGCCAGTCCAATATAGCTTGAACTTCCTCAGGATCCATCCTGATTCCATTCTGGCCTATGATCATACCAAGGAAGTCTACTTCCTTCACCTTAAAATTACATTTTTTGGGTTTGACGAATAAGTCCCGTTCCTGTAAGAGTCGAAGGACTTCTTGCACAATCCTGTCATGCTCAGCCTCATCATCCGACTTCGTAAATATCAACAAATTGTCAATGTAAATGACGACACAGTTTTCCATATCCGCAAAAATCTCGTTCATCATGCTCTGGAAGGTTGCCGGTGAGTTGGTCAACCCAAAGAACATAACAAGGGGTTCAAAAGATCCTCGGTGGCACGTGAACACGGCCTTCCAAGCATCTGCTTCTTTGATTTGTACATTATTGTACCCCCATCTGAGATCCATCTTTGTCAAGATCTTGGCACCAGCCAATTTGTCTACTAGCTGACTGATCAAAGGCAGCGGATAAACATTTTTAACCGTGTGCTCATTCATGTAACAATAGTCCATAATCATACGCTTCTTTCCATCCTTTTTGGGAATGAAGAACACTGGGGACGTCATAGGGCTTTTGGAAGGTCTGATGTAACCCTTCCTAAGCTGCTCATCTATGAAGCTAGAAACCTCATCTCTTTCTGGAGCAGAGAGTGGTATCATATGTCCCTCGGTTTGAAAGTGTCCTTCAAGTCTATAGCATGGTCCCAAGGCTTAGCCTCTGGGAAGCGCTCTGATTTATGTTTTGAAAAGACTTTCCAGAAGTCATGGTACTCGGGAGGTACCAGCCTCTTAACCTCTTCCTCAGGTTTTACCTCGTCATCGTCATCATCAATCTTTTCTAGAGATTTGAGCTCATAGATGTGACTAGCATTTATTTCTTCAAGATGCTCATTGTGACGGATGTGATTCAGTTTACCCAAATTCACACACTCCTGAGGGCAACGTGACAATGTGACAACCCCTGTCTGCCAGTCGATCTCAGGATTGTGTTTAAATAGCCAGGTCCAGCCCAATATTAAATTAATCTTCCCTAGTTGGGTAGCTTCGGCGGTGACTCGTTCTCTGCGTCCCTCCACACCAACATCTAAGCGGATCTCTTTTTGGAATAAATATGTGCGCATCAACACATGCCTTGGGATTCCGGGAAAGGGTGGCTCCAAAAAAGAGGAAGTATCAAAAGAAACATGTTTTTCTATTTTATTTTTACCACAATCAAGCACCCTAGTGTTTGTCTCGCTGGGGCCACACTTTGAAGGAGACACTGGTGCAGCGGTAGTATTATAAATATCACA